AGAAAGTTGTCATAATGTGTTGCCATTGAATATTAGTGAGGCATAAGAAGGCCCCTCTCTCCCCTCCCCCCCCCTCCCGCACTTACACACCCACACAAAATGTCTCTAGCTACGTTCATGCACACAAATGAAATGATGCTGATCTCAACAAATTCCTAGTGATTAATAAAATATTGTTCAGAAGTTTCAATCATAATGAAAATCAGGTCTCTAAATTTTCATGTCTTTAAATATTTTATTTGGTAACTGATCACATGCGTCCTCATTTTTTGTCGGGAACTTTTCTTAAATATCCGTCCTAACAGTTGTACCTATTTATATGTGACTGTCCAAGAAAAAAGGGACTTCAGTCTCCAAAAACTCAAAAATAGTTATGCCTACCAGAGCATAGAGGAGTGTGCAGTTCAGATCAGCCTTTCAGAAAATTTCTTTTGACGGAAAAGCGAGCTGAAGCTCAAATCAGTTTTGTCCAGAGGACAAAATTTTAGAATTATCTTGTAAATCTGGCACTCAATGGGCACAAATGTTCATTAAATTGCTGGAGACTTTTTCTTAAGGACACTGAAGAGTTCCCTGTCAGAATCTAAAAATCCAATTTTTAGATTCAACTCGAAGAAAATCGATACTCTGAAATTTTCGCTCCTATAGACTGAAGTCTGTTTTCTCACTGATGGTCACATGTTCGCATCATCTTTCATCAAGTATTCAATAGTCATGATTTGGTCCATGAGAGGGTCAAATGACTAACTTTCTGTTGTAGTTAAACCCCAATCTACTTATGAGTTGACTGAAAATCAGTGTAAAAGTTGTAAGCATGCATCTAAATAGTTTCAAAAGTGAATATTGATCTGCCCATCAACTTTTTTCATGTATTTCTTCCAACCAAAATCTGGCTTTTTGCAACACCGCAAGAAAAGCAAGGTTTTGCATGACTTGTTAAGAAGATTTGAACTCTAAGTGTGATTGGTCTCTGTCTGTTACAGCCTTCCGAATTGTGGGCGAAATCCCCTGCATTCACATTCTCAGGAATTGAAATGCCCAACCCCTGGCTGTGATGGCTCTGGTCATGTGACCGGCAATTATTCATCTCATAGATCACTATCAGGTTGCCCAAGAGCAAATAAGCCCAAAAGCAAACCGAGAGATGGACAAGACTCTGAGCCCTTAAGGTAGGCATCTTTTGCGCTTTAACATTCATACATCCAAGTAGTGACTGCAAATGTAAAGATCATATCTTGAATACGTTGGTTAAAAATAGTTACCAGATTATTCAACATGCAAGCCAGTATTTTTCACTAGTTACATTTAAACCCAGGCTTTAAATGTAACACAGTTTGTAACCCAAATTTTTACACAATTTTTATCAATGCTTCGGCAAACGCCAGTTACCTTTAACCTGAGTTTGTAACCGGAGTTGAGCTTATTAAACGTGGGGAGTTTTAACGATGTCGAGATGAAATTTTTGTAACCTTGAAATCTGCAAGTGGAAAACTACAGTGAAATACCTACTTCAGGAAAACATACCTGGTGGAAACTAAAATGATTATTTTGGCTGATTTCTTGTTTTTCCTTGAAAGATATGTTTTTATATCATATTTTGCTTCAAAAATACATGGGTATGCAAACATCACATTTTTTTTATATACATAGATAAATGCTAGGAACAGGATGGTTGATTCTCATGTAAATTTCAGCACCGAGTCCGAAAATGACCTCTTCCCCTGTACCCATCAACTTTCTGGAAATTGGAAATCTTTCCCAAAAATGGGCTTCTCCAAAAAAAGTTCAATATCTGAGAAATGAGTGCATGCTAGAGACAAACCAGGGTCATTTATGGACTCAGTATTCTAAAATACAAAAAAAACATATATCACATGTCCACAAAATTTTTCACACTATGTCTAATAAGAGGTTTTTCTAGTGTAATGGTATCATCAAGCCACTGCAGAGTATCTGTACAGGGAGAGAATGACATCTGTGTGCTGCCTTTTTTTTGGTTGCAAAAAATAGGCTAATATGGTGCTTTTACAGCTATAAATAAACAAGCAAGATGGCACTTTCACGCACTGGATGTATACTTTTTAGGGAGAAATCAATGAAATAGGTAATCAAACGAATTCTGATAAAAAATGAAATATCCATTGAAAGGAAAAGACTCTAGAACTGACGTTAAGTCATAATATGAGAATCTGGGAAAAACTATAAATTGAACTGATTCACTAAATGAGGGATGGGCAGTACATCAAATACGTTTTATTGCGGTAGGGTTGGCATAAGCTTCCTGAAGCGTATCAACCAATTGAAGCAATTGTTGACTCATGGCCGTAAGATCATTATGTCAGTTTGAAATGCGCAGACCAATCATAAAGAGGCACAGCATAACTGTGCTAAAAAGATAAAAATTACCATACTTTTCTTTTATCGGTATTCTAAGCCCATAGACCCCCATTTAAAACTGGTCCAATTGTTTATTTGGGTGTCTTTTGGGGTCAGTTGTTCAAAATGGAAGTGTATAGAAATAAAGCCACGTAATCTTTTAGTATTGATAACAATTGGAATTTTATTTTACATCTTTGTAAAAGTACTTACTTGCGATTGAAATGCACAAAAAAAAGTAAACCACATGTTTACTCCAAAAATATGAATGAAGTAACTTTTGTTTCAGATGTCCAATTCCAGGCTGTGATGGATCTGGTCATGCGACAGGAAAATTCTTATCTCATAGAAGGTGTGTATCATTTATTATTGCCACTCAACTTTGTAAGAGTTGAAAATTTGTCCCCAAAAACTTATCAGTCTGCTTCAAAGTTTTTCTTTTGCAAAAGTAGGCTAGCAATCTTTTAAAAGGGAACTCTACATTCTTCATTGTTAAACTCTCAACCGTCCAACTAGGAGGCAATTGTTCCATCTGAAAGTCAATGAATGGACCTGTTGGTTCCAGTTTAAAAATGCGATTTTCCTTATTCTAATGTGCCTTATTTTATTTTCTTGGGCAAATCTATCCGTTTCAAGTCCCCCTCCCCTTCTTCTTAATCGTTTATTTTCATGAAATATTCATAATTTCTTGACTTGTGGAAAAATTTATGTACCCTGTTGATTTTTTTCTAACTTACAATTGCAAAGCAGAGGCAGAGTTCTCAACGCTCTGATTGTGGCGCAGCAATACAACCAGAGGGTGAGAAGATTTGAGAACAGGACAGAGGCATGGAGCAAAATAGCACACGAAGTTAACTAGGTTCCTATTAAATTTTAGATGGCCCCTAATAATTGGGCTTTTCCGGCAAAGTTGCTCCTAAAATTTTGGGAGAGAAGGCAGAACACTGATGTCTACTCATTATGATCAACAAGTATTACCGTTTGAAATTTTTATTGATGATTTGTTTTCAGTGCAAGTGGATGTCCAATAGCAAACCGGAATAAAATGAGGGTCCTTGAGAGTGGTGGCACAGTGGAACAACACAAAGCCGCCTTGGCTGCTGTCTCTGCAGCAACTAAGTTAGACTGCCCAACGCCAGGATGCGATGGAGGTGGTCACTTGAATAACTCTTTTTTAACTCACCGCTCAGTAGCTGGCTGCCCAAATCAATTTTCAACCAAGAAACAGATATCCGGACCGGATCTTTATCATATGTACCAAAAACCCCCCTCTAGTGAGTATCTTAGCCAGCCTGTATGGAATCTGCTCAATTGAGAGTATTGGGAAATGAATTAATTTTTCTCCAAAAGACGCAACCCTTAGTTTTTTAAAAAGTAAATACGATTAATTGTATCAATTTTGTAGCAAAATTTACAGCATCGATGTTATCGGTTTGTCTCTAACATCATCCCTTGTACAGTAATTCATAAAGCGTAATTGATCTAGATAACAATTTTGTACATTTGTGAATTGTGAATAGTCACTTTCAATTTTTTTTTAAAGTATTTGTACAAATGTAAAGATGAAGAGGCTGTAGCCTCAACGATCCCATGGACTTGTTGTGAAAAATCAAATCGGGGTTTTTACAAATAATAATGCAACAAATATATTCTGTGGGGAAAAGGTCAAATCAATCTGCTTCTCACTCTCCTTAATTGTAACATTATTTCCGTAATACATGTTGAATGAACAACTCTCTAATTTTCATATCACGTATTAAATCCTTTTGTCTTTTTCCTCCTTCTTCACTTATTGTTCTTTGCATTGAATTAACAAGTATATGCTCAAGAGACTGTTTACTCAGCATTTTATATTGTATGAACTGTGTTTTGGTGGTCTCTCCATCTTATGAATTATGTTAGTTGAGGAAATTAGAAACTATGTAATATCTTGAGGAGGAAGTAATGAGTCTGCTTTCTGTAAAAAAAGAAGAAGAAAACCATTGTCAAAGCTGATGAAAGTATTTGTAATAGAATTTATTTTTAGCAGTGGTACTGCAAGGTTCACATGCACAGAATTGAAGTTATCACACAAGCTTGTATGTTCCAATGATTTAAGAGATTCAAAGTCACATGTGGGAGCAGAAATCGGGAAGTTGTATTTGTTTGTATTGGACCGTTCATCCTAGTCCATGATTCCTACATGGTTTGAATATTCCTGTAAGCTGGCAGCATTTAGATTTTAGACAGTAATCAAACATCTTCACCAGATGGAAACTAATTATTTCAAGCACATTAATACAGTAAAATCTGCGCAAGTGGACACGTATGTTCAGTGGAAACTTGCCTTAGCAACTATAGATTATTTTTGATTTCAAAATCACATTTTTGCAGTTAACATTAAGTTTTACCCTTCTTTTTATTTGCTTTATTCTGTGCACCTTTTTGAGGTGTTACGTGTTTACTCTAACTGTGTGTAGCATCTCAGAAGAGCAGTCTAATGGATAACTTGGCCAAATTATGATTACCTAATCGCTATAGCAGATTCCTCCAACATCAAAACAGCAATAATTATCGAAAAGTCGCTTCCTCTGCTGTTTCATTCTCTCTGGACTTAAGGTAATTGTTAAGATGAATTCAAATCTGAACTCTACATCTTAGCTCGAAGCTAATTCCTTTTCTAATCCTCAGTTAGTGTGTCACTGTCTTTTGTGGTTGGTTCTATTTTTCACTCCTTTGTGTGAAACTAGGATACACAAATTTTGCTTTACAGCATTGCGAAACTCCCCTACACATTTCTTCTTGTAAAGGAGAATCTGTAATTATCATCTTGCATAGTTTTTGTGAATTTTATTTCTTTGTTGAGAGAATCTATTAAAAATCTTGGAGAACCATAATATAAATGGACATTTTCGGTGGAAGTGTGAGTGAAAACCGCAAGCAAGATGATTGTTTTTCTAGTTTCACCATCGCCCTGCTTCTCTGAATATTTATCTTGCCTATTTTATCCTGCTCCTATTTCTTCAACATCGTCTTAGATCTTCTTCCTTTCGTGTTACAGTTTTTCAATAGTCTCCCCAGTTGCACCCTTTTCTGTTCACTGATTCATTCATATGCCTGAAAACTCAGCATGTGGTATAGTTCTCAATCGCAACTAGTTGAATTTTTTAATACATTTTGGAATTTGGCTGTAAATGAATCTAGTTAACTTTTATAGAGGAGTTAACAAGGAATATTTTGCCCTCTTTACTGGTCCCAACTCCCTGGTATTCTTCAGAATCCCTACCATTTTCAGCAGAATTATTTGATTAGTGATTACAAATATTATATTTTTTTGGCTTTATTCTCTCTGTAGCAAGTATAAGTGATGTACCACCAGAACTGTTGCTAATTGTTTATCTCATTCATAAGTCTATTTAAATGAAAAGTTCAACCAATCCAATTTCCATGCCGGAAACTATTTGTTCTTTTTCATATTACCTTGAGTTGTCCACTTAAGCCCAGGTTTTACTGTATACACTGTTTTCTAAAATCTTTGCTGTAAGGCAAAACAAGTTTTTTAATGGAATCGTCTCTATCCATTTAATTTGCTCAAGACCAACCACATGGGTGTCAACATCCCTTTTTTGATCATGATTTTGTAACATCGGATATTAATACAAATCACATTTACCAATCCATGTGTTATTACGTGTAACAAAATTCTTCAAAGTATTTCTTTACTTTCTCCTCATTTTCGCTTATATTTCAAATTCTCTCTGATCAAAGTATCAATGACTCTAATAAAGGCGATTGCATGGCACAAAGCAAATTGATCTGCACATGAATTTTGGTCGCCTCAGTCAATTTAGGTATTGCTTTAGTAATTTTATGTTGAATAAAAGCGGAGTTTAATTGTATTGAAGAATCACCTTAACGATCGGAAGTTATCATCGTCAAGTAATGGAAAATAAAAATATTCTCCAATAATATTCAGGAAAATATAGTCTAATGGATGAAGGAATGGAACGTGAGATTCAAATTTTAAACCAAGGCAACTGAAAGATTTGCAAAGAGCTCAGACTTTTTTGGAAGCATGTCAGCACATTTTTCCCATGATTGCAAAATCACGTTTAATTTTTAAAAGCCCACTTCAACTTGGGACCATTAAATTGGGTGTCTGACCACAACCAGCTTCAAGTATCATTAATATAAATGTACGTATTGAATGATCACCAACACATCCGCACCAGGTATTGGAACATCAACCTGAACATTGTAGCCGCTTTTTAATGCACTGGCTTCCATACAGTGCAAATTATTAAGTTATTTGTCTAAATTTTGTCAACTCGTGAATTCTCACNCTATGGAAGCGCATTTACGACATGGAGACAAAGTAAGACTTTAATTCGCTCCTTGAGCATTTATCTTCTCTCATTGATTTTCTAACTCTCAAAATGCTATAAGAATTTTTCAGTTAAAAGCACAAATTAAGCACTTCTTGCAGAATTCAGTGAAATCAGTCTTGTTAAGGAAATTTTCAATTTTGTTCAAGCAGCCAGCTCAGTTTTTACAATTGTCCTAAAAGTTTCTGCCGAGCTCATAAATGACAGTGAAAAAGTGTATCCATCTTTCTTAATCCCACAGTTGAAGAGGCCGAGTCCTTGTCAATGTTTCGATTTCATTCCAATATTTTAAAGGTACAACGGACCACTAGACAAGGTACGAATTTAAGCAATCTGATACATGTTTCTTAACCAGAATTTCACGTAAAACACGATTCACACAACAAAAATTACTGAAACCAACTCCTTACGAAGATATTAATGTTTTAATTTCACATTGGTTACGAGGAGTTTGAACTGCCCGCTCACAAGAAACTCAAAGCTCTACGTGAGTCAAATCGCGCACCACAACGGTTTCAGCAAGCTTCTCAATCGAGCAATGTTCATTTCCCACCATGTGTTGTTCAAACTATTAACAATTTGCTATAGCTGAGCCAAAGCGTCAAGATCGAGGTTGCCAGATTATTATATCGCAGAGACTGTCATGATAACGTTTAGCGCGCGATGTGAATCACGTAGAGCATTGAGTTTTCATTGGCGGGTGGTTTGAATTCACGCATCAAGAACCATTAAATATCTTTAGAAGGAGTTAATATCGGTAATTTTCGTTGTGCGCATCGTATTCTACGTGAAATTTTAGTCACGAAACATGTATCAGAATGCTGAAATTCGTACCTTGGCTAGTAGTCCATTAATGGAATGGAATTAATGAAGGAAGATGAGCAAAAGTTCTTAATATCTTGGTTCAATGTCATTCTTTTTTACACACATTGCTCTAAGTTCGTAACCAACATTTATGCAACTGTTGCTTTCAATTCTCAACTTTTTTATTGATTACAGTTTTGAAGGATCCATAAATCCTTTTCACTTTTACCTATCTAAAAATATAATCAGTAAAATATTACCCTGGAAAATAGTTTTCAAAGTAAACAACTTGAAATTTTTGAGCCTGTTCTGAGTTAAGCTTTATTCTCTATGGAAAGATATATGTTCATCTAAATACTGTAAGTTGAAAAGTTTTGCAGACACTATTTACCAAGACTTGAATCAAAGAAGTACCTATGTTTTTCAAACATTGATATATATTACCCCCAAAATTACTCAGTCATTAAATTTCAGGAATCTCCGATGAGCGCTCAACCGTCTCAGCATGGCAGTGACTTAAACGAGTATTACGAAAGTCTGCGAAACAATGTGATCACTCTTTTGGAACATGTTCGCATTCCACCGATGAACGATGGACAGTCTGATAAACGAATGGAAAGAGTCGGAAATGAACACTTTGACAGTTATTTAAGCAAATTGCAGTCACTCTGCAGCTCTGCTGGTGAAATTTCGCACCCCACTTATTCTGTAAACGAACCTGGCAGGCCTTTGTACGATCCTGTTAAATTCAGCCTCCAAGATTATACTGTATTGCCAACACCTATCTAAATGTTTCCCTTCCCTCTTTGCTGCCAAGCATTTTGTACTATATATTTATGCATCCCCTCTTTTATATCGCTAAAATTTAATTTTTTCAAAATTTATCCATTCGATGGGGAACTTAACGACTTTGAAATTTTGCAATGATCTTACCCCCAAACCATAAGATTATGTAATGTACTCCATAAAAATTGTACTACAACAAAGGATACACAAATGATAATTTATTGCAGAGAAGGGCATACTTTTTGCTGTATTGTACCTATAGCAAGTCAACAGCCATCTTGAGTTCTGTCCCAGTAGCCTATAACTTTGTCTCTCATAAGAAAAAAAAAGACTGCCCTTGGTTCGGAAGGAATCTTCAAGGAGGTAACCTGCAGTCCTGACCTGCAATCTTCAAACCATCAATACTCGGGGTTAACTTCACTATTTTAGGCGTTACCAATCCTGAAATGTTCTTAAAACTTATTAACATTTAGAACACATAACATTTTAAAGTACGTATGTTGGAAGCTGTATTCTAAGCTGAATGGTGTAAAAATTGCATGGCAATGTTGATGATAGTGTAGTTTTGCAGCATTGGCTCTATGCATTTCAGTAAGGATTAAATTCTATGCTTTAGACACCAATCTTCTCTATTGTTTATCAGCTCTAGCAAAGTAACCTGGCAATGTTGCTGCCTAAAAGTAATTAATGTTTCGGCAGGTAATAATTCTCTTGCTTATTAGCTTCAATTCGATTTACTGCATTCTTTACTCGATGCAAACTCACTAGAAGTCAGGTCAGTCAGTATGACAGTTACAAAACTCCTGTTTTAATTTCCTCTTGTGATTTCATTTTTTGGAATTTTTTTTAAAAATATCTGAATCCCCAAGGACCCAACATAAACCAACAGGACCCACGTAATACTTATTATTTCTCACACAGAAAAATGTAAATGAATCAAAGTGAATTCTCGAGGCAAGTGCTTATTTGAACTCAAATTAATGCTCAATGAATGAAAGTCTCTGCTCAATCTGCCTTCGAGTGCGTTTAATTATTAAACCCATGGAAAAATTTGATTTAATTCGTGGACACTTATGGAAATAAGAAATACGTTGCTTGACTTGAATATTGAATGATCTCGTAATGCTCCCCTGATATTTTTTTCATTTTTAAGTATTCACCTTTAGTCTGTCTGTCTGTAAGTATGTATCATTATAGTCTAATTCTCAGAGAATCCGATTATGATTTGAGAGTAACAACAATTTTAAAAGTTAGTGCTATGGATCAAGCCGTTAAAGTTTATCAGTGTAAATTACTCTCATCATTAATGCAATTGATGTATAACCCTAGGTGTATTGTTCATGTTAGTATAATTCTTCCTGTAAATAGGGTATTTTTGTACAATACTTGTAAATTATGCATACTGTTTCAAATTATTTTTGACTGATCTTTTTCGAGATCTTATATTTGTGATATCCGAAAGAAATTTTTATCAAAATTGCTGAAATATCACAAACATTTTGAAAAATTGTATGTCCTTCCTAAATTTTTAAATACATAGACGGATTCATTTGTTACTTATTGTTTTGTGCCGAAAATCTTCTCTTTAATGTTATATTATGCCTGTTTAGTTTCATTCTCTTTTTGTTCTTTTTTTTTCAATATTATTTGTTCCTTGTTCATTGTTTTTTATCCTTGTTTTTTCATCATCGTATTTAAATTCATTGCTCTTTGATTTTTACCTAATCATTAAGTTTTTATTTCTAATGTTTCATGTATCATACTGTGTTATTTTCTAAAAAAGGAAAAAAAAATCACATAGATCATCTTTACAGCCATTATGGATAAAACTGAAATTCAATTAAATTCCTTTTTATGTGCAAACATACATTTTTACGTTTTCTGTTTTATTATAGACATTCACTCCTTCACTATTCAATGCTGAGGCTCTTTTAATTCATATAATTCCTTCCTCTTCTGTTTCCTATGCGTATAATATTTTCTTATCAGAAGAACATGATGCAAAGACGCTATTTATGCATGTCACTCATTGGATTTCCTTTAAAATTAATCCATCAATTACTCATACTCCAGCCGTCTTTTCCCAAATTTCCAAAACTCAAAATTAAAAAAAAAAAAAAGGAAAAAAAAAAAGGGAAAAAAAAGGAAAAAAAAGGGGGAAAAAGGAAAAAAAAGGGGAAAAAAAGGGGAAAAAAGGAAAAAAAAAAAAACTTGTGGGGGCGGGGAGGCACTAGGTCTACTTCTTTCTTTGTGAATATATTTTTGATACTTCAAATACTTTTGATATATTTTCAACCATGTTTTACAAGAAATTTAAATGAAAGATTATGCATTCTGAAGCATAAAGCAATGTAAAAGGGCCCAAAGGATCAATCTAATTTATGCTAAAAAAAAGGGTGGGGGATTTCTTCTTTATGAGAAAAGTAAAAAATAAAAAGTAATGACAATCTTAGCAAATATCATTAAAATCAGTTTTTATTAAGAAACAAGATATTTTTTTTCCTTTTGGGAGGTTCTTTCTTTTTAAATTCTCTCCTTTCTACGATTACTAATAGAAAGGATTTGCTACTCGAGCAAAGCTATTTACATGAAAAAAATGTACAGTATTAATAGTAACGTTTCACTTAAAAAATACTAACAACTTAAAAGTATTACTCACTGATAAAACATCACAATTTGAAAACACGGAAAAGTCAACAGTGTCATTTGTACAAACATTCTTAGGAAGCGACAATATTTGGAATTAACATTTAAATAACAAAATGCAAGTTGCCAGATAGAAGAATGTAAGAGATGAAAAAGAAAGACCTAAAATCATTTTAATCAATAGTGAACAACACATAAAACGGAGAATTTATTCGTCCCATGACAAAATCATTAAAAGCTGGCTATTAAGAACAAATGGTCGGTCGAAACAAGATTGACCATAATTATTTATAAATAATAAGGCAAAGTTAGGCAGACCCAAATCACTTTGTAAAAAAAAGAGAGACTTGGCTGACAGTAAGACTGCTGATAAGGAAACCTTGATTTGACATGCAGCTTCTAAAAAACTAGCCAATTTCTTCAGCCACAATAGAATTTGCATCTACACATCTTAACATACTAGAGTAGTCCTTAGGTTCCAAACACTCACAGAGTGCGGAAACTCCAACTTTTGATGATAATGAATCTCTTATTAGGTATTCCTCTTCATCGTGAGAACACATGAATTAATTATAGTAAAAAAAGGCTTAAAATTGTCATAAAAGATAAGTGGCAAAAGTTTCCAACTGGGCAGATGAGCTGCATATTGTCTAGTTACACAACTAGTAATTTTTGACTAATTCAAACTTTACAAATAAAGTAAATTAAATGAAGTAGGTGGTTACTGTCCCATTTCAAAGTAATATTAGGAAAACTTTTGAAAGAAAGTGAGTTTAGCTCCCTTAAATAAACTAAGTTGGCTGAAAGATTTTTGACAACGATTCAACAGTCACAAGCAGGTTTGCTAAAATAACAGAGGTGATTGCGACTAATATGGATATTTTCACAATTATAAAATCTACAATCTTTCCAGGAGTAAAAATGGGATAAAAAGAGAAGAATGAACTGAATGACAGTGTTCTTCATTCCGCTAGATTTTAAAACTTTGGGGGGGGGGGATTTCTAGCAACAAAAGTTATTGATTTGATTTAATCGTTCATAAAAATTAATTCCTGTGTTAAATTAGCAAACTACACTGGCTTTAATATTATGATGAATTTTAAGCTTTGGCAGGGAAATCATGAAAAAAAAAAAGAAAGAAAAAGAAATGTTAAATACTGTTATGTGCTTCCACATGGATGATAGAATTGAAGTGGTGCTATTTCACATTGAAGACGTAAAACTAGTCAGCACTGCTAAGAGGTGGGTTAAATTTTGATGCCGAATGGCGCTCAGATGCTCTGTCTTGCTCTGATGCAGTGAACAAGTTTTGTCTAAAAAGTTATTAATTCCTCTTGGAGGAAACGCTGACTTCTGAGAGCTACTTCACTCTACCAAGTTTTGTTCAAAGCCCGAAAAATCTGAAAAAAACTCAAGGCAATAGTCTACAGCATTTTCAGGTGGTAACATTGAAAGCGAAAAATCGAATATTGATTGCATTTTGCAAGTTAAATCGAAAATTAAATTATACGACTCTTTCAATGCAATTCAACTAAATTTTCAACAGTTTTTATTCAAACACTCCTTAAATGTATAAGCTTCCTTCAAAACTTGGTATGAGTTTGGCTAGGATCAGCTTTTAAGGTTTCTCCAGATCAAAGAAACTCAACTATTTCAATGATAATGTAAACCCTGGAAAAATTGTAGCATCGACGACTGGTTGTAGACTTTTACCCGACTCATCTCAGTTTCAGTAAATTAGAATAAGAGACACGAAGACATTTTATTTCTGATAGAAAAATACTACAGTAAAACCTCGCTAAGTCGGTTTCCGGATAAGCCGGTAACCTGCTTTAGTCGGTAGAATCGCCCGGTCCCGTTTATCACCCATATAACACAATGCTAAATAAGTCTCGGTATCTCGGTTTGGTCAAATTCTGAACCCGCTTAACTCGGTGAAATTTTTCCATCTCGACCTGTTTTTCTTCGATCGTCACCCGTGATCAAGCGTAGGTAGCGTTTCCGTGCGCGGTGCGGGTCGGGTCAAGTTACGCCACGAAGGGTGAGCGAATCTCCGAGAAAGCGCAGCGCAGTGCGAGAAACGACATCGGAAATAGAGAGATAAGGAATCAAAAACACTCGATAACGACACGAAAGATGAGAACAGTAGAGAATAGGATATCTGATACCGCGTGTTATCTTATCGCGCGTGTGAAAACACGCATGCATAATTAAGCAATTTCACGCATCGATGAGTTGACAGGTCGAGTCGGCACCGGCCCCTCTCCCCCTACCATCTTGCATTGCCCTTCCCCGCTCCCCCCAGGAATCTTCCGCAGAGTTTTTCGGGGATTTTAGCGAGTATTGATACGTTGCATTTTCAGTTCAACGACCCGCCATAGCGGGTGGCCGCGGCGCATCACCGCGCGGCATGCCGCGTGGGGTGCGCGGGGGGTGATACGCAATGGGGTGCCGCGGCACCCCAACATACGATTAACCCGATGACTTCATGATGCCCTGACACTTACAACACGGAATTTCAAGTGCATCTCATGAAATTTTACTCTTTAGTACCATTTTCTTCGATCAAATGGCTCTCCTAAACACTCCTACAAGTCACTCTACACGCACGTTTGAGTTTGTCCAATTTAGGGCGAGTAATTTGAAACAGCGCGGCAGGAAAAGTGGCAGTCCGCGTAAGTCGGTAACCCGCTTAACTCGGTAAATTTCCTCGGTCCCGATGAAAACCGACTTAGCGAGGTTTCACTGTATTATAATCAATCCCTGCTGAGTCAAATTGTGGCGGGATCAAGCTTATGTTCGACTTATGCTAAACATCTGCTCATTAAATCAAATTTCCACCAAAAAAAATCGACATAATGCGATATCATAGCGATTCTGAGAGAAGCCTGGAAATATGAATGGCCTTTAGTGTGTTCCTGCGAATTCCAAATACAGCAAAGCCAGGTAGTTATGTCTGGTAACAAAAAAGTATCTTGCAGCTTTTAATGATTATTCACTAGCTTTGGAACGGCATGGCTCATTTTACAACTTCCCTCATGGGAATTCGTCGGGACCACACGAAAATCTGTCTAACCTATCTTACCCAGCATTTGACTTAACAAGGGTTGACTGTATTTTAAATAAAATTAAAAAAATAAAAGAAAACATCAAAAATTATTGAGAAAAAAAGGAGGTGTTTGCATATTGAGGTTTGTTTACCCTGTGATGTAGGTCCGTACAACCTGGCCAGCAAAATTCGGAATTCGAAGTATGAAAAATGGACCATAATGTCCGATTTTTTTGCTTAAATGAACTCATGATATAATTTCAAGCACTTTTTGTAGAATGAATTTTTTCCATAAATTACACCATTTCCGAGAAAATCGATGATAAACTCGTTGTACCGACCTACGTCATCCAAGATGCCCGAAATGCAAACGCCTCTTTTTTTTTCTCTATGATAAAAAATTGCATAAAGAGAATGCATCTCTGAGAAATCTTATTCTTATGAGGATTACACCCTTAGCCATGATTAAATTTGAGATGAAAATAGAGAGTAGGAGTCGTTGATTTTGCACTATTTTAGACCAAAATAAAAGCTAGTGAGGTATTATGACAGTTTGGTATAGCTCGGAGGGGAGAATTTTTTCCGCAAGAATTTGAGAATGTACAAAGGTAAACAACTAACTAATGTGATGACAGTGACTTTCCATAAGAAGTCAGGTGTTTGAAGAAAAGAGGCATCTGCAAAATAGAAATGCAAAAACAAAATGAATAAGTCTTATAAAATTACAGTTTAATAAACCTAATAAATAGTAAAACCTGATGCATGGTTTCCTGGAGTAGGGATACCTTCAAAAAGGAAAATTAAAATGATACATGGCAGCCAACATTTCTTGTGACGCCACAAAATCTAATGGCCTGATATTTTTCTGTAAGAAGCCAAGTTGCATTTTTAGTGACTTTGAAAGTCTTCATCTCAGCTACTATTTCATTAAATGAAAAACAGAAAAATGCAGGCATTCTCGTTTTTTACGCACTTTCCAAAAATGAATTTGAAAAAAACTGTGCAACAGCCAGGATGAATGCAAAGCCTCTCCTCTCTGTGTTCGTTATTTAGAGAATTAAAATTACAAGTATCAGAATTCTGCATCCATTTTCTCAAAAAGCGATTTTCGAGATATGCTTTCTTGCCCCTGTCCCTTTAATTGAGAATCCCACACGATTATGGAGTCAGAAAGAGGAAACTTACCAAAAAAGTCTTTGAAGACAACTAGTGTGAGAATGTAGATTCCCAAACTAAACAATTCTGCGAGTAGAATCAGATAATGCCATGTGCGGACTGTTAAGGCAACCATGATTAACTCAGTGAGAATCAGTGCAGTGAAGCTGATGGCTACAATATGAATAAACTCATCTTCAAACAAAACCAGGGCACCGTACATGATTACTCCACCTGTGATATTAAGAATAAGATTAATGCATATCAGGACATGAATAAGAAAATTGAAATCACCTGAACACTTTTAAGCGCTCAGCCGATAGGCAGCGCTTTTTAATTTCGACTTGCCTCTAGAGTACGAGTATACTAGTGCTTTTTCGTTTAAATGGCGCACCATCTCATCGATGTGTACGCTTTTTGGGGGGGTCCAGTTTTAAAATAAATGAAGCTGTGAAAACCGTATTTTATGCTTTTAACGTAATGCGCAGGTAGTTTCAATCGTTTGTCTATGAGAAAATTTCTTAGCAGTAGAGTAATTCTTATCGAAATTGATCGTTGAACTCAAATGAAGCCTAAAAAAACGCGCCTGATGAGCTTAACGGTGACTATCATTTTCGGGAAACGAAAAAACGCGTTTACGGTTTCCTTGGTAACCTTTGTTTGCTATCAGCTGATGTTTTACTTCCATTACCCAGCCAAGTCGACGGAGTTTATACTTCCTTTCTTCACTAAATACATTGACTAACACCTGAGCGCTTTTCTAATACCACAGTATTAGAACTTTCCCGCTTGTTTTATTTTCTTTCTCTTTTTTACGCAACAGGAGCACTAACTCTTTTTAAAGATCTACAAAAATTTGAGGACTCAGCTCTGAATCAGTTCAGTAGACAGATTCCTCGTCAATATGTTTTAGCATTTGTTGTCTCAAAAAACCTAGAAATAACAAAGAACAGGGCAAAAAATTCAGGTTACAAACTATTTTTGCCAGAGATGAATGCAATTCTGGACTGACTCTTCTTGAGGGAATCCCTCAATTATTACTTTATGGCTTTCACAAAGAAGAAGAACACTCACTTCAGCGGGCGAATTATTGCCATTTTGTGTTTGTCGGGCGGACATAGATGACATAAGTTAAATGGCGGAGCGTGATTGATCGGCTATGTCTTATCGCTGTTTCGTCATGCCTTTGTCAGGTGGAATTCACGACAAGCTAAAGGCACCTCTTGAGTTTACGACAGTGTGTTGTCCAATCCACCAGACAAAGGCACGACAAAGCAACGACAAGACATGGCCGACCAATCACGCTCCGCCATTTAACCTATGTCATCTATCTCCGCCTGACAAACACAAAATTTCAATAATTGACCTGTAGGAGTTACATTGCATTTGAATGCTTACACAGTGATTAACAATATTAAAACTACAATCTGCGCCCCTCCTATCTTGCCTAACTTGCTGACATATAATTTACTATGCAAAACTCTGAAAAAAATCTCACATGAATATCATCCACTCTTTCCCTAAAATGAGTTAATAAAATGTCAAACCACTAACCTTGATATATACTGATTAAAACCCACATGAAGAAAGTTTTAAAGGATAAAGATCTGCCTTTACTGAGATCTTTATACAGCTCAGGATACGTTAACGCTATTTTACCGGAGACATCCTTATCTAAGACTAGAGAGAAGACTGGGAACATTGTGTATATTGTTGCATACCTGAAAATATAAAATCACAGGTATAAAGTTTTTTGCCTTAAAAAATGTCATAAAAACCACAAGCTAAATCCAAACAAAAAAAACAAAAAAATTGAATATAGCAAAATCGGTACCAAAATGTAAAAAAAAAAAAAAAAAAAAAAGGAGATCGACAAAATAATTGTACAACTAAAGGAAAAACAGAAGAGATGGACTTTTCAGATCTTTTTAACTAGAGGATCTGTAGGATCAGTTTCATAACTTTCAGTAAAAAGCTATCCAGCTTGGCTGTTACAGACGAGGTAGATTTTTTCAAGCTCATTGGAGGACCGAGTATATTATGACTAAATGAAATTAAAGGTACATAAAAGGCTTAGTCTTTATTTGCAAAACATCAAACTACAGTTTTCTATTTTACAAAAAAAAAAAGAAAAAAAAAGGCCTTCCAAATGGAACTGGACAGTAATGCAGAGATAATAAAAATTTAGTTATTCATAGCGATGAGTACAAATTTACATAAATTAAAACATAAATAATGCCTAGGAACATAGAATTCAACCACAGTTGAATTAGCAAAAACGAAAACACACCAACTCGGAAAAATGAAAATAATCAAGACACGTGCATAACTGCACAGTGGGTGAAGAGGTTAGTTTCAGAGAAAGATTCTTGCTGCCGAAAGACAAGTACTTATGGACACTTTAAAGGTCCAAGTTAGAACAGATGCGCTAACTTCAATGACCTTTATGTAAATTAACAGTCTTTAATGGAAATTGAGCATTTTCGAGTTACCAAGTGTGTGTGTTGTGCGTTTTCGTTCTCACTGATTCAGTTACGACGATTAAAAGTTTGCAGTTTAAGAGACATAATGGAGGAGAAAAAGCCTTGCAGGTGACTTTAAACTGTCAGATAAAAAAGTTACGCCTAGTATTGGCACTAATTGCAGTAAACACCTATTCCCTCATTCTTTAGGATATTGTAGGTAGAGTCTTCAATCCATTGGCATTAAAGGACAAGCTGCCTCGCCCTGAGACCTGGCAAACATTTATTTTCGCCTTGCTTCTTCACATTCACAGTCACAAAACCCGATATTTTTAATATTTAATGATCTAAAATTTGAATACGACTATACAATAAAATAAATTTTAAGTATTTTACCAATTTCCGGATCAATTTGTTGCTTCTCTGATGTATGAGCGTATCTCAACTTCTGCATGAGCCCCAAAAGGTACGAAATCAAATGTGAAACAAGGCTGACATAGAAATTGAGATAAGCCCTTACATTAGAGGGGTGACAAATAGCTACCACACTCATTTTGAATTCATGCTAACTTATCTTACTTGAAAATGATAAATGCTTGAAAGCAAAGCAGAAATTGACGGATGCTCACCCAATCGTTAAGAATCCTGGATACAATGGAACGGAGGAGAAATAAAAAACTGCAGAGAAAATTGCCTGCATTGTAGAAATAATGAGGCCTCGGTGGATGACAAACTGAGAGAGTGATGCGGATCTCTTGTATGAGTTTCGGCCGTGAACTAATAAGAGTCGTGCTAGGTGAGAAAACTGAGGTATGGAGAAATCTGCAGCAAGAGATGCTTGTTTACCTTCAATTCCAGCAATTCCAATCCCTACAAACATTCGAAACTCATGCATGAATATAGTTAAGTTAAGAATTAGGATATAGTTAAACCATAAAAAATATCTCTCTTTGTGTTCCTTCTCCATTGTGGATAATTAAAAATCTGGAAAATTAAAATTTCTCCAAAAAAATGCAATTTTAGGAGGGAGAGTTTTAAGGTTACAAAAACTTTGGATAAAGGTTTGGATGGTCTAAGTTTGGTGAAAGAGATGAGTCCAAAAATTTAACCCTTTCCGGTCCAATGTCGGATATATTCGCCGTGAAAAATAACGCGTTTAGGTCCGATGTCGGATATAGTCGCCCAAAAGTTTGAACTTCTGTGCAGGCCCGATGTCGGGTATATTCGACTGCTCCAGCAAGTGGCGGCCTCTGGTGGAGCCTTTGGAAACCACTGTCTTTGTTGACAACATCGCTGCTACCTTAACCTCACTTAACGACGGCCGTGGAAAACTGCCGCGGACCGGAAAGGGTTAAAAGTTAAAAAAGCTGATTAAAACCAAGATGAACCTCAAGTTTTGGTTTAGAGCATAAATACCTTGAGTATGTAATTTAAAAGTAGAGCCAATTGATGAGACCAAAAATAGGAAATGATAACATGATGACTTTACCAGTATCTGCAGCTTGGATCATGCTGACATCATTTCCCCCGTCTCCAACAGCAGCTGTTCGTTTCCCAGTATGTTGTTTGATTAGACTAACAACTTGGGCTTTCTGCGTTGGCGAACATCGACAGCAAACGACAGCTGGACTCCTACAGGCTACATCTAGGAACTCAGTTTGGTAATATTGTAAGCAGACCTGAAATTAGGATCACTGATTTAATATACGTCTACTGTGATGTAAAGAAATATACCAGTAAAACAAGTGGCACAAGCTACCTGCTGAAATGGCCCCCCAGATCCCTCCCCGTTTCAACTTGTATTTGTGAAACTTTCAGTATCATAGAAGTCATACAGCGACATGCTGGATGAAATGCCATGATTGAAATTGTTGAATCATATGATTAATTGATGAAAACAGTGGTAATTATGGAACCATATCTAAATGGTAGTTTGGTTTCTTTACTTCTCTAATATATAGCCTCTGCGAAATGGGGTCTGCTTTCATCGAAGTCAGAGTTTTTTCCTCAGACTAACTTAGCTTCGCTGCACGCTTAAAAACGATGTAAAGGATATTCAGGTTTAATCCATTTGTATTATTTGACACACTTACACACAAAATATAATACCTCCAGTCTACAACTTAAGAAGTGGCAGCTGAAAGGCAAAGTTAGTGACTGTCTTGGGGCATTGTTTAAGGGTTGAAACGTAGGCATGTTGGCACATTAAAAGGACCTGGGCTTGCAAAAGCCCATCAAACCTCAAATAATGGCTCGAGCCACTTACCTGACTCTGCCCTCCAGCCGCCATTCTTCGTACCATAGACCATTATATTATGATTACACACCAACCTACGGCTGATGGAAGCTTAAGATCCTAACTTTCAGGTAAACCTTAGATTATCTTGATATGGGACATACCCATTTCCGCAATTTCAGCAGTTCTAGTAATTTTCGATTGCCTTCAAATCATTTCATTAATTATTTTAGTGGATAATTTTTTTATTTATTTATTTTTTTAAATGAGAGCCTGGGTTTCCTCCTCCAATGAAACAATATAATCATATTTACTTCTTAAGCTCTCTCACAAAATTTTTAAGCAAAGAATTTTAGTTTACCTCTAGGGAGTCTCCTGAAATGACGAGAGCACAATCTTGTTTCTTGCGAAATGCATTCAACTGAAGATGAGCATCAGTTCGAGTTAGAACTGGCGAAAAAATATAAAACTCCTGAGTTCTTGAGACTAGGGTGGAACTTTTCGCGATACAGGTGGCTGTTTCTAATTTATCACCGGTCAACATCCAAACCTATGCCAACAAAACAAATATCTTAGTATGAAAAGGAGGATAGGTTCACATGCAAGAAGGTATACAGTAAAGCTAGCTTTGTACTGATGATTGTATTGTTCTAGCTAGGTAAAGAAATAAAGCGGATGATTCGACTGCTTACTCCATTTTTCAAAGTATCGAGGGCAAAATTATCATAAAACTGAGAAATGGTGTTGAAAGATGGATGAAAGCAATGTAACCTCCGACAGGAAACAAGCAAGGAGGTATCAAAGGCATTGCAAATGTGTGCCCTTAAATTAAATACCCTTTGATAATTTATCATTTTGTTCTACCCGAATACTTCAGCTGATGATCCGGCATCTGGTTCAGGTCAGAAACAAAAATTTGGTACACATATCTGGTGGCATGGAAGATCCGTTTCAGCCCAACTTTTTCTTCCTCATGTTTAAGTTACTTTTTGAAGAACACTACACAGGAGCCCCAATCTTCAATGGAAAATTTGTTGACAACCCGATTTTTTAATTCATACTCATAGTATGTTTTGACTTCATCCAGCCCACACTTGATAAAAAAATGAGTTTCCTCAGCATCAACTTGAATATTCCAAGAAACAGGATATAAGACCCGTGAAAAAACCGAGAACCATTGAAATCAGTTCTTAGATCGAGCCTTTACCGTTCTGCTGTTGTTAGGATGTTACAACTAGGGCACGAGGATAGTAACACTTGAAACAATTTCCAAGTTTGAGATTAATGGAGGATATTGATAGAGACAGAGCAACTTACTTTGATTCCAGCATTTCTTAATAACTCTAATGTTGGGCGTACATTATGCTGCAACTTGTCTTCAACTCCAGTTACACACAATAATTCCATTTCTCTTTCTAAACTTTCGACTACTGCTGCTACTCGACTTGCACGTTCTGTGATACTCATTCTGGCAGAGTTGTACCTGGTCTGAAAAGAGACATTCATTACCTTCAATCTAACGTGCTGCTGAACATTTAATTTTTTTGTTTAAGAGTGAAATACATAAGCAGGTAGGTACAAAGTAGTGAATGAGTCAACATTTAATGCTCATTGTTTTTACTCAAACAGCTTTATTTACTGCATAACTCTGTTTTGGTGTTTCAAAATCTCTGCTCTCATTCCATATTTTAGAAGGAGACCAAATTAACATCCTGGATAAAATTTTTACAGAATATTCTTCATATAGAGAAGAAAAATAATCTAAGTTTTCAAGAAAAGACATTCAGTAGTTTCCCAGGTAGAAAATAAAGTATGACAGGAAGTCTTCAACACTGCAAACTAATATACGCATTTCTGCAGTTTCACCAATGTGTGTCAGACACTTGTCAATCCTGAGCAGGGTTCTTAAATTTTTTTCATGTTTAAAATGTTTGAAAAAATGATATACAGATAACTATCATACGTAAACATCATTGTTGATAAAAACATAGGAGATGTACACTTAGAAAACCAATTTCTAGTATGATAAAAGCCTTTTGAGTAAAGCCTTAGGATATTACAGCCTGTCTCAATGAGTCAGTGGCATAACATTTAGATCTTGAAATAATAGTTCGTAAATAACCAAAAAGTCTATTAAAAAGATAGAAAAAGCACTTGGAAGTGGAGATAAAACCGATTAAAATCTGACCAACCAGAGGCCGACAGTCGTGATGTCGTAACTAGGAATCTTTGGCTGGGCTTCAGTCACTCGGCGAATGCGAACTCCCTTGCTTGCCTACAATATGACAGAGTGAAAATATCTTTTCGGATGGGTCCAGAATTTGATGTTTTCAAAATCGATCTGCTCTGTCAACTTGAGTTGAAAAGTATAAAAAGAATTACTGGGAACTTAACTCACTCGCTCCTTTAGAAAATAGATTTTAAAAAAAGGCACCACTGACCCACTGAGTAATAAATCCTCAGACGCAATTAACTTTCAAATTGGATTTTTTGAAAAACGTGGAACAAATTAATGAAGTGTTCAACTGAACCATCATAATCACTTAATGCGGAATTGTTTACATTGAACACTTTAAAAATCATTAGACTTAAGCTGAAAATCCTACTTAGACCTCCCACTGTCATATTCAATCCTGTTATTGGAGGTTTCAAGGAGATAGTAATAAGATCGAATAGGAAATGAAGAGCCTTTAAATAATGTCACTTCGATTGAAAAAGGGTAATACTTACTTCAAAATCCAAGTATTGCTCTTCCGTGAGTGTTTTCTTTGCAACAACTAAAGTTCGAAAGCCTTCCCTTGCCATGTTATCACACTCTTCATCCAACCAATCTGTATACTGAACAATACTCTTCATGACGATATCAGCACCTTTCAAGTAGAAAATTATCTCTCCACTAGATTCATCCTAGAAAAAAAAAACAGAACACGAGCGTTAAATGTAGATAACAAAATTTGAATTTTTGATACATTAAAAAAAAAAAAAAAACAAAAACAAAGAAAACAAGAAGGCATCAACATTTTTTTTTTTTTTTTTTAGGAAGATTGGAAATAATCATGCTCATCAAAAATCTAAGAAGGTTCTTGAGGAAATCATAGTTTACATCCAGCATGTTTTAAAGATCTTTTGAAGATTATTTGTTATTTTGAATGAGTAACAACGATCCTTGAAGATGTTTGTTCTGAGGAAAGCAAAGCTGCCGACCATGACGGTTTAGAATTGAGATCAAGCTGACGACAAGTTTTGATTGGAAGACAAATGAAATTATACCTGTGTTCACAGCAGATATCAAAGACCATCATTTTTAAGGATAGTGCTTTCTCAGAAACTACAAACCTTCAAGAGTGTTGAAACTGAGTTTCAGACTTACAGCATATTTTCAATTGAGATAGGAATGAAAAACCGTGTAATGTATTAAAAAAGCGGATAAAGTTCACCCTTAATACAGTGAAAGTGGTCGAACGTTGTTTTTTTAAAATCATTGTGTTTCAATTGACATTTGCTTCAAATTATAAGTCCTGAAGCTAATTTCTTAGAAAAAAAGTGGCTTTAAAAACATCAAAAGGCACAGCTTTGAAAATTTGGATGCAATTTTGTAGAAACTTCAAAACTTGACATCTGCTTTTCATACATGTATGACTTCAAATGCTTGAAAATTCCCAATTTTTGGCAGCATCTGCCATAGGACATTCTTACAATCTTCTTGAAAATTTGCTAACCGATAATTCTCATCCTTGCATAACCTGCTTACCTTAACAAGGATACCCATGCGTTTGGTCTCCGAGGTAAAAGGGAACATCTGAAGAATTGAAAATTTTGACAGGTGTTTCGTCGGAGTTCGGAGAGTGAGAGACACTAAATCTCTTTTGACAACAGCCAAGCCGACTTCTTCTGACCATCTGACAAGTGCAACTTCATCTGGACTTGAAGCTTGATAGACAACGTTTGAGGGACGCTCTGACCATTGCTCATCGTTGGATTTTGAGTTCACTTCAATCCTAAGGCAAAAACAAAGAGAAAATACTATATTAAGAAAGAAAAACTCTGACAAACGAAGAGAAACTACTATGTATATTTATTAAAAAAGGAGACTTCTGGCATAAACAAAGAGAAAATACTATATTAAGAAAGGAGAACTCGGAAAGTAAACGTCAGAACAGTGTAACTAGAAAACATACTGTATCTCACATAATAAAACTTTTTCCAATGCTAATGACTGTTTCAGACCACCTTGTGGTTATCTAAGTCATGATTGTACCTATAATTTCACAAAAATTTCATAGCTATGGGGGAAAACCTGATTTTTAATCTGCAGGCTAGTTATTGAAATTTCTAGACAAAGAAGTCAAGGGGAAAAGGGAATAATCGTCTTGGTGGAAGCGGGTGGTTACAATGGACACAGAAGGTAAGAAATTGCCTAAAAGTGATTAACAGCGACCCTCCAGAGACTCTTTAGTTAGTCTAGCATTTTCCCTTTCGTCAATAACAAACAACCACCAGCTTCAACCAATAGGATCGCTACATGTTCTCTTTGTCTTCCTTGTCTATCGCTTCCTTTAATGATTTCAATAATCAACCCATTACTGCACTGTACAGCTGTCTATTCCATGTTTTTCAGTTTTGTCTTCAGAAAAATGTTGAACTGATCCTTCTAGAGGCTGCCGTTGAATCTTTGAATCTTTCGTGGTTTCCTCAAAAACGACCTGATTTTAACTCTATTCAGCGTTTACATTCGTTTGTTGGGAGAGGAATATAATTCATTGAATACTTACAACTCTCCACTTTCCAGCTCTGTTTTTGTTTCGCAAACAGGGGTAACATTGTGACATAGAGCGATGGCTTTTACAGCTTCATAAACTCTGGAATGTTCTGAGCGGCGGATTTTAGACTGTGCAGGAGTGGAAGATGCTTGCCGACTGCCTGAGGAACCAGCATCGGAGACACTGAACAAAGCTTTGTAAGCAGTGAGCAGCTGCTCCTTCACCTGAACAGGAAGTTAAAACATTAAACCGGTTTTTGATTGAAATCTTTGAGAACCATCAACTAAAAATTGACTGTGAACCTTGAGAGAGAGACTCATAATACACCTAAGCAGTAAAGTTCATGAATGATAAAATATTTGGACAATACCGATGTTTTTAATAGTATTTGTGAGCGTCAAGAGGTAAAAGGACATAAGTCTAAAAGAAGTGGATGTATCTATGCTGAAAGGAACTATGTGCAAAGGATTTGTGGGCAAAGTTTCTTTTAGCATAAATAAGTCCGACTAAAAAACAAGTTATTGATATCAGAGCACAAAGCAGTGTTCTATGATTTTGTGGCATGAGCAAATGCCTAAAAATGATAAATTGCAAATTACTGATGGATTTCTTACCTGACCAAAACTATCTTGACCATAAAATGCAGTTCCTAGATGTAAGCGTTTGAAAATCATTGAGTTTTGAGTCAGGGTACCAGTCTTGTCACTTAACAAATATGAAATCCGCCCAAGTTCTTCAGGAATGGTTGTGCATCGTACAACTGTATCAGGCATCTCTGGATCTCTCTGCATTGACCAAGAGTAGAACGATTTGCCCATGTCTAGATTCACTCGTAAACTGAAAAAGTCATGAGCAGAGAGTTGAGGAAGACGAGATTATAAGGGGATGTTTTGTCATCCTTTAAGCATCCTTAGAGAGGAGAAGTTACACAATGCAAATTTAGATCTTAAGAATCTTCAAAAATACCGACTATTTTTTATTGTTTATTTTGTAGGAGTGTGATAAAATTAAATGTTATTCAAAGACAATTACAGACATGGAGACATCAAATAGTGAGCTCCTCACCTTCATTTTAGGTTTCAAAGAATAAAAAACTGTGATTAAAGAGCAAAGTAAATGAAGGAATTTGCCACAGGAAATCCTTCATTACGCAGTATGAAATTGGAGTTCAGAAGGCAGAGAGCCCGGCCCAGATCCGAGCAGCAGTTTAGGGTCCTATTCGAGTAAAAACACAGGACTTTGAATAATTCATTTATTAGATTATACGAGTCTTGGATCTGCGTGGGAGCTTCAAGCTCAATAAAACTTAAATAGCAACCACATTATCTTCCAACATTTTACGCACGATGGAATAATTAATTACCTGATGGGAATGATGTACGAGAAGAGAAGAACAAAACGGAACATGTAACGATACCAGGGTCCACTAAATCCTTTCAGACACATCATAATAAAAGCAAGTCCAACAACAGCTACAAATAAAACCTGAAAAAAATAAGTTGTGGCACTAGTTAGTTTAGATAAAAATGTACAAAGAGAAATTTTTTGGTATTAAAAAAATTAATTTGCAATCCGAGTCCTGTATAGGACAACAGGGATCTTTCAAGAGAGAATATTTGTTCTTGGGAAAGATAAAAGTTCGGTTGATCCCTTGCTCTGAAATAGTTTTGGAGTAGCAAAAAAAGAAAATTGCCATTTTTGGATTCTAAATATAATGTGTTTGAGTCAGTATTACTCTGAAATAACTGCAGGTTTGCCATAATTTCTTCATTTTCAAATTCCCTGACTCTAAAATTTTCGGATTCCCTGGCATTTCAATAAAACTTCCATTTTGGTTTTTGCCCTTTAAATTACACTCACTTCTGCTAAACACGCCTCGCAAAATTCCCCGACTTTTTTCGGTAGCCACAAATTCCCTAACCTGCCCGGAAAGGATTGTTGTTCCTTTAATTGTCCGTTTTGTTCTCGGTTTTCCAGACCACCAGCAACCCTGAACTGTTATCCATGATAAGCAAGTTCAATCAACACCGACTCCACTGAAAAACTTTCCGCAAAGTGGGAACCAAATGGCTAAGTGATAGGTAAACTTAAAATGGTAGCTCACCTTTGTCAGCTGATTGATTTCAATATCAAGTTGGCCAACTTTACTCCTAGGCTGACTGTTGTTCATTACACTGCGAGTTTCAGCTCCTGTATACACAACAGCTCCAAGCGCTGAGCCAGATGCAACAACACAGTTTGCCCACAGGGTGTTTTCGACATCTAAACTTTCCTCTCCATTCCTATCAGAGTCATCCTGGAGCAAAAATAAAAAAAAATCATTTTTTTTTTTTTTTAAATTGAAACCATTAAATTAGAAAAGTTGCTGCCTTAAGAAGCCATTGAATTATCTGATTACGTAAGGACTGGCTGCAAAAAATTTCCCCTTTCTTTTCTTTTCTTTCCTTTTTTTAAGGCTATGAGGAATTCATAACTTTTTACCTTACATTAATATTTCTGTGAGGCCTTCTCTTCCTGAATGTCTGTCTCACTGACTGATGATGAATCAGATATTTATAGAAAACCAGATTCAATCCATCAGAATACGTACATGTATGCATTGCCTTCATGGCCAAGTTCTGGAATTCAATATGTTACAATCCATTCGGTTGTGTATCAAAGCATTTTAGAATGCAGTCAATTAAGACATGTAAATGAACCAAACATTTAAAGAAAATAATACCATTTTGAAGGTTCCTATGAAACTGTGGATGTCACGTTGAGGTTTCTCAGCAAATAGTTTGGCGTGGATGTCAAATAATCGATCATCCGATTCCAACTTCTGCGTTTCCGGTACAGCTAGCCTTAATTTCCAATCTGTCTCTCCATCTAGCTGATCCGTTCGAACAAAACATGCACCGGATTTTTCAGTGGTCCTTAAAAGAACCAAATCTGCGGGAACTCTCTGATCTTTTTCAACAAGGATCTGAAATTTAAAATAATAATGAGACAGATAAATGAGAAAGCTATACAAAGGACTTTTAATTGAAGATACTAAGGGTAAAAAGAATACTGAAATTTTTGGTCGATCTGGAACATTTTTAAGGTAGGATTCAACAAAAATAAATGCTCTGTTTGTCAAATTCAAGATGAAGGGAGCTAAATGTATTCAGATGGTTCACTGTAGGGCCGAGTAGTGGACAGGTTTTACAGAAACCAAAGAGTTTCTCTACTGCACAATGCATAAAGCAAGATAAATAAATTAACAAAAAACTCATTTGTGTAAAATTATTTTAAATCAAACGCATTTCGACGCTCTAGCCAACCTCAGTGATGAGACGCGACTGCTTGTGTTCTTCTTGGATTCTCCTTTCTTCCAATGCACTGTGTTGTCAAATTTCATGTAACTTAGGGGAGAGAATTCACTGTTCCACCAACATTCAAGTTGTAACAGTTTCTTAGGACTTTGTATAATGTAAGTTAAAGGGAGAGAAAGTGAAACCTGACAAAAACGCAAATTAAGAAAAAAAAAAGAGGTCAAGAAAGATTCTATTCAAAGATGCTATTCTTGACTCAAAGCATTTCGAAAGGGCGATTTTTCATTTTGACCCCTTTTTCAGCTGAAGTGTAGTTGTCATTCAGGGATGAGTGTGCAACCACTAAGGAGAACTGGCCAGAGACAACCGTTAAAATCAGGGGATCCATTAAAAAACTAAGACATTCAAAATGCACAACTGAGTTAAAAATTTGAGCTTACCAAGTCTCCAACTTTCAACTTGGATGATGCCACAGGCTCTGTGTCTACCCTGCCATCCTTCCCTCGAATCAATCTTCGGTATTTTTGACTATTTACCTCTTCATCTCTTTGATGTCTCCGAAAATCATCAATGGCTTCCCGGCATAGCGTTACAAGTAGCACAAAAATCTATAGAAGAAAAATGAATTCAGTAAGCAAAAAACAAATAAAATAGTCTGATAAATATAAAATGGAGTGCTGAATAATTTTAGAGGTTTTACCCTATCATAAGGAGAGGAGCTTACGTTTCTGGCTATATTTATATAAGTAATTGAAAAAAAAATACCAACAGGAAAATTATTTTCTCAATTGTAAGAGTTATAGGGGCAGGGTCATTTCGGGCACATTCAGTGTTACATGCTACTTATTACATTTATTAATCCATTTTCCTTGATTTTTTTCTTAAAATTTCCTTCTTATTTCCTGATTTCATCATTATTCTTCAAATAATTTATTTGTGCAAGGGAAGACCTTCACAAGAAGATTTTTGGTTTAAATTAGACTAGAGGACTGAATTAAAAATATTGATATTATGTACTAATTTTTTCTTTTCCCTCATGATCATTGGGAATCAGTGGATCACCAAGGTAATTTTACAGTATTCAGCAGGTATGAGGTGTGCTTCAGTAAGCTATCACATGAAATGGAGCTCAGTGCCGCTCAAAGAAAACCCTTAAAAATTTTCTTCACAGTAAAAGACAAAATGCTGGAGGACTTAGTGCACATAAAGTAGCGCACTTGATAGTTTTCTTCACAGATACTGACATGTTCGACAGTTTTCTTTACAAAAACTGGTACTTGTGACATTTTCTTCACAAAACTCAGTGTGCAATTTTTTTTTTCAATTTTTCCCAGTGCAACATGCAGCGACTGTGTAACAGAAAACTTTAAAAAACAGTTCATTTTCCTCAATTGCTTTGAAATAAAAGTTTGAATGCACTCCTATGTTTTAATATTTTCTAAATGCCTGTGATAGTTTGTGGACAAATTAATTCAACAGCAGAGTTTTAATTTTCAGTTCGCAGCCACCAATGGTTGACACTATCCAAAATATGTTAATTAAGACAATTAGACGGTGTATGTCCGCAATCACATTACTCGGTTTGCGACGTCCCAGACTTCCTGTCATACTTAATTTTTTAACCCTTTGACGGCCGCGTTAGGAATACGGCCGCCGATAGTGGCGCTCTCTGTCAAGGATAAGATAAAGATGTAGTTCACATATTTGCCGACAGAGTGCGCACATGCTGTATACTGAATTTCATTGAAAAACAAGGGAGCTAGAGCGGGAAATACGAACGCGAGGCGCAGCACGAGAATACTCGGGCGTGGTCTGTGACGGTGGCTCGCCGCAACCCGAGTATTCTCGGGCGTGGTACTCAAAGGGTTAAACAGAAAACTACTCAACGGCAGTTCTTTAAAACTGTCATGATTTTTCTTCTCCGTGCAAAGAAAATTCTGCATGAACTTCAAGGAATGATGCTAATTTCTTCTTCTTTAAAAAAATAACATAGAGACGGAGATTTTCAGACACCACAAATGAGATATGTGATTGCGGACTTGCGCTGTCAAATTACTAGTCTGGGTGCAAGTAGATTTGAGACCATTTCAAAGACTATTTTGTCAAGAGAAAATGGACTTACCAGTGGTCCCCAGTATGTATATAGATAGCCTAATTTTAGCTCAGGAAAAAACTGACTCAACGCCATGAGCAAGAAGTAAAGATTGAGGAAAAATTTAAACTGCTGAAATAATACCTGAAAAAATTGAAAAGAAAGCATGTTTTAGTGAAAAATCAAGACAACTAATGATTCTACTTTCTGTGAGGATCCTAAGAATGAAGGCAAAAGCTTCATTGTAACAAGTGATCATTGGATGAAAAATTTGTTTAACTCTTGCAGGCAGTGGCAGAGGCAGTTTTATTTCAATGATCCTTTTTATTTTGTCACAGCTTTTTATAGGCTAGTTTTTTTTTTTATTAAAACAATGAATATAATATGAAACTGAGAAAAAGTTCTAAAGCTTGAGCAAAACCATTTTAAAAGTTTGAAATCATATGAGGCACTTTAGGTAGATGGTGCACTCACACCTGTACACCGATCAAGGAGCTTCCGCTCCATGAAATGAAGATCAATCCCTTTGTGAGCTACTCTTGACCAGCTAAGTCTCTTACATAACAGACGAACAAAATTTGATGATTATTATTAGGTACCGAAATTATCAAAATGGGGTGTGAAGATGGAAGATTGGACCAGGCCATCAAGAACAGGAATATGCAGGGTAGGAGGGCAATCGCTATGTTAAATGGAGTCCTTTGGGACCAAAGGATCTCCAAAGAGAACAAAAGAAGGATCTACAACGCGATTGTCAAGAGCATAGTAACCTACGGGTGTGAAGTATGGCCGATGAAACAGCGGACCCGGGAGGTTTTAGAGGCAACAGAGATGGACTTCTGGCGTAGATCTGCTGGTATTTCCAGAAAGGATCGCGTCAGGAATGAGACCGTACAGGAGATCATGGATGCCAAGCAGACCATCGTGCATGACATTATGACAAAACAACTCATTTGGTATGGTCATGTCCAGAGAATGGCAGGAGACAGGTTGCCGAAGAAGGTCCTTGACTGGGTTCCTCCTGGGAGAAGACGCAGAGGGCGCCCAATGAAAGGTTGGAGGGAAGGGATTGAAGCGGAAATGTTAAGGTGCTCAATCCCCCAAGATTTGTGGTTTGAAAGAGAGCAGTGGAGGTTAGGGGTCGTAAAGCGCGAGGGAGTGCTGTAAAGCGACTTATGTATGTATGGGTGTGAAGAATTTAATAAAAAAACTTTTCCAGATTAAGACTGATTTTGAAGAAATTAACTAGCTCAGTAATTTTTAATTCTCGCATGCTTGAAAATTAGAGTGCACTTATTTTGCAAGAAAGAGCAGGTTAAAATTAATAATTTTCTGTGAAAGAATACATGACAAATGAATACATAACTGCATACAAATACTTACTAATGGTAAAAATGTGAAAAAATTATACTTCTGGTTCCTAATAACATTTGCAGGATATTTTTCTGTGCACTGTTTTCCGATGATTAATGTTCGGTCTCGAAGTTCTTTCCGTCTTCGGCATTTTTGCCACAACCATGTACAACACCTGAACAGAAATTAAAAATCAAAATTTTAGCCAACAATAGCATGAGAAGGAAGAAACGAACTCCATAAATGCACATAGGTAAAAAACCACCTGTCATTGTAGATTCAGGGCTTACTGCATTTTTATCACTTTCCAGCTGGATAGAACTAAATTTAAATGGCGGATTTTGCCATCTGCTGATTGACCAACCAGCCAACTAAAGGAAAATGCAACCTCGTTCACCGAAAATGAAGGTCCACACTGACAGAATCCAGTCCAATATAATAAAGACATTAATTGATATCATCAAATCCACTTGTACTCAATTAACTTACACCGCAGAGAGCTTTTTGTGCATTAACGTATGCAAGCCAATTTGTACGACTTCTAACCATCAATTACTGATACTGTGTTTCATTTCAAAATCATAATGCTCTAAAAACAGGGCAAAATCATTGAAAATTCAAAAGAAATCACAATGAAACAAAGAAAACTGTCATTTTTGGTGAATATGCTCCTTTTTTAGGAGAACATTCTAACATGTCAATTAAAGATAGCTCCTGAATTTTTCAAGAAAACTAAGAAAAATTACATAAAATAAAATTCCACACCGAGTAACTAGTTCTAGATAAAAATAGATGGACTAGAAAAGACGAGCTTCAAGTTTGAATCATTATTCTGTTACACACAGGAGCTCATCTGGAGTTCGTTTGATATTCTCTTCTGGCCAGAACCGTCACAGGACTCCTTTACAAATGCAGGAAGGGGGAAAAAATACATACAAAACAAGTTAAACGACCCATGTTAAAAATAATTATCCGAGCCCTAAAATTATAGTTTGACAAATACCTAAGCCAACATTGAACAGAACAGAAGAAAGCAGGGAGAACTTTACCGAATTTCTCGAAAAGAAACGTTTAAGAGGAGGAGACAAAAGGAAGTTTCAATGAGCCCAACACCTTAATAATAGGACTACATTTTGCAATTTGGAACTATAAATTCTAGCCCGGTTTAAAAACAACGTATGTGCCATTAGCTTCCCTATGTACATAAGTGTTTTTCCAGAGGAGCCAGAATTTATAGTTCCAAATTGCAAAAGGCAGTACAATAAGTCCAGGAGTTTCATTCATGCCGAGGAAAATTTCATAGGTATATCATTGTGAATATCAAGGTGCATACGGTCGAAAGAAAGTATTGAAAAATGTAAAAAATTAAGGAGGATACCCATTTCAAGATAGGAAGGTATACCAGCTTGCATAGGCTCTAATAAAGAATTTCCAAGAGTCAGAAGCAAACTCTGTTACAGAACATTTAATATTCCCTAGGTTGGAGAATGAAAACAATTTTTTTAAAATTTCTAAGCTCGAGGAAAGTCTACCTCTGAGCAAAAATCTACTCTGACTACCGAAAAATCGTTCAAAATAAAATCTTAACCACAAAATCCGGTCCAAATTTTCATTACTTCCTGTAAAGGTAGTCAAATTATTTTAAAATTTCTTAAGTTTTAAAATTTTTGGAGCGAGTCAATTGAAGGAGACAGTGGGAATTTTTTACACGGATGGGAAGTAAGTAAAGATAAAAAGAATCTATCGGCAACATGGATGACTAAATTTGAAAAAAAAAACATTGCTCCTGGTAGAATGATTTGAGAAGTATTATCAATGGCGATCAAGCAAGGCCTAAATTCTCCTTCCAATTGTAACAAGCTGATGAAAAAGTATGTGAAGTTCCAGTCTAGGATTACAAAACTACAGAGACTTCAGTATCCAATTTTCAAAGTGCAGATAGGACTCTACAGTAAATATTTGGAAGGATTCATCTTCACACATGGTAAGTAATGCAGCCATTTCCAAGGAGTAGAGAAAATAATTTGTTAGTTGAATGCATGTAACTGACATGTAGGTTTGACAGGGAAAAATAGGGAGAAATAATCGTACCTCAATTTTTTTACAGGCACAGTCTCATCATCAGCCATGTTGAGTTGACAAACAACAAAGAATCACGAGTCTCTGAAAGGTAGGGATAATAAAAGTAGGAAGCGAGTGCTTTTAGAACTAAAATCTATGTGTTAACTCTACAGAATTTCCACAATAATCTCTTTTTTCTCACGAGAGACGAGGTAAATACTTGCACAGTGATAAGCTCTTGATTACGCAAAACCTATCACAGCTTGATTTGAGGTGACTAAAATTTGGTACTGTTGAGTTCTACTGAGGTTTCAATGAACAATTTATGTTCTTCTCCATGCCATAAATAAACCTAAGTGAGTGATGAAAAAATAAAAATTTGTGAGACTTATCCTAAATAATTCATCGGTTCAATTTTGGCGCAAAAAAATTTAATAGCTGACAAATCATTTTTTTCTTGTGTTTATTTTAACTTTGTAATTTGGTAAAAACTTTTTTAGGAAAAAAAACTAAATTAAAGAGCCCGTTGTGTTTTTCAAAGTACGTGAAATTCCTCGTTCTGTATGAAAACTAGGGATTCAGATGGGTCTTCGATAGTTTAATATACATCATGCTGTAATATTGTACACAATGAAAGTGTAAGAGCTTAATTTAAGGGAGGTCATATCTACATGGTGCACAGTGGGAACTGGTGAGAAAAGCGAAATGGCTTTTGGATACCAGAAAATCAAAAAACCATTTAGAATGGCCTAGTTTCATTCAGTTGGCATTATTTTGACCACACAAGATTATTGACAGAGAATTAATGATGAGGATTGTTCTAGAGATTGGATTTATTTACAAGTGTACGTTCGTTAGGACAAAAAAGGTAAAAAAACTCCCAGTGCAACAATGTACAGGTATTGTGTTCGTCTTTAACTAGTGGAAAAGGCTAAGATTCAAATGCCACTGGCAATATTGAAACATTTCTGAGGAGCAACCACTGTTCAGTACTGAGCAGTCTGTTCACACTCACAAATAAATTTGAGTAATTACCAGAATGTGGTTACTAAGGCAGCATATTCTTCATTAAGTTTGGAATAGAGTCTTACAACTTATGCTATTTTAATTTGACTAAGTTTGAGTACATTACAAAGGTTGAAGAATGTATCTTCATGATTTTGAAGAGATTGATACTTAATGGATTTTTAGGTTAGAAATTTATATTGCGAGAATGTAATAAACTTGATGAAAAGAGTGCTTACAGTAAAAAGATTACAATTCAGGATGCAAATGCTGGTTGGAGAGGCAATTAGAGTCAGATTTATATCATCAAATAGGAAAGCTGACACATAAAAGAATCGATCACTGAACTCGGCCAGAGGATCGAGATGATAACATCTCGGGAATGGGCGAAGCAGCACCAACTTTAGAAAGGTATTCCTCAGCACTTAAAAATTATGAAGGTTATCACAGTAAGTGACTAAATCAGATCTCAGTGACAGACTCCACAGGGATGACTCATAATTTGTGGGCGCGAACAATAATAACCAACAGGTTGGAACTCCATCAGAGTAAGGCACTTGATACAAAAACGGGTAACTTAGACTGCTGAAAGACTCAAGCCAATAAAGACTGTTTAAGAAGCTCCAGAAGATTAAACTGCTCGCTCATAAGCAAATATGGATAAAAAAACAACAACTAATTCAGGTGAGTGGGACATAAGTTGCAATAGTGGTGGGTAAATATCGGGTGCGTTTCCTTGGTGAAGACTAACATTATTTCTACACTGTTAATTTGTGAGAGGTGTGGAAAAGAGAGAAGGTAACCTGAGAAATATGTTCTGCTGTTCGGCTTTTTTAATTAAAGGGATATCTTCTTTGACTAGTTGTGTTGTGGAAGATGACAGTTCCACCATGCAGATGACAGGAGAAGCCATGAATGATTACACTTCTTCTTGCGCAATTCGGGGGTTTGTCACTGATAGAGAAATGACAATGCAGTGCAACCAAGTGGTTCCAAGTGTAAAAACACCAACGATATATTTTTAAAAAAGGTTGCTACATCACAATAATTGTCACGAAATAACGCGACGTGTAAAATCCCGGATTTGCTAACACACTCGAAAAACAAAAACAACAAATCCTTCACACATGTGGCGTTGCCAAACATTGTGGATTAATTCAAATTAATTCACAGTGTTGCCGCACTACCGGAAAGATTCAGAAAGATGTGCTACGCGTTGGCTACGCGTAAAAGTTTACGGCAACTTAACGAAATCAATAATTTCAAGGATGCAAAAATTACCTATCTATTAATAAAAAATTTCATAGAATTAAAATGAGTCTATACTGGGGAGCAGGAGGAAAAAGCAAGGGAAAAGTGATAAAAATTTATTCGCTCCCAGCATTTGTACCAGCAGAAGTTATGTCTTAAAAACTGAAAACTAGTGGTATTTACACAGATAAATGAGAAAATTAGGTTGAATCCTTCTAAGAAATGCGAATGATGTTTTGACGATTTTTTTAGTTCCTGTCAGAGAGAAAAAAATGACTTGTTCTCTGAACATTTACAAAGAAAATTTACAACAGACAACCAATTTAAGAGCTTTCAAGTGTGTTTGGGCTATTTCAAAGCTGGACACTCAATGACTTGAAATTTGATTTAAACAAAAGCTGAGGCCAAGTTAACGAAATCTAGAGAGCCCCCTAAGCTCTTAACGACAACAACAAAAAAGTATATTTTAGGAATTTTATGGATCAATGATGAAACAGCGAGAGTGCGTTTCTCAATTAGCAACATTGCTTTTACAGACTTCCAAACATCAGTGGCACTAGGGCACAGTATTTGTATAGGCTTTGCCACCCCCCCCCCTCCCCACACAGTAGAGGAGGGTTTGACCCTCATCCAGAAAATTTTGAGAATTAACAGTGTCCACAACGCATTCTAATTCTCTTACAACACTGTCTTTTGTCTTTCTTTCCCAAGGAAATACATGGGTATAAGGCATGGCTAGCAGGAATGAAGCATTAAGTTAATATTTGTATGTAAGGACACAAAAAACAATACATTCACAAATGTATGGAAAAGTTCCATTATTTATGAAAAGGTAATTTTCTATTAAACAAACCTCCTTGTGCATGCATAAACTCCGAGGGTTTTCATACTTATTGAAAGTAGTTGTGGGTTGTTCAGATCCAAAGGTAAAAGTGATGACAGCGAAACAAAATAATTGCTCTTGTCAGCATTGGCAGGGTGCGATTTTGAAAACTTAAGGCTTAAGTTGAGGCTGAGGACTTACTAAATCCAACAGAAAGGTTGGTTTTTTTTTTTTTTGAAAACATCAGTTCATGAGAAAATGTGAAGGAGACCTCACATTTATGATGAACCTTGTGCTTGAGGAACTGAGATCCACAGCTAAAAAATCTCCTTTCTTCTAAACGAAACCTTTTAATAATTTTTCAAAGTTTAACCATACTTACTATAGTGCAGAATTGGGAAAATCAATAATTAGATTTTATCCGGTGTAGAAAAAGTGGTGTACTTATTATCTAGAAGAAACTGTTGAAGAAAAAAAGAGACCAAAGGTTGGATGCAAAAAAAAATCGCTCTTACACGTGTAAGAATATAAATAACTCACCCAGATAATTTCGAGGGAGAAAAGGTGGACATTCTTCTATTTCTTAGATAACCCCTATGTTGATTCCGGAATTCATGGTCATCTGGTGGAGGGAGTAAAAATTCAGTTTCTTCAGATTCAAAATCTCTATCACTCATAGCAAGGGGAATTTCCTCAAGAGGAGTATGCCTATTCACCTAAAACAAACAGGAAGCCATCATGAGGAAACTGCTGAATTTTGTTCATACTTACTGACTTCACAGAGGCCAATTACAGGTGCGGCAATAAAAGTGCAAAAATCGAGGGCACAAGTTGAGGGTGTAAGTTAAGTTCCTATGTCTACACAAAATTTTCATGCTAATGGACTATGCATTGATCAAAACACTAACTTGCGCTAGAGCCCCAAGTACGCTCTTGATAAACCAAAAATCCTCTAGAACACAAAGACTTTTTTTTTGCTTCGAATGCAAGGAGAAAACAGAGTTTTGCCAACCACTGTCTGCATGTGCCAGGAATGGGCCGCCAAAAATCCCACTCTCTGACAGCCACAAACAACTAGAATTAGCACATTGTATGTTAAGACAAACGTCAAAGGATTGTTTATGTCACCACTCATCAGTAGAGCCATCTAACTGCATGCATTAACCTGTTGAGTGTTGCTAATTTAAAGCTAATCAGAGGTTGACGTTTGTCTTGACAAACAATGCATCAGCTTTAATAGGGGGAGCGACTGGACCACATGCACCCAAAAGACACAGGATCGGTGTTCAGCAACGCAAGATTGGGTTCAGACCCCTGTTTCAGTAAACTCATTTAGAATAGGGTTGGCGCTTGATAATGTGTCATATTGTTGAGATCTCCTGAGTTTGTTTACAATCATTCAAACTCGTGTAAAGTGAAAAGCGGCTGCTAACAATGATGACAATTAATAAATTACTTTTGTTGAATCCAAGGAGGGTTAGGATTAAGAGGTGGAGACCCCCTACTTCTGACTATCTGAGACCTTAAAGGGTTACATTGTCATACTTTTGGAAAATCTGAAAAGCTGGACAGGATTGTGGAATCCAAATTAATTTCACTTTCAGTCCATGAGAGTCTACAGAATCTGCGCCACCTGGAAGTGCGTAAAGGAGACGGACAAAAGCTTACCCTTCGAAAGGCTGACACACTCATATTTCTTCATTTTCATATGATTGCTATGCTGCGTTTAACACACTAGACAATCACTGAACGAATTCAAGATGCGGCGTATCAATGAATAAGCCATGGGGTGGGCAAATTTAAAAAGGGAGAGAGAAAATATGCCAATTTGGACGATGAGCAACACCGAACGCGTCGACGACAGCAATTCCGAGTTCGATGATAACACTCAGCTCAACTTCCTTCAGAAAATGATAAGGGAAGGAAAACGTAACGTAAGTAACGTAAGAAGAGACTGCTCACGCGACTACAACTTTCTGACACTGAGTCAAAACAAATTACGCCATTGTGATAGTACTTCAGTAACTCCAGGTACTTTACGATGGTAAGTTACTTTCAAAGTTAATTTGTTTTCCTTTGGTTGGTATACTTGAACTGTTATCAGACCTTTGAACCAATAGGAGGTCTCAAACACATGGTTCCTCCAGGTTCCTCCTCTTGTCAATGTACAGTTTACAATCCAAAATTACTCTTTAATTCTAAGTAAGCGAAATTGCCTGAAGGTAGTATTAATTTTCTATTTTCCTGAATAATTTTAGGGCGGAATGAGTTAAAAAATGAATTTAATAAGCTCTCACATTAAAACCATTCATTACATTCATTAATAATATTGAAATTTGGCAACATCTAATCATAGAGGTTCTTTTCAACGTTGTCAAGTAGTTGACGAGTACTATATTTACTATATTTTTCTAGGGATTTCAGGCAACGGTCGCCTAGAAAATTTTACTCGATTTATGTGAAGGTGAAATATTTTAATTTTTAGAAGAGTGTATACAAAGGAAAGCGACACCACATTAAACGTATTATGCTCTTAAACTTGTCAACATTGTAATCTCCCCTTATCAGTTCACCAAGAGGACAACAACCACAACAACACAGAATGGCGCCAAAATTTCCGCCAGCTAAAGCTTCATGAATGTTCGGGCCTGTTCCGCCTGTTCCTTGTCTTGCTTGCATGCAAAAGTTTTATGACGCTAGCGCTTGCTGAATGTCGATACTTTTACGCTGTTCGTCGAGTGTTTTCTCTTTGTTTTCCGTGATGTACTCGTCGTACTAAGAGTGTTTACTATTACTGCGTGTGTGATCTTTATTTCTAGGAACGTGTGATAAAATCTCGATCCTTTCCCGGCATTAGCATTTTCCCGAGGAGCCCTGCAAGGCATTTTTGAGTTCTCAGTCTGAGTAGCTTACAGATTCTCAACTGCCACTGCCGGTTTTCATTTATTACTCGTGCTTACAGGTAACTTTCATTTGCCTCTGTTTCTACTGTACCATAAGGCTCAGTTTAAGTAACTCAGGCATTGGACTTTCATGTGATAGAACCACCCCATTGGGGGCAGATCCAGTCTACGAGTCCTAGGTACAGACCGCTCCTAGGTCGTAAGCTGCTACTTGTAGGCCCCATTCAGAATTCAATCAAATAGAGCACCACATACCGATCTTTAACTGGGATTATGATTTGTAGATTGGATGTGAGAATGAATGATCCCTGCACCGAATCAAGTGTAACGCCATATTTACCCCTTGATTGTCTAGAACCCCTATTCATTGCGCAGAAGCGCCAATGTTTCAACATTTGCCCAAATATATTATTCAATTAATGACAGGAATCTCCAGTCATGAGACTTTTCTAAGTGATGTTTTCATCATCTTCCTTTTGTGCATGCAACTTTAAGTGAATTTATCGATCAAGTTAGGTACCAGTTACCTTTGGAGGCATAACCCTAGTAGCAGGCTGAAAGTTACATCCCTTTTAATATAATATATTTGTGCAGCATTGTGAGAGGGAGAGGGAAATCCCTCCCATAGAGTAGATAAAGTTGCAATGTAAATGGGAGAGCTGGTGCCATTTTCCGCTTGACGAGTTTCAAGCTCGGTATGCGCTGAGCTTCGGTCGCTTTTTCGATACATGTTTGATCCAAAATGGCGGTGTGGAATACATAGTAATTCCTATCTTCTTTGTTTACATCAGATGGCCGGGTCCCCGTTTATCGAAAGCAATTTACTATGTTTTGAAAAAGTGACCCGGTGCGACGTAGGAGTCTCAGAATTCGGGACCTGGAAAATGCTTAAAATTGGCGCCAGCTGTCCCACTTACATTACAACTCCATGTACTCTACGATCCTTCCCCAGTCAAGTTTACTTACTTTCCTATCATGTGGTAGGACAGGAGTCCTCAATTGGACCGCGTTAAACAGAAAGGAACCAAGCCATATCAGCTATTGCCAAATTTAACTGGGCAATTAAATTTTTGACATGAAAACGGTTGTGCGGATTTTCGTGCCAATTTCAGTGAATTTTCTTCGTAATACAAAGCAAATTCCTTAAAATTTTCAAAGGAATCCGCCTAAACTTTTGCTCGTAAAAAATAAAATGCAGTTGTTAAATTTGGCAATAGCTGATGTGGCTTGGTTCCTTTCTGTTTAACGCGGTCCAATTACACAATGCAACAACTGTGAAGTAAAAGGAGTCCTTGTATGTTGAGACAAAATTCAAGTATTGGTTATGTCACCACTCATCAGTGATGTCATTTGACTGCATGTACTCATTTTTCGAGTGGCTCGATTCGAAGCTAATCAGAGGTTGTCATTTGTCTCTACAAATGATGATTCAGTTTTAGCATTCCGGCTTAAATTCTCTGTCATATGCAACAGGATCCAAGCCTGTGTGATTATTTACCTCCATCATTGGCTTTGGTAGCTGCGAACTACTTATCTGTGAGAGAGCAATTTTGAACTGATCTATACAGATCCACCTACTTATTCATGTAGATCCCCTGGCCTTGCGGCAGTAGATGCGATAACATCTACTGATACTGTGCCGCTGATTGAAATCCAAAACTTAACACAACGCTAGGCATGAAAGTACCTAAATACTCCCTGAGTAGAAAATCCTCTGCTTCAATGTTTGCTCATATTAGTCTAATAATCTCACCTATGTCTAAGTGAAGAATCTCAATCATATTTTCTGTTGCCTTATTGCTTTAAAGAACATTTAAGTTTATCCGTAGGCAGGTTTTTTGCGTGGGCAGCATCATGTTTACTTGTGAGTTGTGACTCTGCTTGATGCTGGATTCCCCGGTAAGACAGAGTACCTAGATACCGAAGAGAACGGAAATGTTGGAATATGGAGTTCTTGGAGCCCAAAAGGGGGCCAGCCTTCCCACATTCCACTGCCAATCTTTCTTCACATTCAAATGTTAAACCAAGATGGCTAGCAATATTCTTAAGTGACAGGCCTTCTGCACAGCTGAGGAAATTTTTGTGAAAAAGAAAGTCTAATAGATGCTTCAGGCATTTTTAAACAGCAGGTCATAACAATTGTATCAATAAATAATTCTGAATAATTTGTGAAGGTTAAAGTATGTAACAGTGGCTCATCCTGAAACATATTTTTCAGCTCAAACAGTGCTTATACTTGAATTCTCGTCCCCAAAATATTAGTAGCAAAATTTGAAAAATTTCGAAACACAGTACTCATGTTGTACCTAATTTTAACTGATGGTTGATTGAGTGAGCAATTGCATGAGCCTGGCCGTATATACTCTCTAGAGACTCTTACATTATTGATTTCCTGTCTCTTTTATTTTTATCTTTCCTTCAATAATTCCTTCTGTAATATCCTTAATATTTTTTCCAGATAAATGTGAGGAAATGACTGGTGTGATTGACAGTACGCCTGCAAGCCCTGTCAGAAGACGGCCAAAAAACAACTTTGAACCTTCCCCCTTCCGCTCAGAGCGCAAACGAAAGTTATTTCCTACTGAAAGTCCTCATGGGTCGGACTTAAGTGAAATCACTCCACTGTCACCTGTCAGTGAAGATTTCTCTCCTAGTAAATCCAAAGTTGTTGTACGGACACCTTTGGTACCAACAATTGCAAACCAGAATGTCACTCCTAAAAAGTCCAAAAATTCCTCCATTCAGGAGAGTCCTCGCCGGAGTCCACGGATAGCACAAAAGCAAGTCATCAAAACCTCTTCATTTTATGGAAGATCCTTGTTATCAGAATTCTCTAAGACAACCAGCCCTCTTTCAGAATTGAAAGCTAAACATTCAAAAGAAAATGTAAATAACTCCCTTTCAGAACTTGAAACAGACCAGGTTAAAGGAAATGAAAATAAACCATCTAAGAGAGCTGCATCTGAACCTTTAGCCTTAAATCCAGCCAAAAGAAGATGCTCCACCAAACCTAGAGGAATATTTTCAGGTGTTGGTCATGCTATCAAAAAACCGAAGCCCCCTCCTGAACCAAAATTCAAGACTGTGAAGCTTCCTCCACTGAGACAAAACCTTAAAAACAAATTTGACTTTACAAAAACTCCATATTCACTAAAGAAAAATGATGCTAATTGGAGTTATGCTGGTATTCATCGAGAAAGAACAAGTTTGGACAGCTCAGAGGCTGAAAAGCGCAAATTTTTCAAAAGCAGTGTTGGAAAGATATCTGTTGTGACGTAAGTACAATCATGCTCATTTTAATTGCTCTGAAGAGTTTACACTCTCCTTGTGACATTTTAGGTTAAAAAAAGTGTTACTCACTCATAATGCTCTGCAAGATTTAGATCATTCTACAGAATAGACTTTCCCCTTTTCCTTTTGTTTCCATGATTCATTCTGGCAGAATCTCTGTTAGAAAATCACCCTAAAAATTTCATCAAGCTTCAAGATATGGTTAATCTCTGTAAATTTGCATAATTTTTTACAATGAAGATGTAAATATCTGTTCAAAGTCAGTTGGATAGTGTCAGTCATAGAAATAACACTAGCTTTTTTCCAGTGCAAGCTCTCCACTGTGTGACTGCTCCAATCAAGGCACTTGCAGTTAAGTCAAGTTTGAAGAATTCCTCTATTCATGTTGCCCAGTCATTGCAGGAGTAATAGCACAAAAAGGAAAGTAAAAAGGGTGTTTAAGTACAAGTATTTTTTATCCCATTTTAATTTGACACCGCACCAAACATTGCATTGGGTATTTAAAATTTTAATTGATTTTTGCATAATTTATCTAAGTTTATTAGGTAAGATGATTATTCGTGGCAAATAGCCACGATTTATTACCTGCTATCAGTTGCCAATAAATCAAGTAAAAATTGATGACAGGTAAATTGTAACCCATTTTGAATTATTTAAGACCATTTGGACTGCATTTTGCAATTTGGAACTATAAATCCTGGCTCATCTGAAAAAACATTTATGTGCATGGGAAAACTAATGGCACATACGTTGTTTTTAAACTGGGCCGGACTTCGTAGTTCCTAATTGCAAAATGCAGTCCATTTTATCTATCAATAATTCCAAGACAACCCGTAATGAGGAATGAACTAACGGACGCAGATGATCGATCATCCTACATAACTCATCTTTTATTGTTCCAGGCCTCCATCAAGTAAAAAGAAAATAAAACTTTTTAAAGTCCAGGCGGATGAAATCCTTGCAGATCCTGGAAAAACTGCCTCTGAATGGTTAGACGAGATTGAAGGTGCGTAGTTATTATTTAATGTACCTACAATATTTTTTACCAGCACATCTATCACTAATAGTGCAAATCATTTATCTTAATTTTGATGTTTCAAAACTTCTGTTCCAATTTCTTTTTTTGTAGAAAAGCAAACCAACTTTATAGCTTGAAATTTATACAGAATATTCTGCCTACAGAGAAGAAAAACCAAGGAACTTTTCAGAAATTACATTGACTAGTTATTCAAAGAAAAAGTAAAGAATGACTGGAAGCATGCAACGTCCCAAATGAAGATATGTTATTTTGCATTTTGGCCATTAACATATCGTTTTTAATGAATGAGGTCTAACTCTTAATTTCAAAATACCATCTTAACTTAGTAACTCTTTGTCTTTAGGCAGAGTGGCACATTGATTCAGACTTGAAGAGTAAATCAAAGTTATCTGCTGTAATTAAAGCTGAAAAGTAGCAGGGTTCATTTACAGCAGCTCAAGTAAATAAATATGAAACTTCTTGGAGCATTGCATCCCAAACGTTACAGTTGCGAAGCATTGCTCTCAGTGCTTGAATTGTGCATGTCGTAGACGTGTTGCAACTCCGAACAAAGTAACAGAGCAATTAAGACAAGTACTTACAGGAAAACGAATTTCGTTATTTGTCATGTGCATAAAGTCAGACTCACAAATTGAGAGTTTTGCTCTGCAAGTGCCTCACCTAATATGGCAGAATTTCATCCTAGAATTGGGGGAGGGTCCTATGATTTTAGAGGATGAGCATATTGTCAAGCATTTTAAGCTCATGCCCTCAGCTACCAGCATCAGCACCACAGATACTGCAGTGTAAGTGTTGCTATTATGAAAGACTGTCATTATCTTCCCAACAATTTTATCCCTCTTCATTCATCTAATTTTGTTAAATCTCATGAGTATAGCACTCACAAGCTATTTTCACTGAGAGTTTAGTGGTTGGATTTGAAGGTGTGGGGGTGCAGGAAATGCTCGACGGACCCATCTTGAAAAATATGTGAAGGCACCGAAAAAGGGGTAAAAATGTGAAGGCAGCACTACTTTTTGTGGAGAAAACTATTGACGCTTTTTGATAAGGAAATAGCTAAGAACGTTACTTTTTGCAAAGAAATCTGTGGAACACACTCTATTAGTGAAGCACCCAGTCTCGGGTGGACAGAAATGTGAAGGCAAAGAAGTTTCTGCTACCCTGAGAGGGCGTTTATCCAGCAGCTAAGGGATGGAAGAATGTGTGAAGCGAGGAACTTACTTTTTTTTTTTTCATTCTTTTTGCAGGTACTGCTCCTCTGAGTCAGAATTCTAGCAACGTTTGTGACTTGACTGAGTCTACATCCAATTTGTCTATTGAAGATGCTGTTCAAGGTATTATTTGCATTTTTATCGATTCTGAGATTTTTTCAGCTATGGTTCAGGTAGACTAACCTGCTTGAAATACAGTTCAGTGGAATATTTTTTTTAGGTTTGCTTTTATCTGTCAGATTATCATCTTCGGCTAAAGGAACGCATCTCCTTCGAACTAGTTCAGTATTTCTTACTCACACTTGATTGCGTGGTGTGTTGTCAGGTGCTCCCCAACCCAATGAATGCCTTTCTCTGAGACTGTTGTGTTTGGAGTCTGAGGCTTCACTCCTTAACATTGCCACAGGGCTGTTTGGGCCTAAACGTTTCAAGAAATATTCAATGCTTCCCAAAATGTTGGAATCTTTAATTTTGGTCCTCTCAGTCCTTTCAAGCTAGAGTTGAAATTTTTTAAAATGTTCGTTGCCTAGAAGGTCAATTTAGAGACTATGTAGAAACTTTTTAGGGGTCGACAAACTTGAATATCGCATAACTCGAAAATAAGAGACATCCTAACGTAGACAGTTTTTTCTCTCAAATATGCAAAGTTCCTTCACTTCATTTGCCTCCACCATCAAATTTTTAGGCTATAGATGACTCAAGTAATCATTTTAATTCTTTGTGTGTTGTACGTGTTCTTAGTTTTTCTCTTCATTGTTTTCTTTAGAGCCAGATACTCCAATGAGAGAACTTGCAAATCAACTTGAAGAAGAGCCTTCGCCTACTCCTAAAGTGTATCCAGTTTTCAATTTCAAGAAAATGACTCCAAAGTCAGCTTCCCCAACAAAGAGGTAAGTTTCTTTCAGTACTTCGCATCAGCATCCAAGTTTGAACGAAGCTGCTTAACCTTCTTCAAAGGACATTCAACTTTTGTTAGAAAGTCGGGTGTTCTCAGAATGGATTGATTATAGTTATGAAGTAAATAAGTGTCAGCTGGTCAATGGGTTGTCACAATGAAAGTTGGAATCATAGACTCTTTTATGGGATAGGAATATAAATATTTTGAAGTAAAAATAATTATTGACTATAAATGACCTTCATGTACAATTCTAATGGTATATCTTGTATTTCAACCATTCAAGGAAATGTTGTTGTGAGGATGCTGTGAATACACCTTGCATAGAACCTTTTTTTCTCTCTCTCTCTGTCAAGCTTGATGCACTAAACCTTAAAAATAGGTAACTATTGAAAGGACTAGGCAGATACACAATGGACCACGAGACATGGTACAAAGTTAAGCATTCTGATACATATTCCTGAACCAATATTTTACTTAAAACACAATTCTTGCATTGAAAATTACTGAAAGTAACTCCTAAGTAAGGTGTTAACGTTTTTATTTTACATTGGCTACGGGAAATTTGGATCGTCCGGTCACAAGAAACGCAATACTCTACGTGAGTCCAATCGCGTACTCCAACGATTTCGGCAGGCTTCTCCATTAAGCAATATTCAATCCCCACCCTGTGTTGTTCAAACTATGAACAACTTTCTATAGCTGAGCTAAAGCGTCAAGATTGAGGTCGTCAGATTTTCATATCGCAGAGACTGTCATGGTAACATTGCGTGCTTAGATCCATGTAGACCATTGTGTTTTCATTAGCAGGAGGTTTTAATTCACGCGTCAAGAAACATTAAATATTTTGGTTAGGAGTTAATTTCAGTAATATTTGTCACTCGAATCTTGTTCTATGTTAAATTTTGGTGTAGATACAGGTATCGAAATGCTTAACTTCGTACCTTGTCTAGTGGTCCATTCCAAGATATTCAGCGCCAGGCAAATCTCAAGATTTTTTATCATGATGTTCCATTCAATCCTCTGAGTGAGATAGGTTTCTCAAATCAAACTTTCTGTTTGCCAATCATGAGAAAATCTAGTTTGAAAATTACATTTCCAATGGTTTCACATGTGTTAGCATTTGTAGAAGTGGCACCACCGCTGAGACAAAGATTTGAAGCCTTTTGTTTTGAACTGAGTTTACGCACTGAACATCGCGTGTCGATCGTCTGTCTTACCTCTCTAGCTGACACAAGATGAGGAAAAAGGAACTTGCTCCTCAATCATCTACATTCTCTTACTTGATGAAACACTTACACGTCCCAAAAAATGCTCTTACCAGAGCCGCTGTTCTTGAAATTAGCACACAAAAAATTCTATTTACAAAGCTCATCTCACTCAGAAAATCTTAAGGAACATCACATGAAAAAAATCTCAAAATTTTACTGGTGCTTAATATTTTGGAATTGCGTGCGTAGTTCTGTTTATGGAGAAAAATCTCATTTTCAACCAAAAATAAACTCCTCCATTAATAGTATTTAATTTTACCATGCATAAAAACCTAATCGAATGGGTATTACCTTGAGTACCTAAAAATAAAAATAAAAAAAACATTTCAAGGTGGGTAAGTAATATCCTTATGAATCTTTAACTCACAATGAATTCCCCATTTTTTATTAGAGCACCTTCAAAAACATATAACAAAAAACAATAAGCTTCATTAATTACAAGAATTAATAACAATCACAAGGAAAATTCTTGGAAAAATGAGAAAGATGATAAAACACATGACCAAAATTAAAGGACTAATTGATCTAGAAACGATAAGGGAACCTAATTACTTCAATCAGTAAATCATTTAAATTAATGAAATACTAATTTTTATCAGTTTTTTTAATTTTTAATGTGACCAATAATTTGCAAATCTTACAGGGATTCTGCAAAGAAAGGTGTCAAGAAAATATGGAAGGGACTGGGAGAAAATCAACTCCTCCTTGATGCAGGTCAGAAACGTTTCGGAGCCACTCAGTGCTCCGAGTGCGGTCTTATGTACGAGCCAGGAGACGCTGAGGATGAAATTCAGCATGCCAAATATCACTCGGAACATAAAGCACTTCGTTATCCGGTGAGTTGTGACAGTTAGGTTTACTTCTAAGCTGACATTGTCATGATTGAATCATTTGATCCAGGAATGCTTTGTAGCTCAGTTTTTTTCTACCTTTTAATGGGAAGCATCCAAACGACAGTCATTCCTCCTCTCTGTACCTTCTTTTCATGTTTAACATGGGTGATGGAGGTAAGATTTATTAGGGAAATTCAGGGTTGCCGGCAGTCTGGAAAAGGGGGAAAATCGGGGAATTTGTGACAACTGGGTAAAGTCAGGAAACTCGAGGAAAAATTCAGGGAATTTCTGACACATCCTCTAATTATTAAAACATATGGCAACCCTGGGAATTGCATAACTGCCAATTCAAGCTGAAAAACCATCTTGATAGGGAAATTGCGAAACCAGGTACCTACATGTATCAGATGGTGAAGTTGCAGATTTCTTGCCACTTTTTATTTTACCAAAGGGTAATGGAGAATTTCCATGCCAATTTTTTATTACTTCATCTGAAAGTGCTTAGTGAGCTGATTTCACAGAATTTTTTCTGATTTGGAAAATAGTATAAAAATAGATTTTAAAGTGAAAAATTGCATCGCCTAGTGACGTCATCTGGCAGCATTTCCCATTAAAACACATGCATTTTAGCAGATTAGGTTATTTTGTCATATTTTCTCCAATAAGTGTTCGATTTATGAACCAAGGGTATCCTCGTGTTCAGTTCAGTCAGTAGTTTCCACTTAAACACGAAATTCATCAAATTTCAGACACCTGCAAATTCTCCATCGATCACCGTATTTGGACAAACTTTCCTGTCATTTTCCGTTATTTATTCATGGATTTTCTCTGAAAGTCTTGCGCGACAATGTCGAGTGATATTTTTTTAGTTTCGTTGATTTCCATTAAATAAAAACTGGAAATTTTTTAAAAATGCTATCATGATCCTTGGTCTTGAAATTTCACCTCTGATTTGATCTGTCATTCATTTTTCTCAAACAGAAAATACCATATTTTTTTCTCAAAACAAGCAACAGCAATCAATAACTTCGTTTTGAGATAGGGCAAGAAATTTAATGTGCCTTCAAAAATTTCAATTGACTGGCAAGTAATTTTAATAGGACAGGTGCGTTTCGCACACTCGATCTTCATCATCCTCTGGGTGACTCAAAAAGAGTAAAGTTGTAGAGGTGAAGGAGGCAAAAGTGTCTGCTTACTGAATAATTTTGTGCAAGTGAATTGAAATTCTAATAGGTATTGATAAATTAATAGAACGTGCAAAGCAGCTAATGAGAATCCACTAAAAAAATAATGTGAGCTGATAGTCTTCTCATTTTCAAAAATAATTTTGAACTCTCTGATTGATATGAGGTTTTTTCATTTTGTTGACTCATTTTTCAATTCAATTGTTTCTCAAGGGCTATAAAAATGAACGGATTGTCGGCCGTTGCGGATTGGATTATATTGTTTGCTTTACTGGCTTAGATTCCAAAATGAACCAAAACAAAATTTTATCTGTACTGGATATAGTTGATAAAGAGCTCGGTTTTGATACTCCGGCTGTGAAAATCTACTCAAAATCTCAGGTAAGAATGTTGTTTGATTCAAGGAATGCCTCTTTTCTGAATAGGATGAATCTTGTGCAATGAGCATAGCAGGTCATATGTTCAAGAAACTCCACAGTTAGTCTGGCAGGCTGATAGGCTGCAGGCCTATCAGCCTGATAGGCTGCAGTCTGATAGGCTGATAGTTGAAATTTATCTACAAAGCAAAAGACGAAGGGAAAATGGAACGGTCCTTTTGGTTGAAATGGGCAGTTGTCTTAGACTAAGGGGGAAAATGATGGACTAACTGTAGGATCCCCTGTGAGTTGTTGTTAGTCAGTCTATTACTTATCTCCTTTGTCCATTGCAATCACCTGCTTCCACCAATAAGTGATCTCAATTTTCCCTTCATCTTTTTCGTCTATAAGTTCCAACAATCAGTTTGCTGGTACCACTCAAGAGAGCATGAACACAGTGCTTAAACACAAAAACGGAAAATTTCTCGTTCTTGATTGCTTTCACAAAAGAAATGCAGGAGTGTGTTCCAGAATTTTCTTGACCCTTGCTGGCAGGGAAAGGGTGAACAGAAGAGAAAAGAACAGAAATGACTGGAATACACCATTCTGCTCTCATGTAAACCGACTGTTATCTGTTCGACCCTCATCCTAAATAAGTTTTTTTTCCATGCAAAATGGATTTTTTAGGTGTACCTGTACATAAGTGATAAACAAATTGCTGGATGTTTGGTTGTGGAGCCGCTTTCTGAAGCCTACAAGATGCTCATCAGCGATGAAGAGGGTGTCGATGTTTGCTCAACTGAAACTTACAAAGTAAAATGTGGAATCAGCCGTATTTGGACTAGAGCTACGGATAGAAGGAAAGGCATAGCCACTCAACTAACAGATTGTGTTAGGTAACTATAACACATACAAGTATACATATTTTTTGTAAATAATTATTGTTTCACCAGAAAATATCTCTTCAAGATGGCATTTTAGAATTCTCTTGAAAAGTCGTGCACCAGTGTTGTGCAAAAGAGGTATCCTCAGATAAGTTGGCAGCTGTTTACTTTCCTTTTCCAAGGGTCTACGTTGCAGTAGTCTAATAGCTATCAAGGTTTGACTGCGGACAATGCTGCAGCCTTGCGCAGAAACATATATCAGTCTTCTGCGTAAGACAGTCAAAAGTGAACAACTAGCACCTAGCGAATCGTTCAATTGTTCAGATTTTTTGCTGATTTTCTTATGTTATGATGAATAAATTTTGCAATTTAATACATTCATTTTTCAGCTCCTAAGAATCTCATAATTCATGATCTTCCTGTAATTTTATAATTACATTGTTTTGATTTGAAGCGATATTGTAATGGTCTGACAACAAAACATGATAATGAATAATAGGTTTTACAAGAATCAGGATAGGATGCAATGACATATGCATAGGCGATACAGCTCAGGATGGAGGAAAAATACAGCACAGTAAATATTACCCATGAGTATTATACATAACTACTCGGCAAAAGCTCCATCCCCTCAGAGATGTCGTTGAGTTAACTTTAGCTGGAGGTCCCCAACCAAAGTGTTGGACTCGGAGAACGTTATAATACCTCTACATATAATGAAGCATTTCAAAAGGAATCACTGGGTATAGTGACATATTGTTCTCCAGATATGATGCATACAATTGAAAATTCTGTACGAAAAAAGTTTTTCATCACACTTTTTTTTTGTTGTTGTTGGTGTTAAATAAGTTGGAAAGAAGACCAAGAGGCGTGTAGCTGAATTAATTGTATCCACTTTAACTACAAATAATAAATTGAAAAAAGCGAGACTGAACTCATTTTTTAAAATTTTAGAGGTAAAATTTTTTCTATTATTACAATGTCAGCGCAACCTTCAACCTCGGGACTATATCCTTCTGACGTATGCCTATCAGCACAAAGTATTCCTTGTTTTGTCAAAGTGATACATTCTCTTAGCACTGCGAAATAGGACATCCCTATAAACATACCTAAACTATTCTTTCTAATGCTCTTTTCAGGCGAAACTTTTTCTACGGATCAATCTTGGCGCAAGAAGACATAGCATTCTCAGTCCCAACTGTTGACGGTAAGAAATTTGCTCGAAAGTACACTGGTAAAGAGGATTATTTCGTCTATACTGGATGGCCGGTATCAAACTCAAATTAAGCGTGATAACGATTTTTCCCATCTTTTCTCAACAATTTTATAGCCTGTTCAAAGTTCTCGTACATAATATATTTTTTTATTAAGCAATTTTGTTCTCGTTTCTCTTTAGTCTAAGTTTTTTTGTATTTGTTTTTTCCTTTTTGTCAGCATAAGAACAGAAGTAGGTCATGGAAATTTATTTTTCTAGGTTTGTTAAGTGATAAAGTGTTTTCATGCAAGTATTGTGTAGCACTCAATGTCGCTGAAAGTTGGAGGATGCATGCACACAAAGTTCTATTCTGAAGATTCTGTCATGCTGAACACTCAGTGGATAAAAGTTAACAGATATATGTGCAAGATAGTCTGTTCTAAAAATAATGTTATTGTAGAAAAATTTTGAGTCAAATTTTGTGACGTAGGTCGAAACCTATTAGTATTTGTTTCTTCTCCTTTGTTGAAAGTGAAATGATAATGCACCATTTCACATTTGTACCCGTCAATTTTTAGTTTTCTCTATATGTTTTTAAATTCCTTAAAAGCATGTCAATGAAAATTTAATAAATACTTATGAACTATTTTATCTCAAAGACTGGAACAACTTTTTTTTCAGTTTGTCCCAAATTTCTGTTGTCACCTCCAAGCATCTCAAGTGCAAGGGTCTTATTTACTGCCCTCTTCATTTTTACGTTCCTCTATATTTTTTTAATTCCTTGATAGCATGTTCATTAAAATTTAGTAAATACTTTAAAACTATTTTTTTTTACTGTAAAAATGTTTTTCTCAGTTCACCCAAATCTTTGTTGTTAGTCCCAATCATCTCAAGACCAAGGGTCTTATTTATTGCCCTCTTTATTTTTAGTTCGCTCTATATTTTTTTCAATTCCTTGAAGTATGTTAATGAAAATTTAATAAATGCTTTTGAACTATTTTTCTCATCAACTGGAACAATTTTTTTCTCAGTTCACCTAGTTGCTCCCGATCATCTCAAGACCAAGGGTTGCATTTATGGCTCTCTTAGCTTCCGTAGTAAGTTCGTATCTTATGATATACCTCTAAAAGCAGCCATATGAATTGCTTCAAGCTTCATTAAAATTGTCTCAACATTAATGAACTCCAACTCTGTCCCATTCTTTTAGTACCTCAATAGACAAGTAAGTTATAAATGAAAAATAGTTTTCATATATTTCTGGTAACAAGTTTGCGTGGTAAATTTAAAATAAATATGCTTGAAACTTTTTTTTCTCTGTGGCTTGAAAGAAAGAACTCCCGAATCTTTCCAAGTCTTTGAAAGTCCTACAATTTTTCATTCAAAGCTGAGACAGGGTTCCTAGCAGTCTCATAATCCTGGAGTGTCCAAGTGGTGAAATTTGCCAGCTTTGTGTCAGCTGAGCAACCTCAGCTTCAGTCAGTATTGTTCAAAAGGGCGCAAAAAACTTCCAAGTGCCTTCTTTTCCATATTTTGAATCTCCAGAAGTGGAAATTTGGTGTTCAGCAGAAGTCAGTGTATCAAGAGGAAAAAAATTCTTGTGGAAGTTTTGTTTGAAGGTCAGGGAATCAGAAAATGGAAAGAAAAAGGTCAGAACATTTTACATAAACATTTATCATCTTCAAATTTCAGTTTCATTAACTTCATGTACAGATTAAAAGAAAATTTAAATTATTCAATTTCCGGAGTAAAAGTTCAATTTTCTTTCAAATGAAACTTTCTTTTTTCAAAATGAAAGCAACATTTTTTGAAAGATAATTTTGATCCGCCCAATGCTTCACAACAACTGGAATGTCTTTCTTTTCAAAAACAACATTATAAAATGAATAATGAAGCAATTTAAGCGTAATTAGTTCGCTTTTTTCTGTAAGTCTATCTAATTTTAACAAATCTAAAGATAATGTAGGAAAAACTGTGTGTACCAAGTTTTCTTACCTATAGATTTTATTTTTATACTGCTTTCCTTGTAGAGTGCCTGTATTTCCTTGAACCGTAGGCAACGCTTGAACTTTTATGTTTTCCCCAAAGCACAGAATAAATTATTTATTCTATGTCCAAAGTGGTACGAGCAGGGGAGGGGGTTGAACAATCAGCCTGACGTAAGCTTTAACGGCTGTAAGTCCTGGCCAGGGTTGAAATTTGTCATGAAAAATAAAATCTTTGAATATCATGTGAAATATTTAATGAAATCTCAGTAAAATATGAAGAATATTGAAGTATATTTTTTGAAATTAAATGCAAAATTAAGAGATGATATTCGCCTGTTGCTGTTTTTAGTGCGTGTTACTTACATCTCCAGCCCTGTTAAAATATGTTTCGATTTTTCATACTTTTCACAACTTTGTAAAATCTTATGAGATATTTCACGGAAATTTTCAATCCATATTTCATATTTTTCATTTCACCCGTGCAGTGCAACCCTGTTCCCGGCTCTATTCCTAGCCAAAACCACAAACGCCCCCCTTCCCCCCCCCGTGCCGTCACCACACCATTTCAAATTTCGCGCAAAAACGGTCGTCGTCCTAAGCCCTAAGCCCAATCATAACATAACCCATAACCTCAAAGAAAGCATACTTTTTACTGATAAGTGAACTTCTGTCTGAATGTTCTCTAGAGTAGAAGTGCCGATTTTAAAATTAACTTTTATTTGACGGTAACGTGATTTAAATTTCATTCCACCTTCTTGGTGGACTTTACGTGGTATTAATTTCCATGAACTTAATTTCATGAATTCCTCCAGATAGAACTAGAGGTTTGTCATTAATAATCCATCGGTGCTCCCAATACAATGATTTGACGTTTATAATTGCCTCTGACACATATTAGTTATCACATTTATCGTTAGCAAGAGGTGATTAACGATTGAGAACCGTTTCTGAAATGGAAACTGATATTACTGATGACTTTACTCTTTGGAAACAGGGTGCCGAAGCCAGACTGTTTACCGGTAATTATCTCGGCAAATCAAGCGTAATGAAGGAAAGATTCACCAAAAGTTATAGGAATTCAACTCTGGACGCTTACTTGACAAAAGAAAGGATCAAAGCTGAAGCGAAGACTTTGGTGCGCTGCAGAACTGCAGGTAAGGATAGATTAGATGATGGTAAATTTCTGCACTTTCGGTTAACTTTATCTGCAAGATGAAGTTGAGTTGACCGACAGATAAGGTCAATTATTTATTATTTTTGATAGAATCAGAGAAAAAGGGGACTCAGTTATGACATAGTCGGAGGACCGGACAAACTCCAAATGGAAATTTGTGCCCAGACTGATTTCCAACTTCCGCAGAGTCCATGCCAAGTAAGTTTATTTACGCACTTTTAAATTGCCCCAGAAGATCATCAGTTTTGAATTGAAAGTAGGTACATGCAAGAATCAAGACTGTGGATCTTTGTCCTAAACTAAAAGCGTGTAAATTTATTTGGGGTGAATCATATTGCATTACTTAAATGCATCATTTGATACAGCTCAAATGTAGGTAAACTTTGTGCCAAGTTTCTACAAACTACTGTTTCCACACCAAATGAGGCTGGTGTTTAGTTATTTACTCCACAAACTAACTCCTCGGTGGTTCAAGCTTGGGTCCCCCTGTATTTCTATAGGGCTTTTTTTTATTCATGGAACGCAATGAATGGGGATTTTTACGTATCAAAGTGATCCGACTGACGTTAGGATCGCATGTAACCGCTGGCAACCCAACCCACCTCCTGAGAGGGATCCTAGCGTCCCACAGGAACGCAAGGAAGGGGCTGGACCAGGATTTAAAAGTGAGGCACTGCGGAGTCAATTGAGATCCTCTGTGGTTCGGATAAAAAAAGCACTCGTGTCATAGCAAGCAATTGCAGATCTGATGATGTCGTCTTGGGTCGTCTTTTTGCCTAAAGCAGTTTTCACGCCTTCCTCATTCTTGTTAACTAGTGGGTTGATGTACGTTTCTACGTCACAGCCAAATTTAAGAGGAGCTTCCTTGCCACCCCCTTCTGTATTTCGACGGTGTAAGTTGGCAATCACATAACTCGGTTTGCAGTGTCGCAGACTTCCTGTCATACTTTATTTTTTAAACGGAAAACTACTCAACGGTAATTCTTTATAACTGCTGGGATTTTTTTTCTCTGTGCAAAGAAAGTTCTGCAAAAACTTCAAGGAATGATGTCAATTTGTTCTCCTTTAAAAAAATAACATAAAGGCGGAGATTTTCAGACACCGCAACCGAGATATGTGATTGTGGACTTACACTGTTGATTTACTTTATGCTTTTAAATGCTTTCAGCTACAAAAATTTAATTAAATTTTATTCATTAATTTTTAGTACTACACCTTTGTCTCTAACAAGACTCTCTTTTTTGAACCCTTCTCATCTTCACTATGCAAGATGTTTTTAATTATTCTATATATTTTCTGTTGTTTCTATAGGTATCCCTACTCCAACATTGTATCTGGTGGACTTTGAGCGTAAAAGGATAGTGATGGAAAATTTGGAAAACAGCCTGACAGTGAAAGATTACATAATTCAGCTCAGTGAAACCGATGATAGCAACAATAATCTGAACGAATTGGAATTCATATCCCAAGAAATAGGGAGGCTGCTCGGGAAAATGCATAGTGCCAATATAATTCATGGCGATTTGACCACATCCAATATGCTAGTAACTCAGGACAATGGTAGTGTCAGACTGCATTTGATCGACTTCGGCCTCAGTTATGTCCAACAAAGTAGTGAAGATAAAGCAGTGGACCTGTACGTTCTTGAGCGAGCATTGCTCAGCACACATTCTAATGTAGCACAAATGTTCGGAGCTATTCTAAACGCTTATCAGCTTGTTTTTAAAGATAAAGCAAAAGAAATTCTTAAAAAATTATCAGATGTCCGGGCAAGAGGTCGTAAAAGAGATATGATTGGATAGAAAGAAGTCTTTTCACCACATAAAAACTGAACCTCACGACTGCTGGTTACGTATGGGAATTTTTCATTTGAATGAATTTTCTAGAGCTCGAGAATATACGGCAAAATTTTGCAAAAAGGAACATAATGGCATTCTCCTAAAATTTTAGTTGGAGATACTGTTTAATGTCTAAGGCTTATTTTCTCCTGTTTAACATAGACCATTATTGAATTATGAAATTTTTTAAAAAATGATGGGTTTATGTAAACGTACCTACTGTACTCCCCGCAAAAAGTAAAGAAAAATCAGTTTATTCTTAGTTATGGCAATACAAATAAATAAATAAGAAAGTGAAAAAAGTCACCCAAGAAATCGGTTCTGCTCAGCAGAATTTCGACAGAATAGTGAATTTTCTAGCCGATCAACTGAAGATTTTACTGTGATCGAGCAAATTAGAGTTCTACTGCGGTGAATAATGACAAAAGACTTGTCAAATTAAATATTTTTTTGGTTTTTTGCCTGCCTCAACTTTCAATGTATTTCCCGAAAATATACTTATGATGTAAAAATATTGAATTATAAAATTTAAATTGTATTTTAATGTTGTAATATTTTATTACCAGTAGACTAACAGACAAGGTGCAAATTTAAGCAGTCTGATACATGTTTCTCAATCAAAATTTCATGTAAAACACGATTAGCGCAACAAAAGTTGCTGAAATCAACTCCTAACTAAGATTTTTAACATCTTTTGATGCATAAATTCAAACCTTCAGCTTATAAAAAACGAAAGTCGAAACGAGTTAAATTGCTTGATAAACGTTACCATGAAAGTCTCTGAGGTATGAGAACATGGCAATGTCAATCTTCGTGCTTTGTCTCGTTTGTTGCAAGTTGTAAAGACTTTCAACAACAAAAAGTGGGAAAATTACTCGATCATGAAGCCTGCCAAACCGTTTCAGTGCTCGATTTCATTCAAGTAGACTATTATCTTTCTTGAGAGCCAGGAATTCCAAATTCCTGTAATCAACATAAACTATAAACGTTAATACCTAAGTAAGGAGTTGATTTTAAAGATTTTCGTAGCACAAATCATTCTTTTTAAGAGATTTTCGTCAGGAAACATGCATCTACGTAAATGCTTATATTTGCAACTTGTCCTCTGGTCCAATGTGAAAAAGAGCTTTTCATGGTCTTTCAGCTTATTTAAGAAAAAATATGACCGAGTCTTGGAGCAAGAAATAAAGCTTATGTACATTGGCATTAATTTATTTATTTTCATTCAAAATGAGAACCAAACTTTTAATGATAGAAATTTAGTTACAGTCTTTACAATTCCTAGAAAAATAAATGCTACACCTTAAAAGCTAGATAGTGCCATAAAATAATCATACAAATACAAAAAAGAAAAACTTGATTCACAACGAGACAATATCGCACCATTAAAGAACTGGATACTAATTTAAGCAATTTTAGATCTCTTTCGAGCGATTGCATCCTCAACAGCTTTCAACTGTTTCAATAATTCTTCTCTCCTTGAAGGTGCTGCCTTCTTTGCCATTGCCTTACTTCCAGATGAGGACTGCAAAAAAAAAAGGTCATGGTATAAAATAAAAATGTACAAACCGAAAATACTTAGAACTTCATAGATAACCGAGTGTAACACTGAATGACTAGGACCGAGAAATGAAAACATCACAAAATTTCATTAAAAATGTTTTGATCTCCTTATAACGCCCTTGTGACGAACGTCCCTGTTTTTTAATGCATTAAAACAAAATGATGTAAGCGCTCTCATCAACCCCTCTCCCACTCGAGCTTTACATATTTCATGAACTGAACGTCTCAATCCTCCTTCGATGCACAGTGTTTCTAATATTACCAAGAAAAATGTATTTCACTAAAAGTATTACTTAATAGCAAAGTACACAAAAGTTAATGTTATGACCGACTTGATTTCAATACATTGTGATTTTCCAAAGAGTTGAAAGATGGAATTGATAATTAATAAAATATCCGTTACACATGTATGAGTTACATTTTTAAATTTTTGACGCATCCACCTTATTCACCATGAAACTTTGATGAGAAAACAAGTACTGTGAAGCTTAGCCTAATTCTTTACTTTGCCAAATGGTCCATTCCAAGACCAATCCACACAGATCAGTCATTGCGCAGCTTTTTTGAAATCCACTCCCCCGCCCAGCCCTAACTCGCAGCACTCAATGCTACGTCACAATGGGTGCTCCCACAAGATATACATTGCAGGCACTCAATACTACGTCACTGCGCAGTAGAGTACCAAAACTCGTCCTTGGGAATGACTGACCTGTGTGGATTGGTTTTGGTCCATTCTCATTGCACCTTTAGTAAGATAGTTATTTCTGAAGTCAAGAGTGACAGCATGGGTCAGTTAAGCCCGAGAGACTTTGGCCGGCAAATAGTTCCTTTACACAGTTTTTTGTACGAGAAGAACAATGTAGACAATAAAATCGTCCCTGCCGAGATATACTGCTTCCTGCCCTTTTTCAATGATAGTAAATTTTTCTGCAAGGCATAAAATGCTTGATTGCAAGAAACTGTCGCATTTTGTGAAACTTCTTGCACCTCTACACAGATGCGTGAATTCTATGGAGTAAGGTACTAGCAAGACTGAAAAGACAAGGATTTTGACTAGCATACAGATCACACACATGGGGTATTATTATTTATCAGCTGACACCTGAAGAAATGAAAAATGAAATTTTTCCTTACCTTTCCTGAGGGTGGAGACTTTTCATCCAGTGGTGATTCTGCAGGTCGCTTCTTACCAGCTATAGAACCTGTAGAGAGTACCATGACGGTTAATTACAGATAGATTCATATTTAGACTGGATGAGACAGAGAGGAATTGTTTTTTTTTTGAAAAATGAGTTAGGATTACTTCCCAGATTGAGGCAAAAAAAAGCGTAACTTCTAAGTCCAGAAAACATACTTTGAATGCAGGAAAGAACATAGAGCTCTATCTCTGGCATTGAGTCGTGCGGAGCTCGGTTGCCAAGGAGAATTGAAAAATCAGCACTTTCTCTCATTTTAACCCATGTGATTGGCCACATTCTTTCAAATAAACTTGAAGTCAACAAGGAAAAAAAAAGAATTGCTGATTCAGCAATTCAATGCTAAAAACTGTGAGTGCAATGTTTCAACGCAGATTTTACAACAAAAAAATGCTACTTTAACAACATTGTAAACGAATTTAACCACGGGGGTGGTTAAAGTAGCATTTTTTGTTGTAAAATCTGCGTTGAAACATTGCACTCACTGTTTTTAGCAATTGAATTGCTGAATCAGCAATTCTTTTTTTTTCCGTGAACCTAAAAGAAGCAACAATGTTACAGAAGAAAAGGATTTCTGACAGCTTTTCCTTGCCTAGATCTTGACAAGATTTGGTTCTTCATTTTAAACTTGGTCTATTTTTGTGGAAGTCATTTATTAAAAACTCTTCCAGACTTAAATAAAAAAGAAAACCACATAGTTAAATTAATATCTTCAAATGGCATACATTTTTAAATTATTAGGAGACCAATAAAAGAGTGACTTGAAAAAAAGTGCAATGCATAAAAGAACTTTCATGATATTGAAATATTACATACCAGAGTTGGAATGGGAGTTCTTCAAATTAAGTTTGATTTTTTCTTTCTGTCCTGAAAGCTGCAATGAAAGAAACGAATTTGAATATAATTGAAGGTTGCACAACTGTATTTTCCATGAAAAAAAGACCGAGAAACTCATCGAGAAAATTATAACAGTTTCAATTCATGCTCCAGGGTGAACTAGATTAGAGAAATAGACTTATGGAGATGGAAATAACGTATGAGAAAAATCTTTTCAGGGTTGCCACAACATTTAGAATGACATTCCCTGAAATTTACCTGAATTTCCCTGACATATTGGAGGAAAATTCCCTGACAATTGAAGATATGCCACACGGTTAAAAAGACGTGGTTTGAAATAGTTTTCAGGCAAAATGTGTTGTTCAAAACATCAAATCCATTCTAAAAAGCAAATAAAGGTGAATTGACAATTTTCCCCTGACCCTTTCATCATTTTCTCTGACGTTCTCTGAGAGCCCTTCGTAAATTGCGTCACACTCTATGTGACGAAGGGAATTTGAGCTTCAGTTATGTCTCACTTGAAGAATGTTTCTTTATTATTTTCTTTTCTGTTTAACTTTCGACTGAACAACTCAGTTTTTTAACATTTATCTCATGATTTTCTATTGTAAAGAAATGGGGAAGGCTTGAAACCTTGTTCATCCCTGTTTTGTACTATCCTATTGTAACTGTGCCTCTTCTTTCATGAACCATCTCTCCGCATAACAAACAAATTATACTTTGTGTTTTTTTTTTTTTTTTTTTTTTCCCTAAAAACATTGTTTAATTTTTAAATTAAAAACAACACTGTATAATACTTCAAGAGATCTGCTTTCAATTACATCTGGTGACACAGTAAACAGACTTTTCATGGAGTTCTTTGTGAAAACAGATTTCGTATTGTTCCAAAAACCCTAGAAATAAGGCACTATTTGAGGCCCTGGATGTGAAAAGGGCACTCCTCCGGTGCAGTGTTTCAGAGTCTCATCTAATATTTCATTCATTGTAAGGAGAGTGAATGCATCCATTTCACTAAAAATTTTACTGAATATTCCTCATGATTCCACAATTTTCTATAGAAAGAATTCAGAAAAAATCACCCATTGAATTCTTCTCCAAGGGATTAATTTGCAACTGAGATTCTGAAACACCTCAATCAAGAAGTGCCCTTTCCGCATCCAGAGCCTCAATTTCAGGAACTGCTCAAGTGTTTATCACTTGATACCTCAAAAATATTAAAAGTAAGAAAAAAAAACATTAGTCCAATACCTTTAAAGCATCCACTCCTTTGTTCCTAACAGTGGCTGATGGTGCTGCTCTGACATCTGCTTCCGAGCGCTTTCCTCGAGCTGAACATAAAGAAACAAACAAACATTCTTAACAAATTTTGCTTAAAGGCGTTGCCCCACTACATTAGAATAATAACCCTGAGACGACATGCTAAAGCAAAAAAAAAAGTTTGCAAGATTTGAAAATTCAAAATTTAGTGTTTCACATTTTGATTTTTTTCTTTTTTACGTATCAGGTCGGTACAACTCTGATTGGATCACAAAACTTCTTGTACCTTTGGTGCAAGTTAAATCGAAGTAACTGACAAAGTTATATTTTGGCATATAGTTGGACAACTGTACATTCAAAATTAAAGAGTAAGTTGAACACAATGGCGATTCTTACAAATTAGCGATGCTGTTTTTTTTCCCATTTGCATTTATCGAGATGGGGGAAAAAACAGTGTTACTGACTTGGAAGAATTATCAGTTAAAGCGGCATCATTAGGTGGATTTCTCATAAAAAAGCACAAAACTATACTTTGACATTTCAGTTATAAGACAGATAAGTTTGCCGAATCAAACTAAACTGCCTTCCATACTGAAGGAATGGTTTTTTTTTTAAAAAAGATGGAGGGTTTGCATCGAAAACTCAAAAAGAAACAACCTTTCAGCACCACAATGACCACCTTCTGTCCTGTGTTTCACAGACCACAAGACTACTGTTTGGTTTTTAATTGATTGGTGTAATTAATCAAAAAATCACTCACCTGGAGGTGAAGCAGATCGAGATGAGCGGCTTGATGACGAAGAAAGAGACGATTCAGATGAATCACTAGATGAGGGAGATGAAGAACCAGACGAAGATCTGGAGGAATTGGAGGCAGAACGTGCTGAACGCATTGCAGAGGCGACTGCTGCTTTTGAATGGGCAAGCAGTCTCGGAGGGACGCCACCCTTTTCACCGGAAGGCGATGTCCTTGATTTTCCACTTGTATGCGGACTTGGAGGAGGTGGATTCATGTGCAAAGCTCTTTCAGCAACAGCACGTTTTTCTGAAAGGCTCACTCCAGGCGAGATAATTTTGCCCCTAGGGCCACCCGCAGGAGGGCGTCTTGGAGAGCCCCTTTTGCGTGATGGCACGGGCGAAGAGGAGCGTGATCGAGAACGGGATCTACTATAGGAACGGCTGTAAGAACTGCTCCGACTGGAGCTACCACTTGAACTCGATGAACTATATGAAGAGTTACTGGAGTATGATGCTCTCCTTGAACGCGACTTTCGACGAGCAGGGGGCTTTGATCTCATCCACGAGTCCACCCACTCGTCTCCTCTTCCTCCTTCGCGACCTCTTGAACTATCGCGTCTTTCGCGGCGGGAGGGAGGACTGAAATCATCCCTCGAGTCTTTGGCTCTTTGCACGATGACTTCTCGCTGCGGGTGCTTTTGTCGCGGATACTTCCTATCATAGTATTCTTCTGTCTGAGGATAGCGATGATACGGTGGGACCTGATCAGCTGGATATTTCCTATGAGGAGGATACTCTGCTGGATAATGCATACGATGATGAGGAGGCGGGTAGTGGTGAGGGACCCTGTGGCCTGGTGGCCAATACTCGCCCCTAGCACCAGCAAGAGGGTGTGGAGGAGGTAGGTAACCATCCCCATGCATTACCACACCAGGATACTCTTCAAAATGTTCCACAACCACTGCACGATGATGCCTTCCAGGCTCAGAGTCTTTCCTATACAAAATAAAAGAAGGATATACAGTACAACAGAACTAAAAATGCACCTGGAATAATCAAATTTCTGACTCGTACAAGACTGGAGGTTCAAACTCATCCTGGAACCAACTATTTTGTTTACATGGGAAGATTGACAGGATCAAAGAAAAAAATCTGACTTATCCAAATTTATCATTTATCAAAATTCCACTTTATACTTGTGAATTTGGTTCGGTTAAAATATCCACCAATATTACGCATTTCTTTTCTCCTGCCCTCAGGGTCACATCTTAATTTTGCAAAAAACGGTAACTTTGGATACATTTAAATGGTCCAAAAATTCATTAAATGGCACTGAAATAAGAAATAAAGTGCATCCAGGGCATGTGTATTTTATACAAATCAATAAAGTACAGCTGTCAAAAAATTTTCATTCCATTTCTTTGAGGTAAGTAAATCACAATTCAGGTAAAAGAAGGGGAAGAATGAGGTTAGGTAAGGTACTTGGCTATACTAATACCAAATAGTTTTAAAGAGGGAAAAGTTACCGTGCTGAAGTGTTTCAGGTTAGTTACACCTACAAAATAATAAGTAATGTTCTTCAGTAGAAAATTATCATAGTAACTAGACCATTACTGTAGAGTCTCATGATCTGTAATGGTAATCTAAAATCCTAACCAGCCTTGTCATGTCATAAGATATACATACCTTTCTCGGGGACTGATAGGCGGACTCGCTGTGCGAGTGTAGTATTCGTTCTCTTTATCAAGTTCATCTTGACCTAGCGTCAGATTCATTTTCTTCTCTTCAAAATCTACTTCAGTTTCTTTCCGTTTGGTTGATTTCCGCAACATCTAAAAATACAGAATCAAACTGTTGAGTAACAAAATCTCAGCAAAGAACCCTTCAACAGTAGTGGAGGCTGCCTAAACAAAGATGAAAAAACTTAATCTATGAAGAAGGATCAGGATGGTGATCAAAGGAGGTAAAGGTTATCACTTGATGGCAAAACTAAAGGAAGTCTTGCATTTTCTGACGAATGTTGTAAATCAAATTCCGGCAAAATTTCTAACCGCTAGTTTTTCTCCTGACTTAAACTATTTGCTGGAACAATCTTGAATTATTTAGATTCAGCAGTTCCTTCCTTGAGGAAAAGTGAAAACTTGTACAATATGAGGAACGCCTGCTACAATTTGCCTTTTTCTCTTCCTAAATTTTTCAAGTACTGAAGGATTACCAAATTGTAATTGAACCAATATTCTTCTGAAGAGTCCGAGCGCGAAAATCCAAGTCTGCAAAAAACGGAAAAAAGTGTGCCATTTGCCATGTATTCAATGTTTGGCACCCACTTTCAAAAAGGTAATCTTCAGGCTCATACATTGTTTGGGCCCGAGCAGTTTTCTACATTTTTCTTGAAACTTCGATTTTGGCACTTGGGTCCTTCAGAAAAATTTAGGTTGCGCAATCTTGAGTTGTATTAAAAAAACGAGTGCAAACATGGCAAGCCCCAAACTCCATGGCCTCAACTCTGCAAGGAAGTTTGGATCACACTACTACAACACAAACTTTGCTTCTTACAACCATTCAAGATGGTTGGACTGTCTGTGTTTTTAGGCTTTTTATGGCCTTCACTGCCAAAACATATTTCCTACATCTTTCTGGTTTTACTGGAATACCAGGGTTTTAAAGTCCTGTTTACATCCACACTACAATTTTTGGAGTTTGTGAGAGAGAGAGAGAGAGAGAGAGAGAGAGAGAGAAAGTTTCATGGTATCATCATTCATGCTTACCTCTTTGGCTTGTCTCAGTCCGCGTTCCCATGCAGATTCAGCAACTGGTGGCTCTTCCTTTCGAATTAATTGTCCAACAGCCTGGATTAAAGTGATAAAATTAGGTCACTGAACATTTTTTAATCAACAACACAAGGGGTTTAGAATGTTTTCATTAGCCAATCATATAAACCGAAAAAGCCTGTCACAATTTATTTTAGATTTCATAAGAGAATGGAGAGAGTATTTAGGTTAAATGAAAGATATGAAATTATTTATCAAGGTACACTCTACTACAGGTATGGACAAATGGAATTTTAGAAAATCGTCAAAACGGGTAGATTTGACGGCATCTAATGGTACAACTGCGATGTCATATTGAAAACTTGTTTATTTTCTGTTCTGAGAGTGGGTCTCGTCAATTTTGTGTTACTTTTTGGTGTTCTTAGTTAAGTTTTATGTTACTTGGAGTTTTATCAATTTTTTAAATTCATCTGATATCTTATTGAAACTACCAGGATCTGCCAGAACCTCACTTTGAACTGCGCGGCAAAGACAGTAAGGCGAAGTCACTTGATGGCCTAGATTCTCAGCGCTGCCACTTCGGCACCCCGTTTGTCCATGCCTGTAGTAGAGTATACCTTGATTATTTCTCTTCTTTTGATATTCCAACAGAAATGGGCAAAAATAACTAGAATGCTCTTCTACAACCTTTTTTTGTGCCAGAGGTACATGGACTCCGTTTGGACTGTTGTTCAATGGATTGAAAAGGAAAATCTTCAGAGGGAAGGGCAAATCTAAGTTTCGAAACGTCAACCACCCTCTTGGGATACATTGTTGGAAAGAGTATAATGAAAATAAAATGTTTGACAAAACACAAATGGACATGATGAACAAGTTATTTCTCTTATTTTTGACTTGCCAGTATAATACAGACTTCCTTCAAAACAAATCAAGAGCATTCCATGTTGTTGATGGGATTGCTTGTTTTCAAAATGACCACTTCAATTAAATAAACTGAGGGTGAGGATTTTAATTAAAATTACAAATATGTGATCTCATACTCTGTGACACCTTCTATGCCATTATGAGCTTATTAGTTCAACACCAAGGTATTTCTGTGACGATAAGTAGTGCTCATGAGGATGAAACCAGCAAGCTAACATACGACACTGATGTAGACTGACAGCAAACTGCTGATACTCCATCACAAACTGTGGGTTAAAGATTGTTTCGACTCTGATTTAAGAGAGTTTTCTTTTCTTTCCTAACTTCTACTTCAATTTTTCATGAAAGGAATCAAATAGTAACAAGTAAACTATGAACTCCAATTAAAATAGAAGAAGGGCTTCCAAAACTCCATCATAAAATCTAAGAATTTATGATCAGGCTTGAATGACTAAGAACTAAGAAGTATATTGCTTACAAAATTGGAACAAATTATATCTTCCTCCTTCTCCATACTTTTTTGGGGCAAGAGGTCAATGTGTGAAAACATATTCTGATGAAACATTTAAAGACGGAACCTATCTATCTTTTCCTAAGCTTCAAACAAGTACTTAGTATCCGTGCACATTGTGGGACTTCCCCAAATATGGAGACGTTTCTTTTAGATAAGTTTGGGCCTGAGTCGGGCTGTTCAGTTAATGTATTTTAATGAATATGGTCTTGATTGTGCCCATGGCGGCAGTTTAAAACTGTAAAAACTGAGAGTGAGGTAATTGGAAAGGATGGCGCAGAAATAGTTACATAATTTTTAATACTTACCGCTGGTCTATCAAGTGCCCTAAAGGGTTCCGCAGGAGAAAACATTGCAGAGGGCCCGTTTACAGGAACAAGTGGTCGCACCATTTCAAACATTGTGTAGTTTCCTTTGTCAGTTACTCCAGGATGAACAAACCTAAAAATGAAAGAAAATTATGACATTCTGACTTGGTCAAAGTGGAATACGACACCAGTAGTATAAACCAAGAATGAAATACTTAGAAAACTAACAAAGTTGCAGCCTAAAGATGCAGGATTGCTAGATATCTTGCTATTAGGTAAAAGTTCCTTTGAGTTCAATAGGACAATTTTTCAAGACAGCATTAATATACAGCTACCTCTCTGAAGAACTTGCTCAACTGAAATCTGTCATCTTCAACCTCGGCTCATCTCCGAATTATTTTAAGAGTTGATATGGAATCACTTCCAGAGCCAAAAGCATCAAAAATGTTTTAAATATGTAGAATAGTTCAGAATCAATTTGAAATAAAAATTTAACCGCTTTGGTGTACATTAGAAATTTACATAATAATTAATATGATAGACTGAGATTACGCGACACCCTAACTGCACTGATAGTCATGTATGAGAAGCAGGGGTGGACATGCAGGCTGCCACACCTGGAAAAATCCCGGTGGGCCAGCTGATATTTAGGAAAACTTTGGACCAATTTGTCCCCTTCACACCGCAAAAAACCGACTAAAATGGGCCCATCTAAGTTCTAGTGAGCTAGTATTCTCAGTAACCTTATTCGGTGCTTGTCCACCCCTGCAGACAAGGTCCCAATATATGAAAAATGTCCCTAAAATTGACGTATAGTCTGTTCAAGATAGGAAGAACCATAGGCAATTGAAATTAATTGCACTATTCTGCAGATTGGAGGTGACTCGACCTTCATCAATTGTCACTCTCTGAGTTTTGCGCATGTCTTGGAAGAAACTTGAGGTCGATGCGGTCAACGCTCAGTAGTTTTCCCCAAAGCTTGACCCAGGGGCAGTTTCTGATGCAATGTACTGCGCGCAGGGGCAGATAGGTGACTCATGATTAACCCTCTGTACAATGCAGGGTTAGTTCAGTGACTTGACCATTGACAATGACTCGAGTACTACCTCACTTCAAAATGGTGCTATGAATTCAGATTTTCCACGGTTCTTCCTATCATGAACAGACTATAATAGACCTAAAGGTGGAACACAAGCACTAGAACTAACCTGCAGCTAGATCCCCAGGTGCATTGTCCACGACTATAGAATCTACAGATGGGTCTTGGTTCCGTCTCTTCAGGTCGATTTTCACCTTCATCCGTCAGTTCACCTTCTTCAAGATCCTCTTTGCACTCTCCTTCGTCATCTTCACCAGTCTTTTCTTCTTTATTTTCCTTTTCAGTTTCTTCTCCTTCCTCCTTCTCTATTTCAGTTTCGATTTCTTTTTCCTTCTCTTTCTCTTTTTCGGTCTCACATTCTCCTTCTTCAACTAATTCTTCAGCTTCGAAATCTAGAGCTTCTTCTCCTTCGAGAGCTGTGCTTGGCGCAACACCTTTCTCGATCTGAAAATAATTGAAGTTACGTTTAAAATTTAGATTTACTGATGGGGAAACAGCAAAGCAGGGTTGGACACTGAAAGAATCTTCTTCATTCTCTCAACTTAGTTGCATGGTAAAATACTCCTTTACTTTTTTACTGTTTCATGAAGGTTGCCGTTCAGCAAATCAAGGAAAAAGAAAAAAATAAATTATCTGCTCCAAGTCGATATTGCTTAACAACTGGCACAGATTAAGAGTGCTGAAAAGAGCACCTGCACTATCAGTAGGCTGATTAATCAGCCCCAGGGAATGCAGAATCTTCCAAAATTCCACATTTCTTTGCGCCCACCCACTAGCTTTCCCAGTTTTTTTCATTAGCTTTGCACAAAATTTCCCACCAATTTGAAAAGTGATGATCTTCTTTTTTTCTTTGACGTTCGACCGTTCATCTCTTTCCATATGTGAAGGGCTTCTTAAAATTTTCACACACCTGGGCAGGGGCACTTTCTGTACCCTAGAAGAGCATTTGGACGGAGTTAAACAGAAAGGAACCAAGCCACATCGGGATCGAACCGAGAAAAAGAGGCTTAAAGTTTAGCTCATGCATCAGACTCAATGTAAAAGTTAATCTTCAAGTTCAATTTCTGCAAAATTTGCTCCAACAAAAACTTTGAATTTTTGGCGATAGATAGTAGAGAAGTGGTTGAGTTCAAAACCACTCATAACTCAATTTTTTCCAAAATGTGGGTTGGTTCCTTTCTGCTTAACTCAGTCCATTTATCTGTGGTAATTTTATAGGGGGGAAAAAATGAAAATTTAAATTGAATAAATTCTGAGGAGTTTCTGCATGATATCAGAAATAAGTAGTTCTGTGAGTAAAATTGCAGTGGTTCAAGTGTGCTGATATTGACAAAGAAATTGAACTAGCAAAAATTTCAGAGATAAAGGTGTGCTGAAATTGCAAAGGATTTAATTACATGCCCTCCATTTCCTTCTCTCCAGATTAGTGTTTTTATTGAAAGTAAATAAAATAGTCGAAAAGAGCACTTCATGAGAGTCAAGTAAGATGATGAATAACTAATAATTGGAGCAGTGATCTAACAGTGATGCAAGCACTAGTTCATGATAATAGGATATATGCCAACTGCATGACATCCATAGATTAAAAAAAAAAAACCTAAAAAATAGAGTAGAAATAAGAATTGTTTTAAATTAGAATGTATAAATAGACCTTTCCAGTTGATTGCTGTTAATATTGAATCCACCTTGTAAAATCTAATAAAGAATAAGTACTTGTGATAATAATAATAAAACAAAAAATGCCCCCTTTGAAAAAACAAATACAAACCCAATGAAGAGATATTATGAGGTAATGACTTGAAACTACTTGAATTCTTGGCGAAAAAACACCATGTCAGAGGTGAAATGTAATAAAATGTAAAAAAAACTGAGGAAAGTTTGTGCAGAGATTTACTTAGACTCTTTAAGTTATTAAAAAGAATTACCTTTTTCAGATTTGACTCAGAGTCATCTAATGGAGATGGAGATTTTGGCGCAACTTGATTTTGATTACAGCTTGGCTGAGCGTCCATGCTGATGTTATCGCTTCCAGAATCATCATCAGATACATCAGATAGATCTTCCGCATGATTGACAGGAATCTTGGGTTTTTCATGAGCTATTGTGCTTCTCTTGGGAGAGGACTGAGGAGAGTCATTAGGCTCTTTCTTTGCTTTGACTGCATTCCTAGAGGAATTGTAAGAGCTTGAGGAGGAAATATTACTATTTCCACCGGGAGAGGCATAGGACTTTGACTGATGAGGAGAGCGATTCCCTCGATTTAGTGCTGATGGAGAAACACTTCCATCATCAAAGTTTTCCCTAAATTTGTCTCGAGACCGGGGAGAACGTTGTTTAGCATCTGGGGAACCAGCAGGACTAGGACTTCGCTCACCATCACTGGGTGATCGACTACGACTATACTTGGTAGAACGCCAATTCAGATGACCTGAAGATGGAGATTGAGGACTTGGAGATCGAGGATGTTTCTCCACAGAAGAGGGTGAGAATCTATCAGAGGAGGGGGACTCAGGGTTTTTATCACTTGCAGGAGACTGAGGGCCTTGTTTCGGGGAATTAATTTCACTTGGAGAGGTGCCATAGCGATCAGAGCCAGGAGATCGCCGGTGTTTTGATGAGATTAAAGAGCGTGGGGACTTAGCTTCTGCTGGTGATGGTGATCTGGGGTAGGAGCGATCATTGGACGCAGGCGATTTTGCATCTTCAGAGTCAGATGACGAAGAAGATGAGGAGGAAGACGAGGACTTCCCACTTTTCTCTGACTTGTTGCTGATTTCTCCATCAGAGCCAGACTTCTTCTCTTCGTCAGATTTCTCATCATCTTCCCACTTACGAGCATGAGACTCAAATGCCTCATTTGAAGAGGAGTTATCCGAATCCATTTTTCAGCCTGACTGAGTTAAACAACCTATTGGAAAAATCACATCATATTAGTTCAAGGGAGAGGCATTTGACTAAAAGATTATTAGTGGAAAAGATTCAGATTACTATTACATTCTAGTATCATCTATTCGTATTTTGAATCTAATTTTTTTCTTTTTAAGATTAAGCTATCATTTATAACTACTGTTAATAATTTTCCCCTAAAATTTATGATCAATCCTCATAGCCATCAGAACTTACTACTTGCAAGGAAAAAACTTTTGGTTGGCTAAAATTACTTCTTTTAGGTTTAAAAAAAAAAATTAGTGCAAACATCAATGGGGGTACTTCTTTATGCCATGAAATAAAATTCTTTGACGAAGTACCAAAGAAGGTGCAAACTGATTATGTTTGACAAAATGAAAACAATATTTTCAAGTTTTTTTGAGGCGTCAACATAAACTTCATAAAGTTGTGGCGGAAGCTGAAGCGCCACTATCTTCAGGATGAATGATGTTGCTCATCAATATTCTTCCCAAAGAAAGCGGTATTACCTATTTGATGATTTGAACTTTCAAGAGTTTCACATTTAAAATGAGTCCTGTTGTAGGTAACTCATTTAATTTTGCAAAGGTGAGAAAGAACCCAATCAAAAACAAAAGCGCTGTCAGCATATGAAAATTGATGCTCTATTAAAAGAGATAATTTCCACTATTCTTCCTTTAAGAAAGGAAAAAGAAAAATCTGACAAAAATTAAAGGTATATGACTAAAACATGTGAAAAATGTAAAAGAGTGAGTGGAAAATTTTTGGTGAATGGAGGAAAGAAAAAAAAACGTGCTTTTCTTATTTTTCTGACTCAAAGCTCACAATTCAAGATGGTACGGAGTAACTTTTTCGAGAAAATTTTGTTTTCAATGATTGTCAATAGAGAATACTAATTTTAGTGCCATCTACTTCCACAATGGACTTAATCTCAATGAATCTCCATCGCTTTGAATTCATCAGAGTTTACAAAAAAATAATTAGGCAAATAAGTAATAGGTACCTACATAATTTGATTTGGTGGCTAAATTTGTGTCGAGTCTTATTGCCAAGGATGATTTAACAGGTAGACCGAGTGAGTGCAAAATTTTAAGAGAAGGTTATATTTTCAGTTACTTCATTTCCTGACTTCAAGAATTTCATTTAAGTTTTGAGAGGAAGTGTTTGAAAATTGCGATGCCCAAAAACAAGTTTCTAACTTTTGGCTTTGGAGTAAAATTTTTGCAGTTCTGAGGAATTTCACTGCGTCAAACCCTGTTTCTTAGAAAGAAAATTGGGAAAATTTTCTTGTTGCCTTTTAGAGGGAGGGGAAGCCTGGTGCCAGATGGTAGTTAATTTGTGATCATACACTAGTCCTGATGAGGAATTTTTATAAATCTACCTGCTGCTCAGGATAAATCTTTGCTTAGCAAAATCTAAACAATCAGTAATCCTGATAATGAGCAGCCTTATAACTAAATGCTGGCTGAAATGAATCCTACAAGTCACCCGCAAAAATGCTCAATCATCTGATGACCTACTTTGTGAAATAATGTTATTGATCAATATCTTTTGAGCCCACCCTGGTGGATAAAGCTGAGATTTGATCTAAAGCAATTTACTTAGGAGATAAATCTTGAGATTACAATATACTAAACTATGTAAATATTAATACATTCTTACTGATTGTTCAATTTAACCTTTGTCTCCAACTTTGCAAACCAAAATGAAACAATGAAGATCAAATCCATTCATTCCTATTCTGTTTTAAATCAAATCATTTTTAAGACACATAATATTGAGATAAATTCCTATCAATTTAACATGGAGTTGTTGCAAGGAGAAGTGATTTACAAATCCATCACTTCTGTAGACACTTCATCCTCTTGCAGATATTTTGCTGAATAGAATTCACCAAAATTGTTCATAGATAGCTTTTAAAGTAGAACAATTCAGAGCTTGTAGAAGTTTTGAAATGCTGCTACCAAATTAAAGATCATCTGTTTCTGATGTTTCATTTCTATGGGATTCAAGGCTAATTCTTGAAATTCACATGTAAACGGCCTTCGATATGATCCGTCAGACCTCTCTACTTAATAGAGCTGCCAGTGCTAGCTCAGAATGCACATAGACCTAAAATTTGTTGTTTTCTTCACAAAAAATATATTTTGGTTGCGCTGTATCAGTATTTCATACTAGCATTTTAATTTTTTCGATGAGAACTGTTGCATAAATTAGCCTCAAATTTTCAGTGCTTTTTCATAATACATTTGAGAAAAAAAAAACACTTATATTTTCAAACAAATTGCTGTGATGGTTCTCCTTGGAAAAAATAAAATGTTCGTAGAAATACAGAAACAGTGCAGAGGAGATAAATTCCTTCGTGCAGAAAATGACAGATTGATGGTTTTCATACAGTGTGTTTAAATGAATGATAAATCCAAAATGACAACAGACATTTTTTGTTCTTAAAAAAGGATCAAAAGACCACTAAAACTGTCAATCCTTGATTTCCAGTATAACAAAACAGTGGAACTCAGCAAGTCAAATCAAGCTATGATCAAAGTGTAAGAAATTTTCAATTTAACTTAATGATTACTTAAGTAAAAATGATAAAGAAATTCCTTGATCTGAGGGCTCTCCTAAGGATAATGCAAATCTTCATCAGTTTTTTTTTAAATTCAACACCCATTTGTATTTTAGATGACATTATCCATAATTTAAAGTAATAATTTATAATTATAGGCAGAGCCCAGACATTCCAGCATGAGATTTTTTTCCCCAGCTCCTTCTAAAAAGCTTCATACGTTATGAAAAGCAGCTGAGAGATTGAATTTTTCCTTGACCATTTACCAGCAATGACCCCAAGACTCACCATGACTGGAGTATGTGAAGATGGCTGGAGGCATAGAAATTTCTTGATCACGCGATGGCAGTCGTATAGAATGGGAGAGCCTCAGAGAGAACAATTAAGATGGGGGAACTTTGTCAAATTTTTTGTTTAAAAGGTGTTTGAACAGTGAATAAGTCCATTTACCTTCTTTAAAGTCTTCGGGGGGAACTGATCATGAATTTTAGTCAAAACTTAGGAAATTAGAAGAGTTGGCAGTTGTTCACATCCCGTTTAAAAGCCACTGTTCTGCAGCTGTTCAATGGAGTTCAAGAATTGAAAGAGAGCAGTAGATTCGTAGGATGCAAATACATAAGGTAAAGTAAAATGTTCTATTGCAAATAAGTAACTATATAAGTGCTAGGCTGACTGACTGAGGCACCCTTAAGGAGTTAAGACTCATGGCATGTCTGCCGTCATGCATCCTATAGTTGGACCATGTTCCCGAACTAAAGTTCATGATACTTATTGTATATTTTTTTCGCAAGGCTCATCAGTTATTTGATTACCCAACGATAGCTTGTATTATTAATTGAGGCGGATGCTACAGAGCGCTCTTGTGGAAGTAACGATCAACAAAAACAAATGCCAGCAAATCTGATGCAAATTCTGGCTCCTTAACATACAGGGCTGCTCATTATTCTAGTGGCAAGAATTTACCCAGACAAGACAATACACGCTTATAGAATGGTTCAACTTCTCAATGTCAAAAGATTGTTCTGGATGCTAATTATGTACGATTAAACAAAAATTAGGGCTCTTAAGCTTTGGAGGGATTAAAGAATTCATGCCACTAAAAAGTGAACCATGTAAAGGCTTAGAATATCCTTCAAGAGTTCAAGAGAATTTTCAGATCTGACTTTGAATAGCAATGCATTGCTGCTAGTCGGTGTATTGTTGGATGATTTGATTCACATTAGAAACAAGCAGCTTTCAGCATTGCATTACAAATATAAAAAAGGTTGCCTTAGAACGAGTAAGAACCACTTCAATGAATTTTATAGTGGTCCTGACTACTGATGATTCTAGATGGCTGTGAACGGGACTTACTTAAGTATCAACGATCTCTAATAGAGAGATCAGATAATGAGGATATGAAAAAGACCTTGCTGCATTTATCAGATACACTCAATGGAGCTCCAGATATCATCTGATATGCATGGATGCAAACATTTTAAGAGTGGTCAATTTGGCGATCTTAGAAGCAAAACTAAGACAATCGGTTGGTACTTCTTTCAAGGTCAGAGATAACCGATGAGATCTTAGATAGAACTAATCAAATATTCACACTTTAAGTGCAATTCTTACCTGGAATATGACGAATTGTATGAAAACAGTGACGGAACATCGTTCCACTGACAAAAAAAGACACTTATCATACTCTCGACTACTGAACTAAACATTTAACATCGAAAAAACTCGCGAACTTAAGAACACGACTGTGACTGTTTAGAGTATGGTAAAAAAACTTAGCATTAGAGACACCACTAGAAAACTTAAACACTCCTGAAAGAAAGACTGCACAAGAATTAGGATAAATATACCATGTGAAGCCTAAAAATGGTTTCCAATTGTAAAGGAACTTGAGGATAGGCTGGGTGTGGGGACTTCAGGGAGCTCGAATCTGTTTCGAAACCTGCTTACCTTAGTAATGGAATCACAAATTCTCTGATCGCACGGCTATGATCATCATGATTGAGAAAAATAGAGAAAAACAGACAAAGTTTCGGGGCGCGTTCAAAATACCCACAGAACTTCTAACCTCCGGCCGGAGAGATGCTGAAGACAACAATGGCCGACGAGATCGAGTCATCGAACTCGAAGAATCGATTATTCGAGTTATTGATAAGAGATCGATATCACGTGTGATAAGAGATAAGGATATTTTAAGTATTGATTAAAACAAATGATGAAATATTTGGACTTTTGACTGGTTAGCAGCATGCTGTATGAACTTTGTTTGATCACTTCAACTCAATGTAAAATTTCTCGAATTTGGCATGTTATTAAAAAATTACTCAACTACAGAGTAAAGAGAACGGCAGGCATTCCGATCCGAGGAAGCCGGACACCGAGATCGAGGTTACCGTATTTTGAAATATTTTCATACCGCAAAATCTAGCTGCTATAACAACGTTTTTAGTGTGCGATTTGACTCGCTGGTAGAGTATGCTTTTCTTGTGAGCGGGAAATTTGAATTAATGCGTCGAGAACCAGTGATCCTCATTATTCAGGAGTCACTTTCAGTGGCACAGAATGCCCTTTGTGAACCATTTTTCAGAATGCTCAAACTCGCACTCGCGCCTCGTCTCGTATTCCTGAAGAGATTAGAATGATATTATTCTCGTATTCCTTGAGAGTTCTCTCAGAGGAACTTTTCTTCGATTTGGGGAGGGGGGGGTGTCCAACTTGAAATTTTTAAACCAAAATGAAAGAGAAACATTTTTGAATGAGTCCCTCAAGTCTCCTATCTTTCGAGGCTATCAAGTCTTTCTACCTGCTCTCTGCAGATGGCCGCAAAATAGTTTTTGAAAATTTCTGCTCTAAATTTTTAAAACCTGTCCTTACTTAAATCATGGACTAAGCACCGTTTTGAAAAGAGGAAGGCTTACACAGAGCTTCATTTGAGCAAAAATGTGTCTACATTCATTTTGTTTCAATAATGAATTTTGATCGAAATAGGTATACCTATACTGACTTAAATCCCACATCATTCAAAAAGTGTTGTTCGCTTTCCTATTCGGGGACTTAAAAAACATGGTGCCCCTCTTTCTCAGAAATAATAGCCTCCTTCTTCAAAATGATAAAGGCACTTATAGTCTTCATCTTCAATATGTTATTGAATAATCAGGGACCCCTTTCAGTTAAACATTTTTTTTGAGGAGAAAGTGCAGAGGCTCCTAATATTTTTTTCACTCTACATTGAAGTTGCTGGCTGTGATACTGTAATTGACATACTTTGCCACCATTCCTTGCTTTTCCACATTATGTATGCTAACTGCATGAGATTAACATTTTCCTACTTCCTGCCTGGGTGCCTACAAAATTTTGGAAAATGTGCTGGTGTGTACTTAAACTATTGATCTTTTGTCTTGAAAGTTCATACTTCCTCTGCGATATTTATTTTTCCCATGAAAACCCTATACCTACAGAAGTAATCCAAAGTTAAACAGCTACACTGCAGGAGCATTTTCTATGGGTCAAAATGATACTTTTTTCCTCAGTGAAATTTATTCCAAAAGTGCTTCTTGAGTGGGCTAAAGCTCCCCCAAAATTCTGAGGAATAAACAGTTTTTTCCTGAATTTTGGTAACGGTAAGTAATGCTCTGAATCTGATGAAAATCTTTATGCACCCATACTTAATTGGATACCTTGAACTCATTGGTGGCACTACAAAAATTGAGGCAGTAATCATTGTACCTATTGTACGTATAAATGCCAGGAACTGATCCATAATATGTAGCGGCATTAATATTGAGTGGAATGACATCAAATTTGTGAAGACTTATTGAAAATGTACTAACATCTGAAAATATCATTACGGACATCGTTTATTGACTTAATGTCTAAGAGAGGCAAATTACAATGCCATCTCTCTCTTACACATTGAGTTAATGACTGACGTTCGTAATGGGAGTATCAATTTTTAATGAATCTTTACGAATTTGATATCATACTACTCAGTATTAATGCTGCTACAGTGCTTGTTAAAGGTAAGTTTCTTATATTAATTCTTACAATGTGATAATTGTCGCTTCTCGAAGGCACAGACCGTACGGCAGTGCAACATAGTGGCAGTTCTAGTCCCTAGATCACTTGGAGTCACCTTAATGAATACATAAAAAGGTTATAAGGTTAACCTTTGCAATGAAATGAAGCCCTTCCTGCTCTCTCTACTTCAATGGTTCTATAGCAAACATGGAGCACCTTGGCAAATTGGTATAAGTACGGAACTTAAAAAATAGAGGGCAGTTTTTTCAAACGCTGCAAAGGATGCATGTCTTCCTCACTGGAGTTAAGAAAAAAATTAGTCGCAACACATAATTAAATGCTTCAACTGAGAGATACATTTATTTTACAACGTATGTGAACAAAAAAATTAACAATTCTTAGGTATATGTACATTTTTTCCTTACACAGAAAAAATTAGATGACTCGACTAAAAATACAAATAAGTATAACACTGTGAGTGCTTACTTAGAATGAGAAAAAAATTTATGCAGGTACAAGTATAATTCTCAAATAGAAACACTCATTCTGACAAAGCTGTGAACAAACGTTTATCAAAGGACTCAGGGTAAGTAAAAGCTTCAATTCACAGAGCTTTAAAATCGAGAAAGCTCACACTCTCATTTACTTGTATTAGTTTTCAAAAAGAGCACAGCTGCCGACATTAATAGACAAAGTTGTCCACCTTTTGTTGGTGAACAGTTACTCACTTACAGGGTAGCTAGTATTCTTGTGAAACCAACAGCTGCAGAGACTAAAGTTTGACCTACACCCCAGAACAAAGCATACAATGGCATCATTTCCATAGTAGCTGCACGGTAAACAAACGCAATAGATGCACTGCTAACCACACCAGAAGTCATTGGAGCAAATATTCCCAAACTTAAAATGAAGACCGGGAAAAACCTGCACAAAAAATTGGTAGTGTTAAAATATCATAATAACATAAGATTAATTTTACATTTAGGTTGAACAATGGCATTGAAAAAAAAAAAAAAAAAAAATCCATTTAAAGCCTCTATATTTAAAAGGACTGTAGGTGGGAAGGAATACAAGGCTGAACGTTGGTGCAAGGCTTGAAAATTGCAAGGCTGCTCTGCAAAAAAATGGACTAAAACAAAAACTATAACAAGTAGAGGCTAAAAAGCAACCAACGTAAGTGACAAACTGTGGGTACAAAACTGATTTTGGAAAAAAAATAAAAAAAAATAAAGATAAAAAACTCAATCTTACATAATTTACATAAAAACATACACATTTTTTAGACAACTTGTTCCATTCTTTAGGGTGCATTCTAAATCATCCCAAGCAAGTTGTCCTCGAAGTGCGTCAGATTTATAAATAATTCATGATAATGATTTCAGTTCTTTGATTTTGAATTTTAAATGTTAATTTTGCGTTTATTTTGAAAAAGAAAAAAAAATTATCCTTATTTTTTTCATGTGATTTTTACTTTGGATGTGACACTACCAGTATTTCAAACATACGAGTATTTTAGGTCTCATATTTAAAGAAAAGATTATATTTAGAGAAAAAAAGAAATTAATGAATGAGAGAAAAGATTAATGTGGAAGAAAAAATTAATGTGGTACTTCAATTCTTACTCTGTTTTGTGATTGATTCCAAGAGTCCCATGATTGTGTTTTCACAAGTTATTACATCAAGAAAAGAGACAATGTAAAAGGAAAGATAGAGACGAACTTACTTGCCAAAGCGATGCTTCCTTAGAGTTGTGAAAGCTATCACCGCAGCTATCAAGTGTACAAAAACAGAGGAGAAAAGTGCCCACAGGAAAATCTGATACCACATTTCTGTAAAAACAAGGAAACAAAACTATTTATTTACCAGTAGGAATTGGTAATGATGAAACCTTTAGCTCTTATCCTTGGCATCTGGCAAGAATAATACAAATAGGAACCCCCATTAGTTGAATCATGATAGAGCAAGCTACATTCAGAAATAGGTGCCAATTCTGAAAAGAGTCGCATGAAAGTATCTGATAGTCACAATTTACTATCCACAAAAAAGTTGCTGCAGTTTAAGTTTTTATGCTGCAGGATTAGTCCAAATAATACTTGAGTTGAAATACAAGCAATCTCAAAGGATAAAATGTTCAGAACAGATACAAAAAAAAAAAAAAAAAAAAAAAAAAAAAAAAAAAAAAAAAAAAAAAAAAAAACCATGCATATGATATCTATAGAGAGCAAACTGAGGGAAAAATTGTCTTTTAGTGAGGAAAAAGTAAAAAGAAAGAGGAAATTTTGAATGAAAAACAAGGAAGGAACAAGATTTTGCCCAATTTTAATGCGTACCTGGAAAATTTATGAGAGGAGGTCGGTGCTTTAATTTGATCACATTCAAAGCATTAGCGAAGGTGAAAACCGCCTGCTCTTCCTTGCTTGATGTCATTGTTGATCAATTGTTGATAAACATTTGCTGCTACGAGAAAAAGATGTCCAACAGTTTCGTGTGTTCCCTGACAGGACCCATGATACCTACAACAATGACAATCGCCTGAATGAAATGCACCGATGATTGAAGCTTGTGAATGAAAATATAGACAATGGACCACTAGACAAGGTACGAATTTCAGCACTCTGATATATGATCCGTAACCAAAATTTCACGTAGAGCACGATGCGCACAATGAAAATTATCGAAATCAACTCCTCACAACGATATTTAATGATTCTTGATGCGTGAATTCAAACCACCCGCTCATGAAAACTCAATGCTCTACATGATTCACATCGCGCGCTAAACGTTATCATGACAGTCTCTGCGCGATGTAAAAATCTGGCAACCTCAATCTTGACGCTTTGGCTCAGCTATAGCAAATTGCCTATAGTTCGAACAACACATGGTGAGAAATGAATATTGCTGGATTAAGAAATTTGCTGAGACCGTTGTCGTGCGCAATTTGACTCACGTAGAGCTTTGAGTTTCTTGTGAGCGGGCAGTTCAAATTCCTCGAAACCAATGTGAAATGAAAAGGTTAATATCTTCGTTAGGAGTTGGTTTCAGTAATTTTCATTGCGCGAATCGTGTTCTACGTGAAATTTTGATTAAGAAACATGTACCGGAATGCTTAAATTCGTACCTTGTCTAGTGATCCATTGAGTTTCAAGCCTCACCAGTGAAAATTATAACTGCACTATTACTAATCAGCAGCCTGATTGTTGAAATTTTTTGTTTGACGGGACGACATAGATGACTTAGGTTAAAAGGCGGAGCAAGATTGGTCGGCTATGTCTTATCAGTGCTTTGTCGTGCCTTTGTCAAGTGGAATGGATGACATACTGTCGGGAACTTAAGAGGTGCTCTTAGCTTGTCTTGAGTTCAACCCGACATAGGCACGACAGAGCAGCAATTAGACATAGGCAACCAATCACACTCCGCCTTTTAACCGATGTAATCTATGTTGTCCCGACAAACAAAAAATTTTAACAATCAGGCTGCAGGATGTAAATAACAATAGCAGCTTTGAAACCATTCACCATTCGACCCAAATGACTTAGTCACTCGAGTTGTACTAACCCTGCCACTACAATTTACGTCAGTAATTCCTACTTGGATATTCTCCATGCAGAAATGGTGGATACCTAACCTACATGCTTTCCCACTGGAGAAAGTTGTCTTTCCTTCAATTTGGTTCAATTCATGTTCAATAGCTGTTACATTAAGTTTTTGATGTCCCTCGTTGTCTAATCCTCAGCAGGGTCAAGCTTCTGCTGAGCTGAGCATAGCTAATGTTAAATGGCAGGTATGGCAATTTACCGTCAAAGAAAATATTCTCAAACTGTTTCTTGAGAGAGCTCAAACGATTGTACAGAATTCAGTGTAGAAAATACATACAAATCATAGGCGATTCGGACAGTCCTGCTGTAGGTAACAAATGAGGGCTTCATGCAACTTCAGAAGTAATGAGGGTAAGGGACCTAAAGAACTGAAAGAGGTGAACTGTAAAAGGTACGCTTGCTATGGAACTCATTGTAATATGACTAGATTTTATGATGATTTTATGTGAGGAATATTATCAGATACTGTAATCAAAAACGTTTTCTCTTTGTCAAAAACCAACACAGACCAAAACAAATAATTTGACATAACCTTAAAAAGTACTCACCGTTGAGTTTTTTTGACCCGCCTTACTCAGCATTCAACTTTATTTACATGGCATGGCTGCCCCCCCCCCCCCCCCCCCCCCCCCCNCAGTTCTGTCTGTAAGTCTTGCCACTTGCCAGTGCTACCTTCCATAATTCTTTGAAATTTTAAATTTTAATACAACAGTTCAACGATTCCCTTTGATTTTAAGTTTTCTCCTCTCTGACACCCATTCCCTCAAATCTTCAAATCTTGTCGAAGTTCTGTTTTCTCCTCCGAAGAGCAGACGATAAGGAACACCGTTGAAGCTTTTGTCCTCATCGAGAACCTCTGAATATCAGCGTTCCATTGTGTCTCAAACAACTTGTGTTTATTCTTCACATCTCAGGTAAAATTGCAGTGTTCATCAAGTAAATTTTTCTTAAGGCAATTATCGGTATTTTCACCGTAATTGGTGAGATTACATGTTGCCATGCCTCTCTGTTTGTTTGCGACCAGTGAGAGCTTTCGTTGGTAGTTCAGAAAGTGTTGGCCTTCTCTAGTAGCAGCAATCAGGATATTCAACTAGATTTTGAACCGTAGCCATGTCTATACAAGTACCTTTAATTTGTAACAATCGATGGGAGTTATAAAAAATCTGGATTCAACCGGAATGAAGAAAGACAGTTCCTTCAAACTCTTGATTCTTATTAATACCTCATCAATTCAAGATGGATTTGAGTCTAATAGTTATATGTATACACTCACCCTAGTTGGGAGTAAACCTCATGGTTGAGGCTATAGAAAAGTGGGGTTTGGAAGGTGTGTATTACTTAGAGTATGCGTTTGCAGAGTATGCGTTGTTCAACTCATCTTGAAACGTTCATATTAATGTAGCTGTTTCTCTCAGTTAACTCACAAGCTTCACATCATTGGTTTGTAAATTTATGACTGATCAGCGTAGCACGGAACCTACAAATACTCAATCTTTCCTTGAAGTTGTGTCAGTTTACAGTCCAGTGTTTATTGTGTAGAGATGCCAAAATTATTTTTCCCAGGAAAATTTAACCCATAATTATTTCATGCTTTATTAATTTCTGCCTCTGTACAAGTTGTTTTGGAAAGTAAAACGTGTTTGTATTATTGTTTCAGAATGAATACAGACGATCTACCCTCTGACAGTGATCAAAGTGATGTAGACTATGTTCCATCTGGTAAATAATTTTGTTCTCAATTCTATTTCCCTGTTTAAAAAACCATATAGTTATTCTTTAGGCTAGATTAAAGCACCAACCCTCAAAATAGACTCAATTCTATTTCTTGAATCAGTAATGAATGTGTACAGAGGTGCAGAAAGTTCTTTGTCTTCACAATTTTTGAGGCTGCCTTTATATTGCTGTTCACTTAAAACTACTTTCCCTTCATATTTTTTGATGCAGCTTTCACAATGCTGTCCACGTAAGGCTACACGCTTCACCATTTTCTTCACCTATAAGAGGATGTTTTATTATTTTTTCTGCCAAAAAGAGCGTGTTACGCAGTTTTCTTTGCCCTGAAGTAGTAGTAAGTGAGTTGGTAGTTGGTAGTCAGAGCATAGTCGTATTTTGTTCGAAACAACAAAATGTTTCCGTTTTTTTCTTGTTTCTTTTTACGCGATTCTGAACAACCAATGAGAGAGCAACTTCCAATTTTAGGTTAGAAATCAGCGTTGCTTTCTTGAACAACATAAAAGCGACCTGCTCTGAGCACGTTGCAGTTGTTGTGCAACAATGTTGCTGTAGGGGTTCCCAAATTTTGCGCACGAAAATAAGCCCCGCCCCCACAACACAAAACAACTTCGCACAAAATGCGATTGTTGCTCGTTTTTACAACATGTTGCGAGTGTTGCCTCCGAACAAAATACGACTCATATGGTACCCAGTAATCTTCCCAAACAATAACATGCTTTTTGGTTTCCTTCACAAAAATGCTTTTTGCATTCGCTCCTTTTCCCCCTCCTTTCAATAGCCCTCGCCTTTTTTCTGTGATCGGCAGGTTGTGAGCACTTTCTGGCCTTATCGGCTGTTTTCCAATTTCATCATGCAAACATTTTGTAAGGGCTCAATTAACTCCATTCCAATAGCACTAGCTGAGTGCGAAAAATGTGCATCTAAATTGCAAAATTCGAGAGTCTCTTATCTGGTTTTATGTTTCCTTGCAATTTTGTGTGATTTTTTATAACAAGTAAAGAAAATTCACAGAAAATTTCAAGAGAAACTAATGGTTAGTTTTCCCTGAAAAATGGAACATAAGTGGAGACTCACAACATCACAATTGTGAGATATGCATTTTTCTACTTTAGCCATTGATATATAACCGTAGATTTAATTTTACCGGAGTCAACAATCCTCACTACCTTGCAAATTTAAGAAAAAGGTATAATGCATTTATTTAAACTCCATTTCCACATAAATACGTAACTAAGCCTCTTTTATTTTTTAATTTATGTTTGAGCGAACGTCTCTAAAAGGTGCAACCGTGTACTTATGAACTGAAGTTTTCTACTTGCAGATTGTGAAGGAAAACTCTCAGAGGAAGACTCAGATGAAAACATCTCTGATGAGCCACAGTGTCAGGAAGATGGTGGTCTTGAGGATCCGGGAAAGAAACGCAAGAAGAAGCAAAAGTAAACAGCGTTTTTTTTTTTTTTTTTTCCAAGAAATTGCTCGACCCTTTATTCCCCATTCCTTCCCCTCAAATCCTTCTTTCTTCTCTTTGGTTTACCTCTTTAGTCTACCCCTCAATAGCATTTTATTTTACACACTCAGCCATTATTTTGTTTAAATTCAAATACCATCAGTGTGTGTACCATTGTGAGTGACTCTGGAGTTTTTCAATTAATTGTAATATGACATGTATTTTGCACAGTCAGGGAAGAAGATTTCATCTAAATAAGTAACTTTGGACTTGTGAGTCTTCAGATTGTAGGGGCCTTTCAATTGATCAGTGTTTTTGTCATGGGACTTTAGAGGTAATTGGAAATGTAGATAACAGGTTTTGTGCAGTCATGCATGCATTTGAATTCTCAATCAAAGAACATGTAGCGTATTTAAATCACATCATTTGGAGATTCATTCACTCTTATGTTTTATGTCTCCGGACTTTCCTTATGCATTGCTAGTTTTTAAGACTTTGACGAATGGTATAAGTTCTTCAAGTCTTCTCTTTTTTTGAAGGAATCGGAGGTATGAATAGTATGAAATTTATATTTTATAAAGGGAGTCTCGACCTTATGATGAGAGAGTGAGCACAGAAACCTGATACTAGCATAATGTTATTCATAGACCCCATCTTATAGGAAATGATCAAGTTGGGTGAGCTGCCTGTTGTATAACTGTTCGCTGAATGAGGCATTCTTCCTTAATTTTCAGGAAGAGTAGAAAATCCAGAAAAGTTTCTCAAGAGGAAGAAAAAACTGAAGTCAATGAAGAGACAACAAGCAATAAACCAATTTCAGCAGAAGAAGAAAAAAAGAGAGCTGATTCCCTATGGGCTGGTAAGATACTTTTTTGGTCCCTGTCTTATTCCTTGTCTTTTCAAAATCAAAATAACCCCAAGTAATCTTGATCAGTCAATTTGCATCTGTCAGTACTAATGGGCACTCATGAGAATTCAATATTTAACTCATGTAGTTTAAGAGCAAATGAGCCAGTTTGCACCGAAGTTAAAATCTCAAGTAAACAGATCTCCTCAGCATGAAATTTTAAAATATCACCTTTGGTAACCCAGCATAGTGATTGAATGCAAAATTACTTGATCATCTCTCTTTGGAAATCAATATTTACTAAAGCAACAATATTTGCATCATCTTACAGGCGTATATTCTAATGAGACTTTGCTGCTCGTGGTGAATTTTAGCAATATAGGTACAAAAACCACCACTGTGTCGTTCTGCTTCACAGCCAGCGTCTATAAAACACAATCATTCTTGCAATAATCTACAAATTTATGTAAGAAACTAAATCATAGCAAGACCAGCAATGTTGCTTATTGGCGCAATGAGTGAGAGAGATATTCTGGTATGAAGTGAATGAACAATGTTTGTTTCAATTTACTATATAAATTTTCAAAAACGCTTCACAGATTTGATGTCAAAATATTCCAAATTGCTCTTACTTCAGTTACTTACATAATGGCTCAGTTCTTTATATAAATTCGAAGATTGCACTGACAAGTGCTTCTTAAAAGCCCTGGCTGTGTTACAGTTTAACAGAATGGCAGTTATCATCTCTAGATTGCTTAAAGTCACCTCAACCAACTATCTCCTATCTATTTTGTTCACATAATGTTGCAGATTTCATGAAAGATGTTGGCGGAACCCCCAAAAAGTCTGAACCCTCAATTTCGAGTACGTCCAATGACCATCAAAAAGCATCTGAACAAAAAACTCCAGCTAAAACGATATGTGATGAAAAAAAGGAAGAGAAAAAAGAAGTAGAAAAAGAAAATTCCAGGACAGTTACTGAAATTTTTCAATTTGCCGGTGAAGAAGTCAGGTAATATTAAAATGTCTCTTGAAAAAAGTTTTTTTTCCCCCAGGATAGAATTTCTCATCTCCATGTACATTTATCTATCTATTTATACAAACATTTTAAGAATTTTATATTTTTAATTTTTTTCCAGTGCGTATTTTTCTTGTCCTTGTACAGTCCATACGCACTAAAATATCGTCTGATTTTTAGTCAGCACATGATTTTTACCTTTTTGTGAATTTGTTGAAAATCAGGGTATCCCAGGATCCTGCATGAGTACAGAAATTATATTCTCAGCTTCAGACAGATATCTGTTACATATCCTCTTTTGTTTTTAACAGGATTCAAAAAGAAGTTGCCTCTAACTCTACCATTGCAGAAAATGCAAGTTGCACTAAACCGCCGGTTCCCAAAACAGCAAGAGGTGCTAAAGGTGGTGGACTAGCTTCAGTTCTTGGTCAATTAGGAAAGAAGCCAAAACTCAGTGTTCTGGAAAAATCCAAGCTTGATTGGACGGAATTCAAAAAAGATGAAGGCATTGAAGAAGAAATTCAGATCCATAACAAAGGAAAAGACGGGTAAATACTTTAAAATATTAGTCATAACTTTAATTTTGGTTACATTTTATCGACAAAAAGTTTTATGTGAATGAAGAGTTTTGAGAAAAGACCAGTCTGCAAAGGTTTTTGTTGGAAGCATGTAGTCAGTAGGGAGGTAATAGTTAAGGAGGTAATTTAAACCTGAATACCCTATTTTTTAGAAGACAGGTGTCTTGCTCTAGAATATCCCTTCAGTAATGAGTCATATAAGTCTTTGGAAAATAGCTTAACTCTGGACAAAACCTCTTTTCCAGACACTAAAAATTCAGAGGAAAGTGAGAGGAGCGGCACCTTATCTCCGTCTAAGGATTTTTGTGCCCCCTTGCCCCCAAATTCCCAAGAAGAAAAGCCCAAAGCACATAAAACTCCCACCAAACAATCAAGCAACTATCTTTGGGGGGAGATGTATAACGAAGCGTTTCGATGCATTAAGTCAAACTTTCCGCTCATTAAAAAGCTATAATCTACTCTAGTTAAAATGGACACCGAATATCACTGTGACAGTCTTCGTAATCTCCAGTTTTTGATTCTGATGCTTTTTAGTCTTAAAAATAGTGGGCCGAACTGCCAAGCCATGATTTGCATAATCAGTAATGTTGTAAGCTTTTCAAATAGACCATCTGTAAAGCTACCAACAGAGCTGGCAAACCCTTTCTGTGCTTTTCTCGAATCTGTGATTAATCAGTATCTTTGAAATACTCTCAAAGGTAAATTCATGAAATCTATTGTGTTTGTGCTGTGAAGCAGCTCTACATAGTGGTGGTTTTTGTACCTATAATGCTAAAATTCACCATGAGCAGCAAAGCCTCATTAGAATATACGCCTGTAAGATGATGCAAATATTATATATCGACGGTGAAAGTCGGCAATCACATAACTCGATTTGTGACGTCGCAGACTTCCTGTCATACTTTATTCTTTAAACGGAAAACTACTCAACGGTAATTCCTTTAAACTGCCGTGATTTTTCTTCTATGTGCGAGGAAAATTCTGCAAAAACTGCAAGGAATCATGTCCATTTGTTCTCCTTTAAAAAAATAACATAGTTGCGGAGATTTTCAGACACCGCAAACGAGTTATGTGATTGCCGACTTGCACCGTCGATATGCATCCTAAGAGCCCTTTTGCCTGACTCCTTCACATATCTTAAACTGTTCAGTGTATGTGTGCTGAAAATAAACTTCAACTCATTTTATTGTTTATTGTTTTTTAGGTACCTGGAACGGCAAGATTTTCTGCAAAGAGCAGACCTCAGACAGTTTGAAATAGAAAAACAGTTAAGAGCAAATAAAAGGAGCTACTTATAATGTCTGACAAGAGCACCTCTTGATTAAAAGTGAGAAGGGTTTTTCATGCCCCATTCTTTCATGACTCTTCCGAGGAACAAGTTATTTGATTAGGGCTTGCACGAAATGGACTAGTAGACATGGCACGAATTTCAGCATTCTGATACATGTTTCATAACTAAAATTTCACGTAGAACACGATGCGCTTAACGAAAATTACCGGAATCAACTCCTTACGAAGATATTTAATGATTCTTGATGCGTGAATTCAAACCACCCACTCATGAAAACTCAATGCTCTACGTGACTCACATTGCGCTCAAAACGTTATCATGACAGTCTCTGAGATATAAAAATCTGGCAACCTCAATCTTGATGCTTTGGCTCAGCGATAGCAAGTTGTTTATAGTTTGAACAACACATGGTGGGAAATGAACATTGCTAGATCGAGAAGCTTGCTGAAATCGTTGTAGTGCACGATTTGACTTACGTAGAGCTTTGAGTTTCTTATGAGCGGGCAGTTCAAATTCTTCGTAACTAATGTGAAATAAAAACGTTAATATTTTTGTTAGGAGTTGATTTTGGTAATTTTCGTTGCGCGAATCGTGTTTTACGTGAAATTTTGGTCAAGAAACATGTATCAGAATGCTTAAATTCGTACCTTGTCTAGTGGTCCATTGTGAGAGAAACTCAAGATGGAATTGAGCTGTTATTTGATAAATTTCTAAACAATTTCGTAGCTTCAGGTATAAAAGTTGGTTAGTTTTGATACTATTGTTTAAAATTCAATTAATGACTTCTGGGGTTTTCCATGAATTGGTAATTGACTTCAATCCTCATCTTCCCTGCAAGTCTCTTTTGTGTTTAAACTGGATGTGACAGAAAATGTCAGGACCCAAGAGAATGTTTGTCCGTGCGGTTTGGTCATAAAATTCCCGGAGGGTAAAATTAGCAAGCAATAAGCTGTGCAAAATACTGTTTGCAATGCCAGATGAGGGACAAAATTTAGCAGGTTTTCTCATGACTGTAAACTATCATCCATCATAGATATTTGTAACTAAGGTTACTAAATTTTGTATTTTTACCGAGGTCTAAGGCTTGTTCCATCGGTTTTTTTTTTTTTTTTCTAATAAAATCTTATTCCTCTGCAATCCTTGACTATGAAATTGTTTTTTAGAATCGGTAGTCAAAAGATGAAGTCAAAATGAAAGCTACTCTCTTATATCATTTCTGCCTAATAATTTGAAAACAAAAGATATATTCTTGAAACCAAATTCGTAAATTAACTCCTAAAATAGATGCGAATAAAATGTAATCGGCTGTTTCTCAAATAGGGGAAACAGATGACATCTTCTGTTTTCCGTTTTCTAGCCATAAATAGGAGTTTGTTTCAATACTTTGTTGTTTGAATGGTTTTGTAGATAGTGAGATTTTAAAGAGGAGCTACATATAATATCCAATTCAGACGTTATCCACCAGTCCATTGAACAATTTAATTTAAAAAGAGAAAAACCTCCAGGGTTCAAATTTCAAGAGAACAAGACACCACTGTACCTCTCTGATAATTCATTTTATTTCTTTTACAAGGAGCCAATTAATATTCTTGAAATTAAGCTGCAGCCAGACTGTGTTCACTTGAGCAGGATCAGGAAAATTAGGCAAGTAAGAACAAAGACAAAATTTGGTGGACATTACCTACAAAATTGCCTTTCCTTCTTAATTTCTCAGCATTGTCATTTTCAATATACAGAGTGTGCAAAAGATATGAATACTTGTTCCTATCTCTTGAACAGTTGCAGATATTGACTTGCGGTTTGGATGAAATTTTCTCCAATGAAAGAAGGCATATTTTTGGAGGAGGTCGCAACCTCCTGTTCCACAGGAGGCAAAATTTAAATTTTAAATAGGAATTCCCATCTTGTGATACCTCATTGGGAAGAACATGAGAAAAATTTTAAGTGCAAACGGCAGGTCCTTATCTATCTTGATTTCAATATGGCAGAAAATTGAAATAACTTGTTAGTGATAGATTGTTCTTTGTCAGCTTTTGATTATATAGGCCAAGAAGGCAAGGAAATTTATCTTTCATGCAGATTAAATTAAGAAGTTTCTTTCTTTTTAAAAAACTGACGTAAAAAATAGGAAAAAAGAAGCAACAGGAAAATTGAAAGTTGATGCACACCTTCTTTGCGACCACCTTCAAAATGAGATCAAAAGCTGAAAAATCTGTTCAGTGGCTTGTCTGGAAAAAACAGAAAACTGCAGTGGAAAGAGAGTCTCACTACAGGTTTCATATATGTGGATTACAAATGACAAAAAAGAAAAGTAAAAGTTGTGTGAAATTTTGTTTATTCTGACTCTACACCGTTTAAAAGTTAAGCTCCAAAAAGAAAATACATAATCAGGCTGGGAAGCAACGAGAGATAAAAATTCACATGCATTAAAGGTAGTGAGCAAGTTATTAAGATCCAACAATAAATATGATCTAACTTTGGTTCCACACACAATTTTGTCCAATGTCCGAGAACAGAAATAACTCTACTACATACATTACACATAAAAAAACCATATTTCATGGCTCAATTTAGAAACAAAATACATATTCCATATATTTTCCTTCATAGGTAGTTCTTTTGAGGATATGTCAGAAAAATTGATCCTGTTTTGTGTAATGCAGTCCGACCGAAAGATGAAATTGGATTGATGAAGCACTGAGATTTCTTGTTCATGGAGGGTTTAACTTCCACTTGTTTGGACTGTCAAAAATATGCCGTGAGAGGCTTTTTGACAAAATTGATGGTATTAGTCAAAAATAATTTTGTAACCTAAAGCTGACATTACCTTCTTAACAGAATTTTAGAACCTTTCAAATGAATTTAAGGGAGACAGAATTTCACTCAGATGCAGGTAGCATATTATTAATTCCTGATATTGATGGCTAAGCACAACAACCAAGTAATCCAATACTGTGGTGTTTCCACATTTCTGCTCCTTCTGTATTCCTTTTTTCTACACCAGAGTAACTAGCCATTTTTACTTGACTTTTTGCTTAGTCATTTTCAAACACACAAGAAAAACCACACACATTTTTTTTACAGATTACATGGAATCATTTCTTAACTGAAATTAAAGTAACCATTGATGTAATACTAGATATTGACTTGGGACTGTTTAAATTGGTAAACAATTTTTTTTAAAGTATTACACAGGAAAAACTCAAGTCAATTTCATTTTTTTCCATTATAATTTTTTTTTTTTTGTTTGTCATCTCCATGATTCTGTCTTTATGGACCATGTTATTTAATTTTTAATTAAAACAAGAGTGCCTGCAGATTGAATATTTCTTCAAGGGAAAATAGAAGGCAAGGAACTGATATTATTGAACAATTTTGTCACATTTTTGCAGGCTTTCTTAGTCATCCTTGGAACATTAGATATAAGAGACCGAGAAGGAAAAGGTCTGGACTTACGGACTAAATAGTAACAATTTCATCTTGAAGTTTGAATCGCAAAGATGCTTTCAGTACTGATAGGTTTTTTGAAGTATTTGAATCCCTTTAACAGTTGCAGTTTTTATTCAATATCTTAGTCCAAAAAAAGAGATGGATCTTGTTTGCAGTGCATAAATTGACTTAAAATGTTCCACAAGACAGAGGTAATTTTTCTTCCGTTCCTGTAACATCCTGATGTGTTCCCACTTCTCCGTTTGGCTGAGTATTCTATTCAGCTGTCAAGACAAGGAAAAGAAACATTAAGGTGATATTATTAGATTAACCTGTAGGATGTATATTGGATGTCCTAAAATTAATACAACAATTGCAGCTCTGTGAATAATGAATAGATAAGAAATATCAACAGGCATTTAGATTATCTAATTACAAATTTAACAAAACCCATTGGAGCTCATCATTGTTACAGCGTGCATCTGTAAGACAACCACTGTTGCCAGAATCATTCATCCTGCTGTCTACTCACTTTACAGTTCAATTTACAGTTTAATTTACAGTTAAGATTCCCTTCAGAAAACCATCCTTAAAATCTTACAGGTAGCAGCAAAAAAAAAGTCTTTAAAAGAACAAATCTCAACAATTCTTTGATTAAATAAGCTTTGAAAGCTTAGAATTTGAAAGTTCTTGTTAAATTTGGACAAAATAAGATTCTACAGAGGCATTTTCACACTCCATGTCGTCTTACTTCTTAGCTTAGAATATCAATTGTTCCATCATTTTTGGGACAATCGGTGCATTAAGTTTGAAAAGATCAGCTGGATGATTTTCCTCACATTTTGGTTCTCAATGGGTATAATTAAACACAATGAAAATAAGGAAACAAAAAATCACAATAGCATCCAGTGTGGGGAGTAAATGACTTGAATTGACTCATAGGCAACATGCTTGGTTACAAGGCGTTGGTTAAAGCTGATTGTGAGTTCAGCCAATCGGAAAATGCTGGTTCCCCTGTTGGCTACGTTATCAGAGCCTGCCAAAATTACCATTTTAAATGGATCCCATTTTTGTCATTTTCAAAACAAAGTTTCTTTGCCATTTAGAATTAAAAAATGTTTGAAAAAATTCCTTGACACTCAAATCAATCCGTACTTTCAGAAAATGAATTATAAAAAATGGGTGCCACTAACCCATCGCTCAACTTATTGACCAGCTCACTGGTCATATGAAAAATATGAAGGTGAGTAAGTAAGAGCAACAACATTTTCTGAAACTTTTAGAGAGGAAACTAAAGTTTGATCTGTTTTTGGTAAGGGAAGAAATTGAATGCATATCTTACAGTGCGCCACCATGTGAAGACTGCTTAAAAAACAAAGTGAAACCAACAAACATTTGGTACTCCTGCGGCCTCATTGTTAAAATGTTGTGTTTGTCAACCAGCAAAGACAAGACTGAGGAGGAATTGAGTTGTGGATTGGTTGGCTTTGTCAGCCGCTCTCTTAGTCGTGCTTATGTTAGGTGGATTTGACAACGAAGAATCAGCAACTCAAGAGCTAATTTAAGTCTCTCATCAGTACCAGGTGATATGAGCACAACAAAGAGGATGACTGATAAAGCCGACCAATCACATGACTCCAATTCTTCTTAGTTTTGCCTTGTTCGGTTGACAAACACAAAATTTCAGCAATCAGGTTGCTGGATCTTTTTGAAAAGATAAAAATAAGCAGAAGTAGTACAGACTGAATTACCTAGACATAATAATAAGGTTTCCGCACTGTCACTCCGTACTCAGCTAGAGCAGGGGTTAGATCTTCCATTGTCAAAGTGTACCTTCGGTCTTTGGTTTTATTGTTTTTTGTGGGCAGATTTGAAGAGCGTACTTTGCAGTGCTGCAAGGCATCATTTGCAATTTCTGAAATAAATTTTTGTGCAGCCAAGGAAATAAGGCGAACTCTGGAAACAAAACAAGCAAAAAATTCTGATATTTTTGTATTGTACACTTACTACTCCTTTTCAATGAGCCTGTGAGATTATGTAGTCGTTTAAGCTGTCTTAAACAAAGAACACACTTTAAAGTCAAAGTAAGTAAGAAATATTAACTACTTATCCTAACAGATTCAAGAGCTCAAAATCACGATATTATGAGCAAATAATCTCATTACAAAATATATAATGATGAAAAAAATAAAAATTTCTTCTTTCTTCCTAAAAAAGAAGTAGAAATTAAAAGTAAGTTCACACACATGAAGAATGGTCTATCGTTAGTGCTGAGGCATTAAAACCCCAAAATTGTCTGGGTTACTTACTGGTCTCAGATATCTGGCATGAGACGATTCAATTCTGTCATGAAGTTAGGTAACATTCAAATTCAGTTGCTGATCGAAATAAAAAAAAATAATCTATTTTCTTAAAAGAGGACATTAATAAACTGCTAAGGAACAACATCTTTCCACCTCACGGCACATGAACCGCATAGATCCTACTTGTCCACTGCAAGAAATGAGTGTATTTTCCAAAGGACAGTGTTTCTTGGAAAAATTGCTCAACTCTTCCCTGTTCCTACCTATACTTCCACACTTGCAATTTGTGAACTACAGGGTTGATTGTGTTTGAAATCAAAGCCAGCCTAATCCAGGATAAAACCTCTGCATCATACAAATTTTAGTTTGATTGCCTTGAATCTACTCTAGTTATTAGACGGACCTCCACTCCATACCTACGCCCTCTAAAACCTACTAAAGAAATTTTTGGTTCTTATTCATCAGGAGAAAGTCAAGATGATGCACTATGTGCTGCAAGAAACTTATTCTAGAGCTCTTCCAAATTAACTGAGAATTACGCCACCAGATCGGGCGAATTTGCAGCCAATGGGGGGGGGGGAAAGGTACGTACAAAGATGTATAAAAGGGTGCACTTACATTCGAGGATCAGAAGCTTCGAACCCAGCTGAATTGAGGTATGAAGCAGTCACTGCATCAGGGATCTAGAATATGAAATATGAAAAAAAGGATTAGTCACTTTCAAAACATGCAGGTGTCAGCAATGAATCTCCTTGAAGAGTCTCTGACATTTTAGAAAACAAAAAAATCTTGCTTTTACATGCATGTAATTGTTCTCGTTTAGTAGTGAATGTGCATTTCGAACCTCAAGTTCATCATCTGCAGATTACCACAAAATTAACTTGAAAAATCACAATTAAAGTCAAAAAGGTATCACAGTGCATATTAATATTTTGAAGAGGATTCAAAAACACATGGATGAATGTTTTTGAATCTTCTTCATAATTTTACTATGCTCCTCAAAACAAATTTCAGGAAATTCACACAATAGTTTCCTCTACAAATCATAGATAAACGGTGGGGACTCTGAAACTCAAATCTCGAAAAGTGACCATTCTGCGCTTGACTCCTTAATTATAGTTGTAAGCTGCCATCTTCATATACTTAATACTTACTCTTTTCATTGGTTTTGCTGAAAATGAGGGACCAATTACCTCCATTGATTTGAATTTACAAAATATCATAAACTGAAAACAGCTCTGAATCAAAATCAATTTTAATATGTACGGTCAAAGATAGCTGGAGCAATATTAAGAAACTGACAGAATTCTGGAGGAAAGATGAAAACCTTTTGTCAAGCAACAATTTTGCTCCAAAATTATTGAAATTTTCTCATAATTCCTTTTCGGCATTATTATAGACTTGGCTTTTGAAAAAATCAAAATATAAGTTGAGGGGATTTTTTACCAAAATTTATCTTTTGATAATTTAAGCTAGAGTCAAAGGTACAGATTTCAATTAAGTACCAAAAGTTGAGAAGTGGAAACAACACTTTTACTGGACATATTTTGAGGTACCAACAGTTGATTTTCGCACAAACATTTCGGAATGATCCACTTATCTAGAGACTGAAATTGGTGTTTTCCTAAAAGAATATTTATAATGGCTAAAATCTACAAAAAGTCCAAGCGATAGGAATGCCCAGTGACATTAGACTCAGAAACCACCTCTAGTTACTGACACAGACTTGCACAGTACTACTGACAGTACCATCAAGTCTGTCAAGTCTGTACTACTGTACTACTGCACAGTAGTACAGACTTGACTAGTACTTGCACAGATGCAAGGCATTCTGGTGTTCAAAAACTAGACCTCTTGAATTCATCAAGGAGGATAGTGAGAAAAATTAAAATACTCACAGTAGGGGTGTAATCTTCCAACTGAGCAAGAAAGTCTGATAATGGATGTCCCACAGATTTTGAGTCAGACTCTGACTGAGCGTTTTCTATATTTTTCTGATCACTCATTGTAGATTACTCTGAAATCAAACCATTAACATTTACATACCACTCAATTAAATAAATCAACTGAATTACTTTAAGTGCAATATTTAGACGGTGTAAGTCAGCAATCACATAACTCGGTTTGCAACGTCGCAGACTTCAGTGTCATACTTTATTTTTTAAACGGAAAACTACTCAATGGCAATTCATTAAAACTACCGTTATTTTTCTTCTCTGTGCGAAGAAAATTCAGCAAAAACTTCAAGGAATGATGTCAATTTGTTTTCCACTAAAAATTAGAAAAAGAGAAAAATAATAGAAAATAGAAAATAGAGGCAGGGATTTTCAGACACTGCAAACGAGATATATGATTGCCGACTTAAGCTGTCGATTTCTCTCCCCAGATGAAGCCAGTATCAAAAATGTCATCAAACTAAAAAGAGCAATAGGTAGATGGATAATTATTTATATCAAAAATTGAAATTTACATAACATTACCATGTTTGATGGATTGTATTTGAACAAACTGATGTTAGTAAATCAGATTTATTTAAGTAAGTACAGGAGAAACTTTATTTTTGAGAAAAACCAGTAATTTTGAGGTAGGTAGCACTACTACCTGGGCCAAGTCAGTCAGCTATGCGTGGCAGTCGAAAGTAAACAACTGCCAACCTAGCTGACGACACGTCCACCGTGCGTCTCTGAAAATGCATATTCAGCGACTGCAGACGCTGAGTGCTGAAGCGCCACACTTTTGAGGCCCTACTTAAATGAGCTTTCTCTGTTGCCAGTTGTGAGGAGTGTGAAGAGAGAGTTGCTTTGACCGTGGTTTTAAGTCTTATCTCAATAAAATATTTCCGAAAGATTCAATCCTGTTGAACTGACAGAAAATTGTCACTGCATAGAACTTTCCGGCTCTTACGCTGCAGAGCTTACCATCAGCAATGTATGAGAGCCCACTAAAACTGAAAATTACAGACTTACCCTTATTGATTTTTGAGATGAACAGTACAGAAGAAATTCCAATGGATTCGATCCTGAATTCTGGGATTTCCAGAATGCTTTCTTCGTTAGTAGATGATATTCTCCAGAGACAAGATATTTTCACAGAAAACCATTCTAACCTAAAATATGAGTAAACAACTAAACAAAACAAAGATGACTGAGGGGAAGAAGGGGAGGGGGAAAGCGGTGAGACGTGAGAAGTAAGGTTAGGTTTTAAAATCTCGCCGGACTGCTCGTGTGTGTGATAACTTCTTTCTGCCTCCATTCTTCTTCATCCGTTGTTTTATTTTATGTTTATTGGCTCTAGTCAACATATTCTGTACTTAGTTACTAAGTGTACAATACCATATTATCATATTTCACAAGATTCACCAGACAGTTGCACTCCACGGAAACAAAGATGTTATCTAGACACGCTCGAAGAGTACTGCGATCACACTCTTCATTTAGTGTAAGTTACTTCTCATATATTAGCTTCATTACGTATAACGTCCATCTTAATACTAAGGACCATCGAGGTGCTTACATCAAGATGTTTTTCTGTAGAAATTTTTAGGTATTAGTTTTGAATATGGACCGTCACTGTTCTTGATCTCGAACAGGACCTAACTCTCCAGACCATTGCATCATACCTAAGGTATTGGGAATGCGTTAAACTACCATGTTTTCCATCTTCATCTCGAATGGCAGGGAGGGAATGCCTGAGCGCTTTACCATGATGGTCATCAATTAGGGTCTCATTCCAGAGAGACGTAGGCAGAACGTTCTAATCTTAAAGCACTGAGGAAGAGCAGCCACCCTGGTGCTTGTCCTAGTGTTAAAAATAGAGCAAGAATCTACATGTGGTAAAAGGAATTGGGTTCAACCCGTACAGGAGATGTAAACAACTGAGGAGAGCTGTCACAGGCAAAATAACAACGAATTATATTGAAGAATAATTTATTATTACGTTATCCTTTACTTTATTGTTTCTGTCTGACTACTTGTTGCTTGTTTGAAATGTTAAAATGAATTTTTCCAGGATTCCATCCTCCCAAGAGAAAAATCAATTCTTCCTACATCTGTAGTTACGACGCAGAGGTACTATAACACCCCTGTCAACACTGGAATTTTATTCGTTCCGCAACAAGAGGTAACTTTTTTCTTTTTTTTGTACAGGAGTGATCGGCAATCCACTCGGTGAGTGTTCGGCACGATTTATGATGAGAGTTTCCTCAAAATCCTTGAACAATATTTTACAGCCCCTCACTTTAGCAGATCTTGTGTCAGATGAGTTTACCTTTCTCATTTGCTTGTGCTTATAACAGCCATGGTACCTGAGCAATATTATGAAAAAGTAAAAGTTGAAATCAAAATACCCCATTTTTCACCTGCCACCTCCTTTGATTTTTTTTAAATTTGGTGTGTGAATTGTGCTTGATGTGAGACATCTTTTCCCCAAATTTTAGACCCCCAAAATATTCTAAATGGATGGTAGGGAAGGTTGAAGTTGAAACCTTCTTATCTCAGTATGTCTCATAAGGAAAAAAGTTATCGAAGAAAAAGTTATTGAAAAGTATCCAAGTATCGTTATCGAGAAGTTTCCGATTTGCGCTAAAAATCATACAAAGTTAAGTATGTACTTTATAATTCTGGAAGACATTTTACCATCTTTGTTTTGAAGGTACATGTGGCAGAGGTTCCCAGGAATTTTACTAAGAAAGTGTATGCGATGTGAACGATTTCATGAAATTATGAGGGTTGAGAATGATGCTGTGCACAAAAAGAGAAACCAAGAAATTTGCTTAGCATAGACATGTATGGAAGATAGTCAATTGCTTAAACAAGTGTTCGATTAAAATCCTAGGTGGCACTAATTAGCTGTCGTGGATATGACTTGAGGCATGATACAAAAGTATGATCTTTTTGACCAAGACTGATAGGTTACCGTTTACATAAGTAATTACTTTAATCAAAATTTTACCAGATCACTTTAGTTGAAGCAGACAATGTCTTACAACAAGTTGAATGTTTTAATACAAAAGTAACTTTGTAAGAATGTATTGAAACAAAAAGAACTTGTGTTTAGGATTAGTGTACAACATAGTTCCTTTTGATTTCATTTTTTTTTTCACATACTTAGTTCTTTTTAGCAAAAATACGTCTAGTTTGTCCCACTTCTGTACGTGTGGTAACTTTGCCTTTGTATTTTGTTTTTGAATTGTCATAATATTTTTGTGTCAAATTTCTCTTTGCAGGCATGGGTGGTTGAGCGTATGGGAAAATTTTACAAAATACTAAATCCGGGTTTCAACATGCTTATTCCTTTCATTGACACAGTTAAGTACGTGCAAGTACTTAAAGAAATAGCCATTGATGTCCCCAAGCAGAGTGCTGTGACTGCAGGTAATGACTTAAAGTTTTCTTGTCAAGAGACTTAGTCAGATGAAGTTTTTTGTGAATGCTAATGGTATTCCTTTAACATTTTTTTTTTCTATTTTTTCCAAATTTTTTTGATGGGCAGGAAAAGTTCAAAAGTCTGTATATTTGAAGAAAAAGTTAGAAAATAATTTGAAATCAAAGCTGTACTGCCAGTGCGGGAGTGTCATGCAGGGATTCAATTTTTTTTCTACTGTTGCGACCGAATTGTTGAAGTGGCTTTTAAATTGTGAAGGCGTAGAGAAGTTTTTTTTTTTTTTTTTCATCTTGTAGACGGTTTTCAAATTTTAACTCTTGTGAAGTAATGTGACTAGAGTGCGTATACTATAATCATCCAAAAGACCTTTTTGCAGAAACCCATGCGTTGCCGAAAATTGTGGAGGCCTAGAACAATTTGCACCCTTGGCACCATGTGCCAGTGATCATGGGGCTGGAAACATACTGGGTGTATGCGTATCGCGGAAACTTTGAAAAAATACAAGAAACTGATAAAAAAACAAAAGATAGTTTCCTGCAATGCCCTTGTACTGTATACTTCTTTGAACAATTTATTTTGTTCCTGTCGTTGTAATCTGTCAGCCCCGGGGTGTGGCTCAGAATCTTGAAAATGGAAAATGTGAGTAAAACCATGGCTGGCCAAGGTGATTCTTAAAGTAGATTAATCTTCAAGACTCACCTAGGAATGAGGATAAATAAATGAAATTTATAAAATTAAACATTGCTTTTGTAAAGGCATTATAAAACTCCTCTGAGGACGTAGTTCTCACTCGTAGATTCATGCACACAGTTTTCAGATATTTGTAGTGGCACTTTTTAATTTTTTCCTTCACTATTTTTTTTCAGATAATGTTACTTTAAGTATTGATGGTGTGTTGTATTTGAGGGTTATCGATCCCTACAGTGCTAGTTATGGAGTTACGGATCCAGAGTTTGCAGTCACTCAGATAGCTCAAACTACCATGAGGTAACACTTGCCAAAAATGAAAATTGATCAGTCAAGCCACTTTTTTCTTCCTTCGTTTTCCTAGTTGTAATATCATTATTTCCAGGTGTTTTAAGGTTAAGAATTAAGTTAAGAAAAATCTAATTCAAAATATTGCATGTCTGTCCGCCTGCGGGGAAATTATTGAAACTATATCAGCACAATAAGACAGGACACGGTCCTATCTTAACCATGCAATATATCGCATTTTGATGTCCTATCGAGCTGCTTCAAACTTTCAATAATCGGCCCGCTGGTATGATAAACCATCATACATGTGTATGGATGTATCTGAATGATTAATCATTTAAACTTATTCTAAATTAGTTACCCAAAATGCTTCAGACATTCCAACTTGCACTGACTGAACAACAGGAGGCTCTTCAAGGGAATCCTACCATATTGCAGAGCTGGCTCTTGATGAGAACCAGGTTTATTGTGATCCTTGTCAAGCCTCTTGTGAGAAATGTAAGAACCACCATGAAGCGGTCGAGCATATTCAGAATCTGTTTAGAAAGAATTTACAAGCCAAAAAAGTAATTATTTGAAAGAAAAATTAGTGCCTAAAAGTTAGTGAGAATGAAAACACTAATGTGGCAACTTTAAAATACCCGATGTTGGGTCAGCTTAGATTATGTATCTTCTTTGATTTAGGTCTTTGAAGTTTGTTCTTTTAAAATCCAGCCAGAGTCCTTCATACAAACAATTTTATTGGTCTTCCTTGACTTTACCATAAAATTGTTTGAGATTTGTCAACAAGAAAACAGCAATTTTTGTCGTTTTGAATTTTTTCAGTTGGGCCCTTCTTCATTCTTATCCTCTGGCTTCTCATACTTCATGTTAACATCTAGGTTAATTTTATGACTTGTATGCTTGTGTTACAGGTCCGAGTTAGGTAAAATATCCTTAGATAAAGTTTTTCAAGAACGTGAAAATTTGAATGTTAACATTGTAGAATCCATCAACAAAGCCAGTGCTGCTTGGGGAATACAATGCTTACGTTATGAAATTAGTAAGTAGGAAATCTTACTTTTCTCACTCTTTCTCTCTTGCAAGTAAAGTTTCAATGAATTCTGTCGCTCTATCTAACTACTTTTAGATAGTTTTATTCATTATGCCCCCCCCCCTTCTCCATGGGAATTTGAAAAAAATACTAAAAATTAAGATAATTTAAGTTCTGAGGGGGACAGTACATGCTGTCTCACAGTTGTTGCCTGTTTTTGTATAATTTGTGATAAAACTGTAAATTTTCCTATTTAAAGGAACAGTGTAAGTTTCCATTTTTTGTCACAGTTCATTTTAATGATCAGCCAAATCGATTTTCATGATTTGTGCGGCTATAGATACGAGACAGCCCCTAGATGAGCCCCCTCTATGTAGGTTAACTCTCACAGAGCCAGCACAAAGTGGACGAGTGCAAAGCACCCTATGGGGGTTGGGTTGCCAGGGAGCTTAGCCTCCTAGTATCTTCTACTTTTTGAGGTTATACACTCTATTACAGTACCACTAAAGATCTTATTTTCTTACCGACATTTCAGGAGATATCAAGCTACCTAATCGTGTGCAGGAAGCTATGCAAATGCAAGTTGAAGCTGAGCGGAAGAAAAGAGCAGCAATTTTAGAATCTGAGGGTATTCGAACTGCTGATATTAACATAGCTGAAGGAAAACGCAAATCTCGAATTCTCAACTCTGGTAAGTTAGTAATGCTGGTATCTAGGATTATATTAAAAAATATAACTCACATAATGAACAAAATGAGGCGTCAGAATTCATGGATTTGGAACTCTGATCGCACAATGCCGATTTACTAAACTCTCTGCACTATGAGAACACATCTAACTTTCCAATTTGATGGATTAAGCAATATATCACACCTACATTCACAAATATAGGTAACAATTTAATCAGCCCAAAATATGTAAATGAAATGAGAGGAACACGGGGTNTTACTGTTAAGTGGCGACTCATTTATGTGTAAATTTTAAATTTTGTTTTTTGTTTTTTTTCGGCGGCTGAAAAAGGGAATGTGAAACCCGAAACGTCCCGTCCAAATTACTTTTATTTACAGCCTGTACCCTGTGTTCCTCTCATTTCATTTACATTCACAAGTGAACTCAACTAAGGATTACAATACATGCACGCAAGAGCTCTAAAATGTGGAAATATCATGATTGATTAATTTCATCCTGCTTTAAACCAATTTTTAGAAAAATCTCACTCAATTCTAAACGCTGTGAGCCCATCAACATTGTTAAAATTGAATATTAAACATATGCTTGGATCATCCTCCTTAGCGCCCCAAAAAAATGCCTCCACTTTGTTTGTGAAATTCTCGTACTTGTCTTATACTCAATCTCATACTCGTATCCATTTGCAATGAAAATTTACTAAAAACATAACATTATGTACTAAGAACATAGAAACGAAGTTGTCAGTAGTTAGTCGTGCCATTTTTATCAAGGGAGGAGGGCTCCAAAATAAAGACCCATAACAGTCTAGGTACACTCATTTTTCTGAGCAGTGGCTACCTGGACAAATGGTAGCCCAAGACTTATGCTACCTGGACTACCTGCTTGTCCAGACAAGACAGATCAGAGGAGAGAATTCGCCCATTTTTTATTGTCCCTTCTCTCAAATCCCTACTCATTGCCCAGTTTATTCTATAACATATCTTGTCAAATGTAATGAAGGAACCTCCCATCCCATTCGCAGAGGCAGAGCAGCAAGAGAAAATAAACAAAGCAAACGGAGAAGCGACTGCATTATTAACCGTGGCAAACGCTAAGGCAAAAGGACTTGAAATCATCGCCAAATCTCTTTCCCACGAGGTATAGTATAATTTTCAGTTTCCATTTTCTTATTTTTTTCCTTCAATTAAGGAAAAAAATTTCCATGCACATGTGGTCCAGGTGTCCTACAGGGGGTCAAGAGAAGAAATAGCATGGCCCTGTCCACACGAGCGCAGTTCCTGGAACTTATTCCTTGAAACGAGGCATGCTGTCCACAAAAGTTCGCCCGAACTGGAACCGGAACTTCAATAAAACTGAACAATTATTGCAAAATAGTAGATTATTACGACCGCCAAAGCAGGNGGAGCCTTGTAGTTTTCTGAAGAGGCTCTGGCTCCGGAGCCTGGAGCTGCTAAATAAAATTGACTGGCTCCGCCCTGGAGCTCGGAGCCAACCATCCCTATCACGAAGCTCCAGCTCCGGAGCCTGGAGCCCAATATTGGGTCCAAGAAGCTCCAGGCTCGGAGCTGGAGCCTGAAAAACGAGAAGGAGCCGCCTTGGCTCCGGCTCGCTCCGGATCCCTGCGCCAAAGTAACAAAATTAAGTGTCAAGATATGTAAAGGCCGTAAAAAACAAAAATAAGCAAATTCACGTCAAAAGAAACATATGCAGAAGCTCGGAGTACGGGGGAAGTTCTGGGTTTTGGAGGAACAAGTTTTAGCTCAGCTAAAAACTTGTTCCGGGAACAAGTTCCTCGAAATAAGTTCTCCGAACCGCGCTCGTGTGGACAAGGCCCAAAGGTAATTAGCTCGAAGGAGATGTAAACAAAGAAACAACCCCAAGTGCCATAAATATCTTGCCTGAGTAAAAAAATAGAAAAAATGCTCATGACCAATGAAAGGACTGAAAAAAAAAAAAAAACAGGTATCACCATGGTAGAAGTGATAGTTGTTGATGTTCATTGAGTTTTTTATGCAAATATTCTACCTAACTAACTCTGGTATTGAGTTCTCTCCATGTTTCATTGTGCTGCTATTTTTCCGGTTCTTTTGCATTCATCATATGTACTTTCAATATTTTTTAGGGTGGAACTAATGCAGCATCTTTAAATGTGGCTCAACAGTATATAGAAGCTTTCCAAAAGCTAGCAAGAACCAACAACACCCTAATTTTGCCTGCAAATACCGGGGATGTCTCTACATTTGTTGCCCAGGTGAGGAGCACTTCCTCTTTACTTACGTTTTATTTAGCAGAAAGAATATATCCATGCAGAGCATTATTGAAAACAAAGTACAATCCATATTAATACCTCAGTCCAGATGAAAGATGATAAAATCATCATTTTAATGAGCCTTGCTCAGGCCTGTTATGCCACTGCCACAAGTTGCTCCCCCCTCCCTTGCCAATGCAGCGTGGCTCAGTTTTTGGATCTGAAAATTCTACAGTTATTTCTGGAAGAAACTAATTTCCCAACGAATTTCAGGCATTTGAGTGAGTACATACTCAACCCTCCTTATTAGAATCGATTAAAAGCAGGATGTACAACTTTGATCACCAAAAGGGGATGAAGCAGCAAAATCGAGGGAAACGTCCCTGACGTTTTTAATTGATAGGTTTAAATCTGCAACATATCAAAAAACTGGTCATTATAACTGAGACCTTTTTTCCTGTAAGGGGGATTGGAGCCCTGTGTATGGAGATATTACCGAAAATGAGCCCTTGCCAATTGGAGAATTGGTGAGTTTTATGAGTGTCGTCAATATTTTTTTGACTGGCAGGAGCCCATATTAAGTGAAAACTTCATAGAAATTTATTCTAGCTGGAAGGGGGCTCTAGGAAGAAGATTTATATGAGCTTTAAATTTTTGATTTGAATCAAACCTTAAATTTTTTCCCAGTTTGGATAATAATATTCAGTCATAAAACCTTTTTGTCGCAAATAGTAGGCTTTTATTTCTAAAGATTATATAAAAAAATTTGAACATTTTCCCATGAAACCAGCCAATATACTTAGTGTGCTAATCGAATGTAGCAGTTATTCAAAAGAGGTAGCTTTCATGAAATTGACTTGTTTCTCCCACATTTTTTGCTACCATTATCATGGCGCAATCCCCAAAAACTCCTGAAAAAGTTTAAAAGCAACGAAACTAGAGTATTTTTTAATCAGAGGGTATCATGAGACAAAGTAAAACGTACACTTGAAAAAGTATAATTTTTCCTCCCATGCTGATAATATAGACATGTTTTTCACAATTTTTTGGACTTTCTTTGTCATTACACAGTGCTTAAATAATATTCTGAAGCAAGAAAACAGGAAAATTAGGGTACTTTTGATGTTTAGATTGTCTTTCGAATGACCTAAATAAATTGAAGCCAATCAAGCCAAATTGTAAATGGTATGCAGTTTTTATTTAGGACTGGGGCTGTATTATTGTAAATGCAGTAGACCCAGATGTTCACAAAAGGCGAAGTTCTGTTGGGGGGAGGCCTCAGCAGTTATTAAATGGACACCATTCTCTGAAAAATGCATGCACCTCTTATAATGGATGGACGAGGAAGATCTGTACAAAGCATCTTGTGCAGGATTGCTCTTCCTATAAACTTCTCAGCTTTTGGATTTTATTTTTACTCCTTAATTTGTGGTTATTTTTTATTATTATTATTTATTCATTTCAGTCTTTAGCAATATTCAACTCTCTCTCAAAAAGTACAACACCAAAGATACAAGAGATTTCCAATCAGGACGATAGAGCAGAATACTTCAGCGACGATGAACCTGAACAAAGAAGTTCCACAAAACCTGACCCCAAAACGGTGCCTCCTCTCTAGTACACTTGGTAAAAATTTAGAACTGCATTCTATGAATGCAGATGTTTTCTAAGTTGTTAATTTTTCTTTTTTTAAAAAATTTGTGTAAGTAATTAAACAATTGTAAATGCACTTCATCTCTAACTATTACATTTATATATTTTAAAAAAATGTAGCTTTTGCCATTTGAACTTCTTTTATTCCTCTCCCTGACAGTGGTTCTAATCTCAGATACCAATCTTGGTTCCTCGATGCATGCGTTTAAGCAACTCATCTTCTCCAATTACCACCTTGACCATCTTTTCACCATATTAAAAACTAGATTTTCATTGTTCTCACCTTTCTCAAAGTTACAACTTCCAAAAATATTAACAGAAAAATAACCCAAAGGATTGCATGTGATTATTTGATTTAAATCAAGCAGTGAATCATGAAGATTAAATAAATAATAAATATAAATTAGGATGAAACAAGGTGGTAAAGTAGAGTCGTAAGACTCAAATTCCACAGCAATTCTGAGAGCATTCCATGTATTAAATTTTTTTCCTAAAAAAAGAGTGCTCAAAAATGGCATCATTTTAAGACTTTTGATGCTATAAGGGCGTATTCTTTTTTTCTCAGTACATAAATTGCTATTCAAAAGCAATAAACATTCTGAGGATGCATGTCTTGAGGAAGAATCCTCAATTAATAATATATTTGTTAAGACTTGTGCACTGAAATTAATTGCTTACAAGGCAGGTTTTCCATTATTTAGAGAACTTGATCTGTCAGGATTTCTGGAGAACCATTTTCCATGCTAAATAAACTTCCTCTAAAATCCTAACACATCTTGAGAGAAATCCAATTCTTTTCGATTTTTTATTTTCCATTGTTTTGATCAATGGGCTAGGGCGCAACTTAGAAGGTATAGTTTCATGAATATTAATGCACCAAGTGACCCAAGCAAACGGAGCTACTACGATGGCTACAAAAGATTACTACAGAACCAATGTTACATTTTTTCACCCTGGGAAACAAACTATTGGAGAAAATTTTTACCGTTAAATTCAGGAGTGTGCTGTCATTTCAAAGAGAGTACCCATCAATTTTGAGTAGCCACAGAATTCCAAGAAAGTATGCATAGTTTTTCTTGTAAATACTCGCAGAAAGTCTCATTTGTTTGGGACGGTGTGAATCAATTTCTAGGCCTGGTCTAAGCTAAAATTATATTTCAAGGTAAGTACCTAATACATATGTTAATTTTTTGCAAATCCTAAAAAGGCCTTGTTCACACTACTCAGCTTTTGTTGTAAAATTGTAGCTAAAAAGTAATTCAATGTAGAGCTGTTTTTGAAAGTTCTCAAAATCAGCTTCAACATTCCAAATTTCCACGGTGTTTAAAAATCTCCGGAAATTTCTTCCTGTAAAGTAGAAAAATCACAGCAGTTTTTAAGAATTGCTGTTGAGTACTTTCCACTTTAAAAATTAGGTAGGTATGATGGATAACCTGCATCGTGGCAAATGGAGATATGTGGTTGCAAATTGTCCCTGTCAGACTGCAGTTTTTTTTTTTTTTTTTTTTTTTTTTTTTTTTTTTTTTTTTGTTCAATTAGAATTGTCTCAAAATTGGCAGAAAAGTAGGTATCCAGGCTTACGAGAGAAATAAAATTCAGGCGTGAACAGAGGAGACAAACTGATCCTAAAAAGTTCAATGAAATTGCACCACGTTTCTTTTGGCTTGTGGGGAATTTTTATTTTTGAAATTTCGCTATATTTTCAGGTTTTAAGTAAGCAACCTGATGCAAGTCTTTAGATGCAATGCATAATTGAATCGGCTCGTGCGAAAACCACTAATGTCCATTTTTTTCAATTTTGAGATTTTTGGGTTAAAATACTCTCGGAGGTCAGACACACTCATTAATGTGGTGAAAATGTTTGTTCCTTGGGTTTGAACCCCTTTTCAGGGGGGGGCCGTGGTCCGAATCATGCGAAAACCGCTAATGTCCATCCTCCGATATATGCCTCATAAAACAGTACAACACACCAAAAGAAAAAAGTGTCTCCTGGACGACATAAGGTGATCTTAATGTATTTTGAGGCGCTGAATCCGAATATGACCTCCGTTTTATTCCATCACCCTCCGATTTTCCGGGAATACCGATTTTACTCGGAAAAGTGGCCATTTTTGGGCATTTTCGGTGTATATCCTACTGTTATCCCCTGCAGAATGCAGGTAAAACTGATTTACGAGAGTCAAGTTTGCCGATGTCTTTTTGACTGACAAATCCGGAAATGACCTTAATTTTTCCCGTTCACCTCTCAGTTTTCCGGGAAAGCAACTTTTTCCCGGGAAAATGAGCAAATTTGACGTATATATGTCGTGCATGAAATTTATTTTTATAAATTTTCCTGGACCTGTGATACCCAGGTAGCAATAGTAACAGTTCAAAATTGCAATTTCACAACAGTTTTTACACTGTTACTTTTGTGCACTTTTTCATCGAAAAATTTGCTCTAGTACAACAGTTGAAAAACCAACGGAAAAGAGAAGTCCTTTGCGACTATAATCACTGAAAAATTTTTCTTACATACTTAAAAAATACCAGTGGAAAATTTATAATTTAGTCATGTTTTCTGAAAATATAACACAAATTTAACTAGTGTTATACACCGATCGAAAAGGAAACTATTATTGCAATAAAAACATACTTAGATTTGAAATAAAACGACGGTTTAAAATTCTCAATCAAAATCACTTACTTAACAAAACTTTTTTAAAGAAAGGAAAGTAGATTAACATTTTAATAACTAAAAAAAGTTAAAAAAATTATTCTAATTTATTTTTTTTTAAAGTTGATTTCATAAAACACAGAAGTAGACCATTTTGTTTTAAAAAAGCTATTTTACAAAACATAAAGTATTATACTGTACTAATGAGAAAAATTTAATCTAAATCAATAAAAAGATAAAAAAAAGACAATAAAAAACAAATTTAAATATCTCATTTGTTGCCATATTTTTGCAAAACACATTCTTATAAATAACCATGAAATATTAATTAGGTATTATTACATTATTTATTAAACAATATTGGTGAGAAACTATTTTTAAATCATTGTTTCCTGAAAACCGGTGTAGCTTTAATTTTTGTCGAAAAAGAATCCTTATAAAAAACTTTGATAACTATTTATCACTAACAAGGAAAATATAATTTAAATCGATAAAAAGATACAAGTGATAGTGATAAAATGACAGTTTAAATATCTGATTTATTGCAGTTTTTCTGCAAAACATTTTATTTTAAACAGTTGTGAAATATAAATTAGTATTACATTATTTTTTTAAATACCGATTTTAATTTCCGATTGTTTTATTGTAATCGGGGTGTTTCCTTTTATTTCCGATAGAGAGCTCCGATTTATTTTGTTTTTGGATGGGTCGTTTATGGTGCCTGTCTAACCTTTGTGTGTAGTGAAAACATAAAATATATTATTTATATTCTACGACATACGTTTTTTTATCGACGGCTTCTATGTTTGCTTTGTTCGGTGCATATGAGTGGATTTTCTTCTCACATTTTTGATGACCCCCCTGTGGTTAACTGTGCCTAGACAGGGCATGGGCCTATCTATAGCGTTGATTGTAGTGTGGTGTGTCGAGTGTAGTCACATCCCTGCTGCATAGTCTTTGTTGCTCCTCCTTAGAGGAAGTATCGGTGCTCACCGTCATCGGTGTTCAAAATAGAAATATGAGGCCTGAAACTGGGGAGTTCTATAATTGATCTTTTAAAACCAAAAAATAACAGTTTAACAAAATATTAAAAACGAATAAAATTTCATATATTGACACTGTTAATTTTCAATAAAACTACAATTTTACGAGTCGTTCTATTATTAGAAATTAGTTTTTCTATGGATATTTTAAGTTTTTTTTAATACTTTACAAGAATAATTCAAAACTCGTATTCAACATTTAAATTTTTTATTTTTATTTTAAGACGAGTGTCGCTTTACACCAGTAAATTTTCCAAATGAAATTTGTTTTTCACTACTTTAATCATTGTTGATTTATGTCATTAAATTATTTTAAACTGTTATTTTTAACTTCATAAAATAGGAATATAGCGCCTGAAACTGTTGTAACTGGGGAGTACTTTAATCGATCTTTTCAACCGATATAAATTGTTTTTTTATAATATATTAATAGGAATTAAAACTCTCATTTAATAGCAATAAAACTGTTATTTCGAAGATATAATAAAAATTATTTTATAGCAGACCTTGCTACCTGGGTAGTATATAATGCCTCTGTATTTTGAGCTGCTGAATCCGAATTTGACCTAGGTTTCTTTCTATCACACTTCAGATTTCCGGTAAAGCCGATTTTTCCGAGCCTAAAATTGTGTATCGTAAAAACTTCGCCGGACTCAAGGTGTGTTCGAAATTCATTTTAAAAATGTCTCCGATGTGTGATACATCGAATCCTTTGTGTATTGAACTGTTGAATTCAAAAATAATCTCAGATTTTTCCGATCACCCATCATTTTTCCGGAAAAGTCGCTTTTCCTAAGAAAAAGCTCTTTTCGGGTATTTTTGCGGGATGATTTTCCTGCTCTGAGGAGTTTCAGAAATTTTCCGAGATCCCTTTTTGGTCTCTCTTGCTGTATTAAGAAGCACTGAACTCGAATTTGACCTTCACTCATCTTTGACAAGCCCCCGTTTTCGAGAAGGTCCGATTTTTCCGGACTCTTGGCCCGGTTTTTCCCGGCCAAAAGCTTTTCCGGACTGTTCCCTCTTCCAGGGAAATTCAAAACATTTTCCGCATGTGTGATACATCGTTTTACATGCAACGTGAGCTGAAAACCCCGAATGTGACCTTAGAAATTCGATATCACCCAGCGGAGAATTTCTGAAACTCCTCAGAGCAGGAAAATCATCCCGCAAAAATACCCGAAAAGCGCTTTTTCTTAGGAAAAGCGACTTTTCCGGAAAAATGATGGGTGATCGGAAAAATCTGAGATTATTTTTGAATTCAACAGTTCAATACACAAAGGATTCGATGTATCACACATCGGAGACATTTTTAAAATGAATTTCGAACACACCTTGAGTCCGGCGAAGTTTTTACGATACACAATTTTAGGCTCGGAAAAATCGGCTTTACCGGAAATCTGAAGTGTGATAGAAAGAAACCAAGGTCAAATTCGGATTCAGCAGCTCAAAATACAGAGGCATTATACTATCACAGGTCCAGGAAAATTTATAAAAATAAATTTCATGCACGACATATATACGTCAAATTTGCTCATTTTCCCGGGAAAAAGTTGCTTTCCCGGAAAACTGAGAGGTGAACGGGAAAAATTAAGGTCATTTCCGGATTTGTCAGTCAAAAAGACATCGGCAAACTTGACTCTCGTAAATCAGTTTTACCTGCATTCTGCAGGGGATAACAGTAGGAAATACACCGAAAATGCCCAAAAATGGCCACTTTTCCGAGTAAAATCGGTATTCCCGGAAAATCGGAGGGTGATGGAAAAAAACGGAGGTCATATTCGGATTCAGCGCCTCAAAATACGTGAGGATGACCTTATTTAGCCCGGTAGGCATACTTAAACATATGCGTTTTCGATTATTTAGAACCGACCATGCACGAATCATGCGAAAACCGCTAATGTCCAGTTTATTGCTGGTAGTCCCGTGATGAAACTTACTTTAAGTGCCGCAATTGTCAAGAATTTTAGTGGTTCAACTTTATTTGAATGATTATCTACCGTTTTAATATCTTTAGAATGAATTTTGAAAGTATCAAACGGCTCCAAAACTCGGCGATTTTTACGAATCATGCGAAAACCGCTAATGTCCAGAGTCCTTTTTTTTTAAATTACTCCATCCCAGACTGAAGAGGAGCTGGAAACTGTTAGGGATCCTTTTCTACAATCCACTCTTGTAATAATCAACTTCTGAACATTTTTCAATCCCGCATTTAAAAGGTTTCTACATTTTTTTGCAGTTTACTCAAAATAAGAGAAAATGGACATTAGCGGTTTTCGCACGAGCCGATTCAATTGAGAACTGGGCATGGCCAAGGCCAGGGCATTGCACTCTTCTCCCGGGGAGTCAACCAATGAGAATGAGAAGTACCACTCGAACGTGACCCAACTTGGTCACGATTTTCTATAGACTTGCGTGGTAATGCGTGCACTCTATTGTTTGCCACTACCCTAACCCTCCGAAGTAATTCTGTGTTTTCTCGGACCCACAGTGCTCTAGATAGAGACTCTAATGTACTCTGTGGTTGCGTTATTGATAGTTGTTGATAAGACGAATTCGAAATTGCGTGCAATTGCCCGAGATTCCTTTTTCTAATTCTGAAGTACTTGTGAGCCGCGTGAGTTTGTGCAATTCTTCATTCAGGTATTTTTTCAAAGACTATTTATCCATGGATAAATCCTAAACAGGCACTAAAATGCTAGTTGGCAAAAATCTATTGATCAGACCTTGTTTCAGATAGGTCTAGGTTTGAGGTTGGAGGCCATTTGGACCCAGTTCATCAGAAATGAATCATAGTTTTTTTTTAAAATAAGGGTACATACGCCCATCAGCTTGTAGGCAGACTTCTCCAATGAAGCGATGAAGCGGGTTCTCTTCTTTGAATAATGTTTCAGACAGCAATGAATCTATAAACAAACTAACTGCAGACTTGCTTCTGTTCTTGAATTCAGTTTTGAACATAGATGAATCTGCAGATGAACCTCAAGTCGGAATCACACAATCAAAGTAAAGCTCTGAAAGTGGCGTCATGCCACTTTTTGATTGTCACCCCGACAATCTTTGGCTGAAAGCTAATGGAAGGCAATGGAGGGTCACGTGACGCCTCTTTGAGAGCTCTACTTTGATCATATGATACTAACAGGTTTAAAGCAGCCTTGGTTCTTTGCTTTGATATAGTCTCAGCCATCAAGGAATCTGCAGGTCAATCAACTGCAGAACTGGCCACCGACACGTATTGAAGGTGAAGAGGACGCCCGTTTAAAGGGTGATAACAGGGGGTAATGAGAGAATACGAACTCCTTGAAGGGCTGTGCCGCCATGCTAAAGAAGAACGCTGTTTGAGCCTTCAGACTTTGCCAAATTTTCTTTGATAACTCTTGAATGTTCATACAGCATATTTCCTTAGCAAAGCAGTGTGAGACAAAACAGGATACTGTGGCGATGAGATGTCAAAGGGACAGAGAGGGCTTTTGAATCGGCTCTTAGGTAAGTATGTCCTAAAATTTGAGAATTCCTAGCTCACAGTTTACATGTTTGTCCTTTTCATTTTTTCAGCTCTGAAGTAAAGAATTCACAATGCCTTCCACTGGAATGACCTGCATTAAGTATTTGCTGCACTTGTTCACACTCATTATTGGGGTAAGATTTTTCCCTTGTTCACCTTTTAAAATCCTGGAAAGTCAAAGAAAATTCAGGGAATTTTGTTCTGAGTTAGGGAAGTTCTCAAAGCTGTGGACACAGCGCATCATCATTGCTGAGTTTTCAGGAATTTTTTTACCGCAAAGCAAGTGCCATGAGGACTAAATCCTCGATTTGTGCGCTAGTTCAACTTGAAGTGATCTAAATATCTGTAGTGATCCACCTATCTGCTCCTGATCAGTTTTTGCCTGCCTTTTCTACTAATTTTTTTTATTCTGACACGTAAATCATTTGTAACACTTATTTCCAGGCAGCATGTGAATTGGCATATTCGGGGTGTTGGCAAATTTCTTCTTTATACATAACATTTGCTGTACTTCAAAGTTTGCATCGCTGTTTTTCAATCAAACTTTTTTTTTTTTTGTAAGAAGTCGGGAAATTTCAATGCCAGTGGTTAGAAGATTCTTCAACTATGTCAAGGAAAGTCGCGGGAAAAGTAGGGGAATTTCGAAGTTTTATGTAACTTGCAACTCTGTGTATGAACCTTCGGCTGTTGCCAAATTTCCTGGAAAATTTTTAGATTCTTTCCTTCCTATTTTTTGGTGAAGTGTGTTTGTAATTTGATCTCAATAATCTGATACCATTAAAACAAAATAATTAGAACTGTCTTTAAAATAATGTACTTTTTCCAGAGACATTTGCAATCATGAATACATATGGCAGTTCTCCAGCATGATGGCAGTGCGTGTATTCCTTAAGTGTGAGTGAGTAATAGATAAGTTGAAACATTCAGAATACAGTCAATTGGTTGATGCAACTTAATTAACTCCTTTGTTGGGTTGGGTTGCATCGCCAAATTTGAAGGCGAAATAGCAGCAAGTTGGTATCCAAGGGGTATGGCGAGCCGCTCTAAAATCCCCTGTATAAAATCGCCTGACGGCATTGACCCTTTGTTAAAATTCGATTTTTCCAAGGCCTCCGAAAGTCTCACGGACAGCACACTGTCATACGCCTTCTGGAGATCCACAAAAATGAAATGCAGCTCCTGTAGATCCGGTAGCTCCGGAGATCATTAATTTCTTTTCTTTTCTTGTTGCAGCTGTCTGGTCTGGCAATCTTGGCTGTAAGCTACTTAATATGGCGCGAGTATTACAAGTATGCAGAATTCATAGACCTCAAGGTATATTCTCCTCCAATCGTTTTGATGATCGCTGGCTCTGTTGTCTTCATCCTCGCCTTTGTTGGATGGTGTGGAACAATCAGAGATAGTCACTGCCTGCTGACTTTGGTAAGTGCTGTCATTACCATTTGTTTTACCATTTTTTTTTATAACTATTAGATAGGCACCTCTTCATGACTAACTACCCCTGCTAATCAAGAAGTTGATTGTTCTTGATCAAATGGAGGTTTATAATTCATCATGTTACGGAAGTAATGAGGTACAGTCCATTCATCACAAAAATATTCCTTGATTCTTCTAGACCCTGCCAAACTGCGTCATGAAACAATTCAATTCAATTCAATTCAATTTATTAATTCTTCAATTTACACAATACAATAAAAATACATAATCAACTTCCCTCATCCAGGAGGTGACTCGTGTGGATGAGGCTGTTATAAATAGGTACATACATTTAATTTAAGTTTAAATTTTAAGCAAACATAATGTTGAATACAATATAGAAATTTGTATCCATTTTTTTTTTATATAAAAAAGAACAACTAATTACATTATCTAATTACATTAGCTAAATAGATTCACAGGTTGGCAAGGCCCTCGTTCCTATTTCCTCTGCTTTCACATACCAAACACAACAATATATGTTACAGAAATGAGTACAAAACACTTGGATTGCACATTGCAAGGAGGAACCAAGAGAATCTCAGTGTCGCCATGATTGTGCAACTTGAGACTTAGCCAGAATCACTTTTCCAAAATCTAGCAACACTGGGACGCTCCAGCCCCCCCCCCTGCCAAGCGCAATCCAACTGTTTTGTAAAATAAAATACAATTTATTATTTGCTATAGGTGAGCTTACCCTAGGATTGATTTGGTAACTTAGATGATTGACTTGACTGTATACCCCACATTTCTTTTTGAGACTTCGAGTCTTGGTTGCTGTACTATTACTTGGCTCGGATTTCTGATCTCATATTTTATTTCTCTTTGAGGGAGTGGCTCGGATTGGAAAAGCGGTGTTAATCTTTTCAGCTCCCTTTGGTAAAGTTCATGGAAACCTTTAACATTCAACAAGTCGTATAATTCTGCCGATGGATAGGTCTGGGGTAGGTTTAGGATCAACAAGAGGTCTGGGGTAGGTTAGGATCAAACAAGATCAGAGATGGTGAGTTTTATATTTTTTTCGGTCTATCTCATTTTCTGCTCACAAACTGTCCCCACAACGTGCTACCTCAACCAGATCTTTCTTTAAGGGTGATTTTAAGAGTGAATTTCTTGAAGATAGGTGACTGATTTTTTTCTGGCATAAAGTATAAAAAGGATAAAGTAACTTAAAGTAAACCTAAATTTGATAGTGTGTTATTAACCTTGTATTCTGTTTCAGTTTGCTTCTCTTATATTCATTGTCTTCTTTTTGGAAATTGCTATTGGAGTCCTAGGCTACATTGAGCGTGAGAATGTAAACCAGATGTCAGAAAAGATTCTCAATGGAACAATTCCAAAGTATTACACTGATAAAAAAATTCAAGAAACTTGGGATATTATTCAGACAGATGTAAGTATATTTTTGCATTGTCTAAAAAGCCCATACTAAAATTTTACAAGTGGATGGATGTAGAATAGATGTCTTCTTCAAAATCGAAATTTAAAGCTCATATTCCAGAAACAAGGAGAGTCAGTTGACGCATTTGTGTTATTGCCTCATTTGAAAATATTAAGTGAATTAAGCTTATAGATAGCTCCTTTGTGAAAAGTTCACTCAAAAGTGCAAAAACTTAGGGTAGCCAAAAATGGGCTTTGAGCTGCGCGCTCGTTGCTTTTGATTTTGCGCGTTACGATTTTGGTCTTTATGGCGGTGGACTTCTTAGTGAAAAAATGGAAAAATAAAAGGCAGCGCAACGTCACTGTGTGTTGTTGATCAACAGGAAGTTATAGGCTAGGCCGTGCTATTTTGACCAGTTCAGCTGTCAGCTTATCAGATCTCTCCAAAAAATACCCTCTCTCTCTGAACGTTTTAAGGATAGGTATCACAACACCTATTAAGTTCACCTTTGAATGGTTTAAAATAAATGGCATGTGGGAAAATAGATTAAACTCAGAAAATTCAGACTTCTCTGAGATGAAAAAAAAAACCCGAGTCATAATTTGTAAAGAAAGTATTTTCCTGCAAAACCATCAATCTTTGAAACAACACAAGTCAAGCCTTTTTACCAACAAAGGTATTCAAATGCAAATGATTGATGACCAAGTAGGTATGGAGCCATAGTGAATTTATAAAGTAAAATAGTTCTTTCAAGCCCCACGCATTTAGATACATTTAAATATATCTTGCTTTTGTCTCATTTCAAACTGATGTCAAAACACAGTGCCTTTTGCGCGAAAGCTATCCTATCCTTGGAAGGAATAAGGCCAGAATGCATTAAATGTTCACAGCAAATGGAAAAAAAAACAAAATTCCAAGAACAGAGCTCATTTAGTCGGAAGATCAAGGTTATTTTGCCCAGCACTAATTTCTATCTTCCTCACTCTTTCTTATGGAACGACCAGTTTTATACTTGCTTGTATCTACTCGCTAATTACACTCATCTTTAACGTTTCATCTTGGTAGGGAGGCTGTTGCGGAGTGAACTCATACAATGATTGGAAGGATACCTCAGGGTTACCACACTCCTGTTGCAAAGATTTGGAAATGACTGCTACATGCACAGTTGACTACATCAAGGCGAAAAAGATTCCTGGATGTTTGCCATTCCTTCGTGACTTCATGAAATCAAATATCCTGATTATTGGTGGAGTGTGCGTCAGTGTTGCTCTGTTGCAGGTAACTATCATCAACAATGTAATTGTTAGCAATTTTTTTTTTTTATTTTTGTATTTTACCTCTGTTTAAAAATACCAGTGGACTGAATCCATAATAATTTTTAAATTTTTCTTTCATCTGTTTTTTATTTGATTTTCTTGTGGTATTTTTATTCAGGGAGGAATATATTGAAAAACAGGGTGTCCACAGGTATGGACTAATCGAAAAATACAGAGAAGTATAGAGTAACTCCAGGTCTGGACAAATTAAAAAACCCTGTATCTGCACATAGTTTTTTAACTTAGAATGCAATCCTCACAGCAAACAAAAAAAGTTGTCTCAGTTAATTCTTTAAGATAATGTGCCGTACTTACCATCAGACTCTTTAATACCATCACCCACAAAGTTGCCAATTCATTTGAGAAAAGACATATTCCTCTTTAGAATTTATGTTTTACTGTCTTCTTTTGTGTGTGCGATTTTCATAGTCTGCAACAAATTTATTTTTGAGATTGCCCTGATCGAGAATTTGTAGGATAAAATATTATTTTATCAAGTTTCATTTCCTCTCTCCCTCTCTTTATTCCACCATTTTTCATTTCTAAGTGGTGCCTCATAGTTGAAAGGCCATAATTTGACAGCAATGATCGCAAAATACTGATACCTGGAAAATGCTTGAATTTGTCTCATTACTTATTATCAGCGGTCAATGCTTGCTGTTGTAAGAAATTACTAAATACCGAAAGATTGTTCGGAATGACACTTTATTTAAGAAAGAAATAGCAACGTGGCAACACATCTTCAACGTGAAGTACCAAGCTGACGATATGGGGAAAAAATTTTGCGCTCAGAAAATAATAATGTAAAAAGTTGTGAAAAGTGCTTTAAAATTCATCATAAAGTCATCATTTTTTATTCTAGGGGCCTCATGAACCATGAACCTTACACACAGTGATGAGGACCCGAAGCAGCTCCTGTCAAATGCCCTTGGTGGCTTTTTATTTAAGGCTGAAAGACGGGGAAAAAATGTGAGACATTAAGTCAAAGTTATGCAACTGGTCAGTAGTAGTTCTAACTGCCGTCCAAAGATGGATGCACACCAATTTTAGCCTTTTCCTCTATTGAAAATGTCTGAAATTTCTGGCGAAACGTCTCACGTCTCTTGTCTGTCTTTTAGCCTTGCTTCCCCAGATCAGATTTTAAATCAATATACTTACATATTCCTATGGTAGAAAATAAATGGCATTCATTTGTGATCCACAACTTGAAGTGGACGTTCTTCACATGGTCCTAGATCCAGAACCCACCACGAGGGAGAGTGAAATGGTGTATATTCTTTGGAAAATATGCTAAAAATAAGTTAACTGATTCATTGAGTTCCTTGTGCCTTTTTTAACAAACAAAAATTTTCAACAGAGGTGTTTCTTAACTGAATTTTGTAACATTTTGTTTGTGATATCCCTCTGTAATATCATATGTTTTCTCTTTTTTCTTCTTTTCAGTTAATTGGCATCTTATTTGCCTGCAATTTGGCTCGTATGATCCGTCATGAGTATGAAACAGTGTAAATCACCACTCCAGCAATATGAATTCCACTTTTTTCAATGAGTAGCTGTATATTGTTCTTTATTAAGTATACGCGGTTACAAAAAAACTTCAATTTTATGTTATTTGTAGAGGCCTGAGAGTCGCTTCAACTATTTTTGCATGTAAATGTAACAGTAGCCAGGTCACTAAATTTACTCAATGCACCTCAATTTGAGGCACCTTGAAGCAAAGTCCCAGAAACCTAATTTTTCTTAAAATGCTAAAAACTGCCGTATCCACATCAAACATGGTACATAAGCACTTCTCTCCATCTTTTATTTATTTATTTTTACATTTCATTAATTAAATCCCAGCCATTGGTATGGTTTAGTAAATTAAAACAAAGTAATAATTAATGGCCTGTTTTTTTTATCTCTTCTTTTCCTATTTGTTTGCACACAATTTGGACTTTGCTCTTTTTCTTCTAACAATTGTAGACTTGGCTGACTTCGCAGAAATAGTTCGTAAGGAAAATTGCATTTAAATCCTATGCATTATTATTCAATATTTATTTTAGTAAGATGATTATAAACCAATGGTAATTAAGTAATCAATTATTTAGTAAGGAACAACACTAAATTAGTCAGTTACCAAAGATGCAAGAAAATGCACAGAAGACGATAGCATGACCTCATACACCTTAGACGTATTTAAATCAGCATTTGATATGAAAATTCATCGGATGGTTTGAGGAAAATATGAATCTGCTCAGTTTGTTCCTGTCAAAATATTAAAATCTGGTGTTATAATAATATTCAATCACACGTGTCCACAAGGCAGAGCTGATTTTGTTCGGAATGAAGTGACACTTTGATTCAGCCTCAAAAATAGAATACAAATCTGCGGCAATCTCATTTATCTTTGAAAACGAACTTTACTCGATTTTATTTTAGATACTTTTTATTGACAGGACTTCTGGAAAAATCACTAACATCGATGGTCAAACACATTCTGTATTTTTTCTTGTATTAAAGTTTGTTTTTTCTTTTTTTTTTTTGCATAAAAAATCTTGATCTCGCACTCCTACACCTTGCAGAACTTGAATTGCAAATTCCATTAATTATTTTCGGACTGATAAATCCAAACCAAATATATATTTAAAGAGCTTGATGCAAAAACGGCTTTTTTCGCCCCCCCCTCTGGAAGTTCTTCAGACTTTGTCTATTGATTACTCATACTTGAGCGCTTCTTTTCCCAAATTTTCAGACCCCCAAAAAATTTTGAGGGGGAGCTAGGGGGGGTGGAAGTCAAAACCTGTGAACCTCGATATCTCTTGAACAAAGAAAGATATCGAGGTCCGGTTTGGACGAAAAATCGTCAAAAATTGCATACTTTAAGATTCTAAAGGTTGAAATCCCGATATCACATTTTTAAGTCAACTATGTGCTTTTTTCCAGTTTTTAGGTCTAGAAAATTTCTTTTAAACAAAAAATTTACAAAGATCTCAATTTTTTATTTGAATTAAAACCAGTTTTTTAAATTGTTCGTCTTTTTCCGCATCCAACGAGTGGTCCATTAAGCTGGGGAACCAAACAGTTCCGGAGTTATGATCGATTGAAGTTTCTGCTCAACGCGCGCCGACCGTTTTGCGCGCGCAAAAAAGTCGGATTTGACTGTTATTAGATCAGATTGAATGTTCAAACTGAGCAAAATGCTTTATTAGGGACTCTTGAGGGTCGCTGAGTTCAGAAATTACCGATACTTCCAAAAAATTCACGTTTTTAAAATTGCAGCTTCGGACAGGACCACTGAGCGGCCGGTCGGCGCTCAGTGGGCCTCTAAATTAGCGCTGCGGAGCTGTAATTTTAAAAACGTAAATTATTTGGAAGTATCTGTAATATCTGAACTCAGCGACCCTCAAGAGTCCCTAATAAAGCATTTTGCTCAGTTTGAACATTCAATCTGATCTAATAACAGTCAAATCCGACTTTTTTGCGCGCGAAAATCGGTCGGCGCGCGTTGAGCGGAAACTTCAATCGATCATAACTCCGGAACCGTTTGGTTCCCCAGCTTAATGGACCACTCGTTGGATGCGGAAAAAGACGAACAATTTAAAAAACTGGTTTTGGTTCAAATAAAAAATTGAGATCTTTGTAAATTTTTTGTTTAAAAGAAATTTTCTAGACCTAAAAACTGGAAAAAAGCACATATGTTGACTTAAAAATGTGATATCGGGATTTCAACCTTTAGCATCTTAAAGTATGCAATTTTAGACGATTTTTCGTCCAAACCGGACCTCGATATCTTTCTTTGTTCAAGAGATATCGAGGTTCACAGGTTTTGACTTCCACCTCCCCTAGCTCCCCCCCAAAATTTTTTGGGGGTCTGAAAATTTGGGAAAAGAAGCGCTCAAGTATGAGTAATCAATAGACAAAGTCTGAAGAACTTCCAGAGGGGGGGCGAAAAAAGCCGTTTTTGCATCAAGCTCTTTGTAGCTATGTAAGCATCAATTTAATTCCTGTACAGTTCTCACTATTCTTCTTTAAGGTTTTCTATTTTTAAAATAATGTTTGCTATCATTTTTAATTTTTTATATTAGTTTTTTCTGTTCTTTTTTAATTTATTTACTTACTTTTTTTCTTAATTTACTTAATTGCACATGTCACCATACCAACGTGTCAATTGTAAAATTATTTTCTCTCCTCAGAAGTTCAGTGAATATCTCATATCTCACTCTAGTCGTACTTCTTCCTACCATTTGAGAACCAGCTTTGACCCTCATTAAGTTTTTCATGCGTTTTTTATTCTATTTTTTTTTTCTTTCTTTCTTTCTGTCTACCATTACTGCTACTATTACTTTCCTTCTTTCTTTATTTCTTTCTTTCATTCTTAAACCTATCTGTAGCAGTATCCTGTCTCACTCCTGCATCCTCTTCCTACATAGAACACACATAAAAACGCAATAAAATAAACTAAATTAAAAACAATTTACCAGTATAATTACCACTAGTAATCTGTATAATTGATGTAATCTGCCTTTATAATTACCATCAGTAAGCACATCTGTATTTTTTATGTGTCAATTGTAAAAACTATTGTATGATGCAAATCAAATCAAAGCATATTCTGTGAACAACATTTAAAAAAATAACATTTATGTGTGGTGTGAATGGCTCAATATTCCACAACACTAAGTAAAAATTTTACTACTGGTGCTTCCTTCCTCTCTTTCTTTTTTCTTCCTTCCTTTCTCTATATATGTTATGCAATCGTCAAATTTTTAATCTCACATATTGTTAATTTTTACCAAAGTGTAAATGGTCTGCTAAGATGTTTTAAGGCATCTCCTAAAAATTAAAAAATTGTACCACTACGTAATTGATTTCCTCTTGTTCCAAAATCTTCTACCCTCGTAATTTCACACTCTGTCAACTTCTACAAGAAGTGTAAATGGCTTAACATGAGGATGGGTGATTTCACGCTAGCAGAAATAACTTTGCTGCCAGTGGTTGGGAATAACTTATTCATTCACTAAACTAGGCACACACTTTAGCATCCTGATGTATCCTCATTGTTTCCTTTTCAAAATTTCACGAAGAGGTTGGAGATTTTCCCAACGAAACTTACTGAAACCAAGCTTTAACCAAGATGTCAAGGTTTTTTTTGGCGCTGGTTACGAAGAATTTGAATTTCCTGCTCACACAAAAAACCAAAGTCTACGTGAATCCAATCGCACTTTACAACGGCTTTCGCCGAATTTCAACTCAAGCAGTGTATTCCTGTCATCCTGTGGTGTCCCGAGTGTATAAAAAACATGCAACAGCTGAGGCAAAGCATCGAGATTAAGGTTGGAAATGTAGGTACAATGTACGTATCAGTTTTGGAAGCTGACGGGCGTCATACCCCTAAATACTTCTTACTGCCACCTAAATAATTGAAATCGTGGCCAAAGTTGGCGCCTGAATATTCACAGCCAGCCGTAAAATCGCCGGTACAAAGACGAACTTTCTTGATGGATATTAAAATCCATCAGGGACCCTCTCTCTCTCAGTCAGGATTCAATTGGGTGATGGAAAAACTGTGCTTGTGTGTGAAAATGTTTTATCAGTCAAGAAAAACCCAATTCCAAGCAGGTGCTAAAAGACATCCGCTTATACCTAATCATAGTTCATTTCAGATAAAAGCATTTTGCCCTTAAAATGAACACTAATGGCCCCTGAATATCGATTAAGCAGGCAAAAGTGGCCCCCAAATTTCTTTGTAAGATTCGAACATTGACAACGACGCAAGTGCGCGTACCAAAATAATATCGAAAATCGATTCGTACCGTCATTCGCCACATCGACCACTCTGAGAGTTATTTTAAAGTCGAGGCTATTCACGAAGGTTGGCAACACTGGAATTCGTCTCTTAAATGTATATAAAACTATCGACATTTATATCGAGGCCGGCTGCCACATCTTGATTTGATAATTTTTAACAGCGTTAAATGGAGGATATAAGCAGTTTTGCCAATTTACAAAAATCGCTACTAAGTATTTCGGGTTTTTTCATTCATCAATAGCACCTCTTAATATGGATGATTTGAAAACAAAAGAGGTAGGTAGAAAGTTTTTAGCTTTTACACTGGCCCGCGAGTGTAAAAGCATATTGCGTTTGGTGTAACCACTAGTGACCGAGACATTCGGTCTGACGGTAGGTTCAAGTGAATAAGAAAGTGCCTTCAATTGCGAGTGATACTACAGCAGACGCAAGAGCTCGATAAGTTGCATGCCTGCTTCCGCAAGGTTTACATCGATATCGATGAAGGGGCAAAAAACAAATATTAGAGTCGACGAAGTAGTAATCTTCAGTAGAAGTTAACCAAAGAGATTACTGTTTCAGGACATTCCGTCAATGATTTTTAGTCCGCGCATCTGTTTTGTCCAGTAGTTTACGTCTACGCGTGAAATAAGCAACAGTGACTTGTATTTTAAGTCGCTCTTACGGCGTGCTAGGGTGCTCTGAGACGCCTACCCGCCAAAGGAATCTGTCATGGTAGAAATCCTCCGGAAGCTGGCATCTCTCCATCTCTTGACGGATGCCCTCTACCCATCGTTGGGCTGGACGCCCTCTCCGTCGCCTACCTGGAGGGACCCACTCCAACACTCCACAAGAAATGCTCAAGGCGACAGAGATGGATTTCTGGCGAAGATAGGCTGGAATCTCGAAGAGAAAAAGTATCAGAATGAACATGTCCGAGAGATGAAGGGCGATGAGGGGACAATATAGTGCACGATATTTAGACCCAGGCCCGCCACAAGGGGGGGGGGGTACTGGGTCCCTGGTACCGGGGCCCGGGCCCCGGAGGGGGCCCGTGATACCCGTGAAAAACCACCACGAATTCACACGCAACCCTTGTTTCGTAAGAAAAAGTGAAACATTATTTACCCTAAAAATTTCGCAAAAGGTGAATAGATTTTCAGAAACAATCTGGGGCACTGTAGAATTCTTCTTAAATTTTCAAAGAAGTATACTTCTTGGAAAATTTCTATCTATTTTCAAGATTTTCAGTACGGAGGGATATTTTTAGTAACTGCGTTTCATTTTCTTCCGTCGTCAGATGCAAAGAGTCTCCAGTCTGGGCATCCTCGACTTCAATGGCTCATGGCTCAACTCCCTTGCCATAGACAAACGAAGGGGGAGTCCAGGGAGGCCTAGCCTTCATAGAACTGAAAATAGTATCATAAGCCCCCCCCCCCCCAAAAAAAAATAAAATAAAAATTTTCCAGATGTTTTGAATGCAACAATTCGCAAGTAT